TATAGGTAGGAGGAACCCTACCACACTAAAACTTCTTCCTTAGAATTTCCTCTGAAAAATTCTAATTTTCCGTCCTTACTACCACCAAGAACAGTTGGTCTTATGTATTTTAAGTGGTAACCGGAATAGTCAGTGGTAGAATCAGACTGAGACGAATTTGAATATTTTCAGAGAAAATGTGCTTTTAAACCAGTGTGCTAAACCACAAGAACCCGGAGTTCTTTCCTTTGAGTTGTACATTACTGTTTGTGCTTCTGAGTTGAAGTGAAGCAGACTCTGTTCTGTAATATCAAGCCGTAAAAATGTCTGACCATTTTCTTTTTCAAAAAAATGTTTGTTTATAAAGTCACAATTAGATCCATTCACAGGCTTGTGACTTCATAAATGATAGTGCATAGTAATCAGGACAAATACTTCTTTGGAAGCAAAACAAGTAAAATTCATCTATATGTTCTGTGAAGTTGGGCTTTTTCTTAAGGATGCTTACAGTGTGCCCTGTTTCCTTATGCAGTCTCTTTATCTTGGAGAGAAGAAAAGTGAGACTAGTGATCGTCACAGCTCTGGAGATTTGGCTTAATTTTAATAATAATGAAACTATTGATTGAGAGTTTATCATGTACCAGACACCATATGAGGCATTTACATTATATGCTGCCCCCACAAAGCAATTGGAAGTAATGTTACATCTCACTTCCCCAGAAAATATGGGAAATCATCATACTTTGTGATCGTCTCTGCTAGGAGCTTCCCCTTTCAATTTATGGATTTCTAGATAGACTCAGTAAGAACTAATGGGAAGAACAGAGATAACCAGGACTAACAAAGAGATTGTAGAAATTTGAAAATAATAGAAATACCAATAACAACAAAGCAGACTCACCACAGTGACGTGAGTAGTACCAAAAGGAACTCAGAGAGATCCAAGGATCCTAAAACTTAGTATGTTGTTTATTACTTTTCTCCAATAATTTTTCTTACACTTAAATATAATTGGAAAGTATTTAATCAAAGAAATTAAATTTAACCAAACAATTTAATTTCCCAAAGAATAAATATAAGCTAGAATCTTTTGAATATTAGTGGAGCCAGCAAGCATTCTCATATGTAAATTCAAAGTACTCTTATATTCTAATACAAGTCCCAAAAGCTTTAATAAACCAGCTTAACCATTAAATGTCTTAGGAAAATAAAGTTTATAAAATTGGAGGTTATTTAGCTCATATAGTTGTCCTTACATATTTAATGGTCAAATAAGGAAAAAATACAGATATTTTAAAATTATTAACTTCAGAAAAGTAGTTTTTCTCCGCAGTTTTTAATGTGATTATGTGACCTTGCAATGTGAATAAAAGAGTGAGAAAATGATATAAACTGAGTTCGGTCATTGAATAAGTATTTATTGAGCACCTGCAGTGTGCCAAGTACTGTTTGAAGCATTTGGGATACATCAGTGAAATAAAAAGTTCCCTGCCCTCTTGGAGCTTACGTTTTCACAGGGGAATTGGACAGTAAACATCAAAAGTAAGTGAACTTATATACAGATCTTCCTCAACTTATGATGGGGTTACATCCCAATAAATCCAGTGTAAGTTGAAAATATCATTAAGTCAAAAATGCACTTAATAACCTACTGAACATGACAGTTGAGCATAGCCTACCTTAACTGTGAAAATGTGCTCGAAACACTTACGTTAGCCTACAGTTGGGCAAAATCATCTGACACAAAGCCTGTCTTATAATAAAGTGTTGAACAGCTCATGTAATTGATTGAGTACTGCTCTGAAAGTGAAAACAGAATGGTTGAGTGTATGGGTTGTTGACCCTCATGATCCTGTGGCCGACTGGGAGCTGCAGCCTCCTGCCCAGCGTTGTGAGACAGGATCCTACTGTGTATCACTAGACTGGGAAAAGATCAAAGTTCGAAATTCGAAGTATGATTTCTACTGAATGTGTATGGCTTTCACACCATGGTAAAGTCAAAAAGTCATTGGGGACGTATTATGTTAGGAAATGCTAAAGACTATGAGAAACAATGGAACACTGGGAAGAGGGGGTGAGAGGGGTAATCAGGCTGCAATTTTAAATCAAGAGGTCAGGGTAGGCCCTCATGGAGAAGATGACATTTAAGCAAAGACTTGAAGGAGATAAGTAAGGTTAGTCAAGAGGATATCCGGTGGAAGAACCCTCTAGGAGAAAGGAACAGCCAGTGCAAAAGGCCTCAAGGTTAGAGTGTGCCTAGAGACTTGAGGAAGGGCAAAGAGACCAGTATGGCTGGAGAGTTGTGAGCAAGGGGGAGAGTATTAGAGTGTGAGGGTAGACAGGAAACAGGTAGCTGCGATCCAGATGCTGTAAGGACTTTGGGTTTTATTCTGGAGTGAGATGGGGTGCCAGTGTACGGTTTTCAGCAGAGGAGCGACGTGACTAACTTGTGATTTAAAGGAATCAGTTGGGCTACTGTGTTGATAATTGACTGTAGGAGGGCAAGGGCAGAAACAGAGACTATTTAAGAGGCTATCGCAATAATCCAGGCAAGAGATGATGGTGGTTCAGACTAGAGTGAAAGCTAGAGTGACAGTAGTGAGAAGTGGTTACATTCAGGGTCCATTTTGAAAGCAGAGCCCGTAGGATTTCCTGACGTTTTGGATGTGGGGTACGTGAGAAAGAGGGGCGTTAGGAATCTCCGCAAGTTTATTTGCTTGAGCAACTGGAAGGGATCAGGGTTGCCCTCAGCTGAGATGAGGAAGGCTGCAAGTAGGGCTGGTTTGGGGGATGACGGCACATGAGAAGCTCAGTTTTAGACCTGTTAACTTCAAGATGTCAGGCAGGCGTTTGGACTGGAGCTCTAACTTGGAAGTCACTGGCCTGTAAATGATAGTAAACCTGTACTCATGAAACTGGACAGAAGTTGCCTGGTAATTGGGCATCAACAAGGCAGGAAGGTAGCTGAAAGTTAACTTACCTATCTCACAACTTTGATTGTGCCCGCATTGCTGATAGCCCAGTTCTTCTCACCCAAAACCAGTTCTCAAGAGTTTGGGGCCTAAGTAATATGATATGTGTGAAGTAGTAAGCATTCAAAAAACGTTTCTTTTCCTCTCATACATTTCATCATTTAAAAGGCAGGGCAGCTTACATGGAGGATGTCTGCATGTAGCCTCTTCACCCTTCAGAAATGTTGGTTTGGGGAAATTAGGAATGAATTACATTCACCTGTTTTTCTAGAAAATGACAAGTAGTTGATTACTAAAGCATAAGGCAAAATATAGGGTAATATTAGGCTAAATGTGATAGTTGAAGAGAAAAAAAATTAAATGATAGCATAAAACCAGCCTATATTCCCTTGAGCATTGACTGAGAAGCAACATCACCAGTGGTTCCTATACTTGCGGGCACATTGGAATTACCTGGGCCTTGCTGAAAAATACTGATAACTGGCTCCCAGACGTTATGATTTGTTTGGTATGGGGTGCAACCTGGGCATAGGAGTTTTAGAATTTCTGCAGGTGGGGCTAATGTGCAGCCAAGTTTGAGAACTACTGTGATGTACACTATTTTTTTCTAATGGAACTATCACTAATAATGAGAATATTCAAATTCCCTTTCTTAATTTTTTTTATTCTTTGCTCGTGCCAAAAATGGAAACAGTATTAAGAAAAGGTTCTGTTGAGGGAATCATGCTGAGTAAAATAAGTCAGACGGAGAAAGACAAATATTGTATGATCTCACTTATGTGTGGAATCTATAAAAAACCCCAAATTCATAGACAGAGAATAGATTGGTGGTTGCAGGGTGGAGGGGGTGCAAAATGGTTGAAGGTGGTCAAAAGGTACAAACTTCCAGTTATAAAATAAATAAGTCATGGTACAGCATGGTGACTATAGTTAGTAATACTGTATTGTATACTTTAAAGTTGCTACGAGAATAGAACTTAAAAGTTCTCATCACAAGAAAAAGAAATTATAACTATGTGTGGTGATAGATGTTACCTAGAAAACATATTTAAAAAAAGTTCCTCAAGGCAGAGTAGAGTAAATGAGCTCTAAATCATGCAAATGAGAAATCAGTGTCAGAATTGGTTGTAGATTCATAGCAGCTGTTCACCTGACCATTTATTTGTAGCATAAGTGAACCTCAAATTGGAGACAGCTGTGATGTCATGGTAGCTGCATTAGACTTGAAGTATGAAGACGTGGATTAAAATCCCAGTTCTCTCGCTTGTTGCTAGACTTAGGGTGGGCAATGCATTTAACCTTCCTGAAATTCCAATTTCTTTCTCCCTAACATGAGAATAACCAAAGCAATTTTGCATGGTTGTTATAAGTATTTGTAAAAGTGAATGTCTGTGAAGGTAAATTATAAAGAACTATATAAGGATATTAAAGAATTATTATTTGAAAGGATTTTTCTTAACCTTAGAAGTGGCGACCTTGTAAAATGCAATAATTTCCTGGAAGTGAATAGATTGGTTTTTTTCCCCCATGTTCTTTTCACTGCCTTGAGAATGGAACTCTGCATATGGTAGATAATAAGTGCTATTGAACTTAACATGTTTAGTAGAGAGAGTATTATTTTGTATCTATTTCCTATATAATGTATTAATATGGGAAAAACATGAACTTTGGACTCAGACCTGGGTTTCAACACTGATGGCGTCACTTGTTAGCAAATTTGTGTCATGTTCTAAGAGTCAGGTGTCTTTTCTCTGTATTGGGGATAGTAATGGATCCCTTCCAGGGCTGCTGTGTGAGTTTCAAGGGTAGAGCACCAGGCATAGTGGTGGGCGCAGAGCTGGCAGGAAAGGTTCGTTCCTTTCTTCCCTCTAGGAGGACAGTAATCTTGGGGTAGTAATTGTAAAATCTGAGTAATAATAATTTCTCAATACCTAAAAAATCTTAACTGTTACTCTTTGTTTTGCTGATTTCTATATCATTTTAACAAGTGTCTACCTCCTCCTCCAGGAACACTTTGAAAAGTAGTGTTTATTTTGTGTGCTTTTTCAGATAATAAAAAAAGCCCTTTTAACTTTAAGTTTACACCATGGATAGCACAAAGGAGAAGAATGAAAATTACAAAGATGACCTCCTGCTTAGGATGGGGCTTAATGATAATAAAGCTGGAATGGAAGGATTAGACAAAGAAAAAATTAACAAAATTATAATGGAAGCCACAAAGGTATGTTTCTTGTTTCTTTCAGTATTTTTAATTGACTAACTCTTTAACTTTCTGTTTAAAAGAAAAATAAGTTTTGAATATCCCTTTTATTATAATTTTTAATATTTTAGTATATAATATTGTTAAGCTCGAATGGGTATGGGATAATCTCCCTTCTGTTCTGTCGCTCTTGCCAGTTTTCTACATCACATGCACATAATATGCCTGTAAGAGCAAAATAAGAGCAAGAATAATGTTCTTTTTCACCCTTTTTCAATCCTAATGGGAGAATACTATAATTACTGTGCTTTTTGTTTTTGTTTCAATTAATGTAGCTTGGAAGTCTTTCTGTATAAGTAATTAAAGATCTTCACTCTTTTTCATGCCTGCGTGTGTGGATATAATTTATTGAACCTGTCAGAATCCTTATTGATGGACGTATAAATCATTTCGAGTATTTTGGTTTTACAAACAGTACTACACTGAATAACCTTGTATTTCATAACTTTACCTGTGTGCAGGTATAAGCTTAGGAGGGGTTCCTAGAAGTGGAATTATTCCACCAAATGCAGATAGCACGCAATTGTTATGAATTGCCCAGTTGCCCTCCATAGTGGTTGTATCAGTTTCCATTTCCACTGTCAATATTACCATGCTGCAACTGTGCCAACACAGTGTGTTACTAAACTTTTGGATGTGCCAATCTACAGTAACGTAGTGTAGCATTAACTTGCATTTTGTTTATGAAAAGTGCAATTGTACATCTTTTCATATGTTTAAAAACTACTTTTTTTTATGAACCATCTCTTCTTATTCTTTGCATAATTTTCCATTGGATTATTGTTTATCTTTTGACTTTGCCTATGGTAGTTTCTTCTGTGCAGAGGTTTTGGTTTGTTTTTTTATGTAATTGAATTAGGCGGCTGCATAATGGTTTTCTCCAAGGTCATAAAAGAATTCTTTAATGGTTTTTTTCTACCGCTTTTTTGGTTTCATTTATATATTATTAAATATCTGTGCAGAAAGGTGTAAAATTTAAGAGAATATCCTTATTCTTAGGAAATGCATGCTGATATCCACAATTAACTTTCAAATGGTTTAGCCAAAAAGTTAGGGAGTGTGTGTGTGTATTTGCTCACGTGCCTAACATGTATGTAGGAATTGGGCTATGTGTGTGTGCATACGTAGGAGTTGGGAGAGAAAACGAAGGTAGCAGGATATTAACAATTGGTGAATCTAGGTGAGGACCTATAGGTTTTAATTGCACTGTTATTTCAACTTTTGAAGATTTGGCAATTCCAAAATAAAAAGTTGAGGGAACAATAATTTCTTAAGTATATATTTGAATGTAGATACAATTTTAAAAGTAAAAGAGAACTGAGAGATGAAATAAGCAAATATAGCGTATGGACTCTGATCGGATCCTGGTATGAACAAATACACTTGGAACATTTAGGGGAATTTGAATATGGAGAGGGTACTAGATAATATTAAGGAATTACTATTTATTTTATTAGCTGTGAAAATGTTATTATCATTACATGAGAAAATGGCCTTACTTTTAAAGATGTATACTAAAGTACTCTATGGAGTAGCCAAATGTCATAATATCTGCAATTTACTTTAAACCACTTCACTTAAAAAATCACAGAAGGAAATATAGCAAAATGTTAACAGTTGTTAAATCTCAGCGATAGTTTTATATATGTGTTTATTATACTAATCTATTTTTGTTTTAGAGGTTTTTTTGAAATTTTAAAATTTTAAAAAAGAAGAAGAAAGGAGTAATCCTATGAGCCTCGTTTTCAGGTTAAGCAATAGAATATTTAAGTTATCCTACATGTCCCTGTCTTCCCTCTCTCTTCTCTGTGTCCCAGTACCATTTATTAAATAGTCCATCCTTTTCCTGCTGAGTTGCAGTGCTGTCTCCTGTTCTGCTGGATTATTTGTTCTTGTACAACATGATCTTAATTATAATAAGTCTTGATATCTGCTAGAACAAGGTTTTTCTTTCCTCTTTGTTCTTTTTCAAGAGTATCTTGGGTATTCTTGAATCTTTGCTCTTCCATTTAAATTTTATATGATATATATATCAATCATAGGAAAAATGTATAACCATGTATCATATAATTGATATATATCATATAATGTATAGATCAATCATATAAAATATATATGTTATATATTGAAATATTTATGTATTTTATATAATATATTCCTCTAGTGTGGGGGGATTATCATAAATGATATCTTTTTTAAATTGAAATTTTCTAATTGTTGCTGCTCCATTTAGTGCAATTTACTTTTTAAAACTTTTATCAGAAAATTTTAAGCATTCACAAAATTAGAGTGAATAGTAACTTGAATCCCTGGATAATCGTCATCCAGCATCGACAGTTAACAACATTTTTGCAAATATTGTTTCGTCTATCTCACTTCTCTCTCCCTACGGAATTTTGGATGTGGAGGGTGAAGTATTTTAAAACAAATGCCAATAAACAGAACAAATTTCTAGAAATTCACAGTTTTCCAAAACTGACTCAAGAAAGTATGGAAAATCTAAATAGGCCTATAACAAGAAAAGAAATTAATAATTAAAAATATCCCCCCACACCCAAAAACCAGTTTAAGATGGCTTCACTGGTGAATTTTATCTGACATTTAAAGAAAAAATAATACCAATACTCCATAAGCTCTTCCAGAAAATGAAGAAGGATGGAACACTTCCCAACTCATTCTATGAGGCCAGTATCATTTTGATACCAAAGCCAGACAAGCATAAGATTATAGAGCATTGTAAATGTAAAAGTCCTCCACAAAACATTAGCAAACTGAATCCAACAATATACAAAAAAGATTATATACCATGATCAAGTGGAATTTATCCTAGGAATGCAGGGTTTCTTAGATACAACACCAAAAGCACAGTCAACACGAGAAAAAGTTGACAAATCAGACCTCATGAGATTTCAAAATGTTTGCACTTCAAAAGACACTGTTAAAAAATAAGAAGATAAGCAACATATTAAATATTTGCAAAACATGCATCTGATAAAGGACTTACATCCAGAATATACCAAGAATTCTTACAACTCATGATGAAGAAGACAAACAACCCAATCAAAAACTGGGCAAAAGATATCAATAGACATTTCACTAAAGAAGATATAAGAATGGCTCATAAAGCACATCAAAAGGTGTCCAACATCATTAGTCACTGGAGAAATGCAAATTAAAACCACAATGAGATGTCATTCACACTATTATAGCCTAGAATGGCTATAATAAATAAGACAGGTAATAACAACCTTAGACAAGGATGTGGAGAAATTGGAACCCTCATACATTGCTGGTGGGATTGTAAAATGGTTCAGCCACTTTGCAAAACAGTCTGGCAGTTCCTCAAAATGTTTAGCATGGAGTTAACCATATGACGCAGAGATTCCACTCCTAGGTACATACCCAAGGAAAATGAAAACATATGTCCACACAAAAACATGTACACAAATGTTCATCGCAGCATTTTTCATAATAGCTGCAAAGTAGGCATAAATGTGCATCAGCTTGATGAATGGATAGATATTACGTTCAGTGAGGGAATGATGGGTAATTTTCTAAAATTTATTTTCTAAATTTCCTTTAATGACTAACATCAAATTTTTAAAAATACTTTTTAAGTAGAAATGAAGGAGGTAACTGATGACCCAACTGACTAAGGCCTTGGATATGGCCCACAGATCCTGCCTAGGACACATTTTCTGAGTGCAGATCTGTCCTCAGAGAGTTTGTACTGTGCTGAGTACCATGATCCTATGCTGTAGGTAACTATAAATTCGTTTTACAGATAAAGAAACTGAGACATAGAAAGATTAGGTAATTTTGGAGTCATCGACTAGTAGGTAGTGGAGCTGAGTTTTGAATTCAGTCGTTCTGATTCTAGAGTCTGTACTCTTAGCTACCAGGTTATATACAGCAATGCTTTCTGTATGCTTTGTTTTGTTTTCCTGCATAGGGGTCCAGATTTTATGGAAATGAGCTCAAGAAAGAAAAGCAAGTCAACCGACGGATTGAGAATATGATGCAACAAAAAGCTCAAATCACCAGCCAGCAGCTAAGGAAAGCACAGTTACAGGTATTAATTCAGTTAAGTGGAAGCTAAGTAAAGTGGAAGCTGGTAGAATAGTAATTGACAGTTAAAATGCATCATGATCAAGTCATAACTGAAAACAAAGTGAAAGGTAAATGTTCCTTATTTTGTAAAGCATAAAAATTTAACAGATGCACATACTCTGCTCTATTAAACGTTGGTCTACTCTTACAGAAAGACTTCACACCTACTAGACATTATTACCTCCATTATACAGAAAAGTAAATGGAGCCTTAATTAGGTTAAGTGACTTGCCTAGCTTCATATGATAGGTAGTTGGCAGAGCTAGGATTTAATCCAAAGTTTATATTCTTTTTATTATATATATACTTTGCAGCTAGAAAAGGCCACAAGATAAATGTGACATCTTTTCTGCAATGCTGATTTTGCAAAAAAGATTTGGGGGAACAAGTTAATAATTAAATTAGTATGTAATTTAAAACAGAATTGTGTTATAGTACAACAAAAAGTCACATATAGGGTAGAAGGCCAAATGTGCATGAATTTTTAAGATAAAACAGAAGCCTTCTAAAAATTTGGGGGCTTTTGGCTTCTCTAGCTTCTTCAGGGAGTAAATACTCAGTTTCCTCTGGTAGTAAAAGTTCTTTCAGGAGAAAAGTTTAAGCAGAGCCAAGCTACAGGGCGTCATGTGGTAGACAGAGAACTCAAAGCAGTCAAGGTTCTGCTAGTACAACTAAGGTTTACTTTTAAAGACAGCTTTTCTCTCTAGCCAAATCTTGTTCAATTTAACAAAGCACTTTAGGCTATAACATAATGATAAAATTATGATATTAATCTACTGTTACAAAATGCTTTTTGTGATAGAGTTTAGAGATTATAAATTTTATGTTTTCTTTACCAAACTATAATGTGTCCTTTTTTTTTTTTTGATAAATGCTGTCTGAGAGCACAAGCTAATTTTTAATCTTCTGTGTTAACTGGTCTGCTATCATGACAAGATGATTTGTCTGTCAAATCATCGCTTTTAATGCTTCATAGCATTCCACTGTATGGAGGTCTGTACCGCAATTTATGTACCTTTCTCCCACCTTGGTTCCAGTCTTTTTTATACACAATCTTGTGATGATCATTCTTGTTCATATCTCTTTTCACTCATGTCCTGTTATTTTCACCAAAGATTGTACCATTTTACATTTTCAAGATGAGTGCTGATTTCTTCACTTAGTTATTTAAAACTAGGTTTTATCAATATTTTAGTTTTTGCTGATACAGTGTCCAAAATATTTAATGGTGGTTTTAATTTGCCCTCCTTTGATTATGACAGAATGTCTTTTCACATGTTAGCCATAAATATTTCCTTCTTGTGGAAGTTTCCTCTTTTATTCTTTGTTAGGATATAGGCTAAGTAGCTGGCACAAGAGACTCAAAAATATAACAGTTCAGGGGCCAGCCCCATGGCCGAGTGGTTAAGTTCGCGCGCTCCGCTGCAGGCGGCCCAGTGTTTCGTCAGTTCGAATCCCGGGCTGGGACATGGTACCGCTCATCAAGCCATGCTGAGGCGGCGTCCCACATGCCACAACTAGAAGGACCCACAACTAAGAATGTACAACTATGTACCAGGGGGCTTTGGGGAGAAAAAGGAAAAAAATAAAATCTTAAAAAAATATGTATATATAACAGTTCAAAAGATAAGAGTTTCTTTCTTTCTCACACAATAGATAAGTAGTTTCAGCTGGTGGGGTGGGTCTGCTCACCAGAGTAATTTAGAGACTCAGGTTCTCCACCATGTTGTTCCATCATCACCTAGTGTTGTCCTTACTTGGACTGACAAAACTGGATTACCACCAGTCCACGTTCCAGCTGCTAGTAAGGAAGAAGGAACAAGGAAAGAAATCAAAGGCGAGTAATTTGCTATTAAACATGTGAAAAAGAAGTTGCACACATTACTTAAGGTCACATTCTTTTGGCAAGAATTTAAGTTTCGTGGCCACACCTAACTGCGAGAGAAACTGTAAAATATGTTCTCTAGCTGGGTGGCCAGCTGGAAATCTCTTACTGGGGAAGGAAAAGAGGATGCATTTGGGGGTTCTTCCAGCAGTCCAAAGCAATCTCCTTTGCCCTCATTTCTAGAGGAGTTTCTATCTTTTTCTCTTCATTTATAGATCTTATCATATATTAAGGATTTTTTTTTCTCAGCCATTTATTGTAAATATTTTTACAATATGTTTTTTGTCTTCTAATTAGGCAGGGGTGTTTTCCTATATAGTTTTAAATGTTTATGTAATCAAATTCAGCAGTATTAAAAAATTTTTTTTCTTGATTTTGCTATTGTACATAGAAAGTTATTCCTTACAACCAAGCCTATATGTTCTTTTAATATTTTTTCTTTTTTTTTTTTTTTGAGGAAGATTAGCCCTGAGCTAACATGTGCTACCAATCTTCCTCTTTTTGCTGAGCAAGACTGGCCCTGAGCTCACATCCGTGCCCATCTTCCTCCACTTTATATGTGGGACGCCTACCATAGCATGGCTTGCCAAGCAGTGCCATGTTCGAACCCCAGGCCGCCGAAGCAGAATGTGTGCACTTAACCGCTGCGCCACTGGGCCGGACCCTCTTTTAGTATTTTTAAAGATTTTGTTATATTCAAATATATAGTCCATTTGGAATTTTTTTGACTTAAGGTGTGACGTATTTTTTCTTAAATGGTGAGTATTATATTTTCCCTAAATGGTATTATTTTCCCTAAATTGTGATTCACTTGTCTCAACACCATTTATTGAATCATGAGTCCTTTCTCCACTGAATTGAAATGAGACGCTTCGATATACTAAATTCTCATTGTACTTGGATTTGTTTCTGCACTCTCTCTTCTAATCAATTGAATCTTTTCCTCTATCAGTACTATGCAGTTTTAATTACTGAATGGTAATATAGTTTAATATCCTCCTTCATTACTATTCTTTAAAAAGAATTTTTTTTATCATGCATGGTTTCTTTCAAATAAATTTAAGCATCATTTTGTAACTGCCAAAAGAGGCCTTCTACTCGCCACAAAGACAAGCCAACAGTCCAGCGGCAAGGTGGTAGGAGAGAAAGGGTCTTTTTATTATAGCTTGCTGGCAAGGGGAAGATGGCGGATTAGTGTCCTAAAGAAACATCTTAAACTAAAACATTTTGAAGGAATTAGATAGAGCAAGTGGGCTGAAGCAGGTGGTGGGGCGGGTCACGGGGTGTTGACCATCTGGTGTGTTGTCCTGGAGACTCCAGATCATCCCTTCCTCTTGTCCCTGGTGATGGATACCAGTGGAAGCCTTTCTCCTGGAGGTCGTTACATCCCTGGGAAAACTTAGAGGACAAAGTTATTGCTGTATCGAAATAGAGAGGTCTAAGTATAAGCCAAGACTACGAAAATAGCAGAGCATGCACATTTCTCACAAGCAGGTGTGTACTTATCTAGGCTACGTGCAAACTAGAATATTGCTGACAAGGATGGGGGGTGTCTTGTGCATCGAGGTCATTTACAGTCCTAACATTTCCCCTCTATAAGCTGGGAATGTAACCTGTGTTAGATTCCCTTATGCTAACCTATGGTAACCATGGGCTGTATTTATCTTAGCTTTCAGGTGACACTAGCAATTTCATCAAGTTAAAAAAAAATTCCATTCTGTCCGCAATAACATTGTTTTTAAATTGGTATTAATGCTTAGGCAATTTACTTTCTGCACTTCTTTTTGGCAAGTTTTATTGATCTATAGTTTACAAACATTTTTAATAAAGTCTTAAAGCTATGTACATATGAACAGTGCTGTGTAACAACTTTTTACTATTCATACTGCTGCTATTCGTGAGTATTTTTAAAGCTCATATCCTTAAATATGCTAATAATCTGAAGGAATAGAAAATACCTTACATTGTGTAGCAGAACTTCAGATTTTGTTAGTTTTAGTTGACTATGTCATGGGAGGCTCTCTGGCATTTTTGCAAGGGGAATGGCAGGAAATGTGTTTTATGTTGATTGTTAAATTGTTTCATTTGTTGAGCTTCCTTTAGAAGAAGTTGTATAAATGGGAGGGGATTGAGGAAGTCCTAAGGAGTCTAGAATATCTGAGAAAACAGAGTTTTTCCTGGGAAGTGTGTTTCTATTTTAGAGTCATAAAAGTTCCAAATAGTAGATTTTATTATGTATGATAAGATGGTATGAACTATTGCTAGTCAAGCTGAGGTAAGGAACTCTGTAGGCGTGAACTCCCATGATGTTTATTCAGAACTTCAGCAAGCAGTATACCTCACCCCATCCCTCCTCATTAGACTTCTTAAAGGCACAAGCCTTTCTGTAGCTGCCAAAACATTTTGTTACAACATGAGTTCATAAATTGAATAGGCAAAGATCCATGTTATATTAAAGGCAACTACAAAGCAAACAAACCAGTGCATTTTGACCATTTTAACAATTGATTTTGTGAACTTAGATTTACTCAGCAATTTTTAGGGTAATACTAAGTCAAGAAAATGAGAAGCAGTATTTCTGAAATAGTCTCCTAAATGTAATCGAAAAAGGGGATTTTTTTTTTTTTTTTTTGAGGAAGATTACCCCTGAGCTAATATCCACTGCCAATCCTCCTCTTTTTGCTGAGGAAGACTGGACCCGAGCTAACATCCATGCCCATCTTCCTCTACTTTCTATGTGGGATGCCTGCCACAGCATGGCTTGATAAGCGGTGCATAGGTCCGTGCCTGGGATCCAAACCGGTGAACCCCAAGCTGCCAAAGCAGAGCACCCGAACTTAACCACTATACCACTGGGCTGGCCCTTGAAAAAGGAGATTTTAAAAAAGTAAATAGGACATAATGTGGATGTAAAATACACCATTCAAGTTTGGTTTGAGCTTATTTCAATGTTAAGGACTTTTTAAAATCTATTTTAGAGAAGCATCATAAAATAATGGAAAGAGCACAGGCTTTGGAGTAACCTGGTTTCAAGGCTGGTTCTAACATTTAACAGCTGTATGATTTAGGGCAAATCACTTAATCTTACTCATCTTTAGTTTCCTCATCTATAAATGAGAATAATAATTATTATCTCAGAATTATTTTGACCTTTAAATGAGTTAACATAAGAAGCACTTAGCATGTTATATGACACATATAATATACTCAGTAACGTCACTTCTACTTTTAAAATTATAGGTTGATATCAAGTCCTTACCGTATTCCTAGATAAGTGCATTATGTGAAGATTTCTTTTAATTCTTTCAACCTTTTGCGGTTAGTTTGGTCCCACTTTACAAATTGGGAAAGTAAGGATGAGAGGGGTTAACTTGCCTGCTATCATGTAACCAGTAAGTGGCAGAGCTGAGACCCAAACGAAAGGCCTTATTCTTAACCACTGCAATGCACACTGGTTCTGAACTGTAGCAAAAGGGGTAACGTATGTTTTAGAGACTCAGGTCAGAACCTGGAAAGTTATTTGGAAGGGAAAATGGAAGAAAGGAAAACGTGAATGAGGATTTCAAAAGAAGAAACTTGAAAAAAGCAGTAGGGGTGTGCATTTGGTAGATGTAGAAGGAAAAGAGTTCAGACAGGGGTAACTGAGGCGAGACAGTAAAGGCAAGTGGAATGTGTGAGTCATTCTGTGGGGCGGGTTCTTTTTGGCAACTGTACACTAGCTTTAAGCACAGAAAAGACAATAGATTGCTGAAGAAACTGTCACAGCATTAATGTATGAGTCTAAAGAGAATTTTTTCCCGTTTGGTTTGCTGCTTATTATCTGTTTCCTTTCCAGAATGTCTGGGTTAAGATATTTCAGATGCCACTCCCTTATTCTCAATCAATTTGTATCTTAGGCATATTTTCTGGATTAATATAGAGTGGTTTTAAATCTACCCTTGTTTTTATTAGTTTCCATAATTTGTTTACATCTTTTTTTATGTCAGGATGCTATTATCTAGTTTAAAGTTGAGATACTGGAAGAAATAGTTGTTTTAAATCTGGATAACAAATTGGAGGAATGTTGAAAGTTCCATTTGTTAGGTGTGGTGTCTCACTGCATGAGGTCAGTCTTCTCCAAAATTTTGCTACAAGTACTACTTTCTCTTTTTTAACCAGAAATCAAATAAATAGATATCAGTATAAATTTTATGCTTTCTCTCCTATGAGTCTCTCTTCCCTTTCTCTCTTCTAAGGAAAGAATTTAAAGGCAGATAAAGTCTTTCTCCTGAAGGAACTCACAATTCAGTATCTAATACAATAAGTGCCATAGTAAGAGCAAGAAAACAAATGAGGGCACGTTAAATTCTGTGGTGCAGAGGACAGAGATGCAATTAAGTTACAGAGATATTGGAGCTGATCCTTAAAGGCTTTGTGACAGAACTAGGAAGGGCATTCTAGACAGAGGAACAGCCTGAAGAAGGCACAGGGCACCCCAGTCGTTCAGTGAGTTGCAGCCTAAACAGGAGCAGACCCTCTGGAGAGTCTTTCTTTGGCTGCTGGAGCTCAAGCCAAAAATGGCTCAAGGTGGTTGTTTCTAAAAGAGGAGTTACAGTCTTAACCTGCTCTAGTGGGCAGCTAGTCATTATAATGCTAAGAAAGAAGGCCATGAAAAAAAATGCTGCAGAATGAAAGCAAATTTGAAGTCCAACGAGGGGAAAAGCTGAATTACACCCCCGTAACTCTCCACCTTTGAGGAAGCCTGCTACAGGGATATCCACATTATGCAAGTGGCTTTCATTCCCCAGCTCATCCCACTTGCTTATTTCTGGCTGTTTTCCTGTCAATTTTTGATTGCTTTGTTATGCAGCTATCCATTGATCATTTTAGAAATAGATGGCATTTATTAGATTTGTCCCTGTGCCAGCCACTCCATGCTCTTCGTGTCCTCCATCATTCAACAGCTTTCCCTATCTTCTCTTGTGATTTTACTTTAATGGTCCTACTGACTTCTTTATATGTCACATAGATCACACGGTCACACAGCCACCCCCAGCTGGGGAAGCTGGGAAAGTGCATACTTAGCTTTTTCAGCCTCCACAAAGAAGAACCCTTGGGGAATGGGTATGTCTGCTACAGAAACCCTTTTCTTACTGCCCTACCTTGTTATTTCCACCCACTTTCATTTCTTTCTTCTTATCAATCCAACTCTTCTTTCTCTCTAGAGAAACAAAAAATTCTTTAAAGATTAAGATTCTTCACTGATATACTTGACATATGTATTGAAGTTTCATGAAAGAATAAATTACAGCTCAAATTTTCAATTTTGGTTTCTATAGACTAGCAGTTCCCTAATTTTAGCCCTATAAAAGCATCTGCAGAGGGAATGTTTACAGTGGGTTTTGGTACATTCAGTTGCGTAGCACTATTCAGCATAAATGTCATATGCCAAAGTATAGTATTCTGTTGTGCGTTTCCTCTGTTGCTATTTTAAGACATTAATATTAGGAGTCAGATGGGAGTTCTTGTTTATTTTACTTAAACTGAAGCTTTTGGCTACAATAAATTGTCCTCCAGGTTTATAAAGCAGTAGAATCATTTGATGCAAGCAGTTGGAATAGTTCATTCATTCAATAAATATTTATTAAGTACCTATTATGTGCTTGTGGGTATTGAGAGATGGAAGAGTTGGTAGGGAATGATATCTGAGAACGGACTGCCTAGGTTCATGAAAATAGAAGCAATTACCAGCCTAATAAACAACGATCAAATATACATAGATAGGTGGGTGGATGGGAGGTCAGATGAATGGATGGGTGGATGGGCAGACAGAATCAGATGGACAGATACCTACTAAAAGTAAGAATAATGTTAGATTAGTGGTGTTTCAATATTGTTGTCTAAAGATATGTTAACTTTTTAAAAATTCAGGTTGACAAATTTGCAATGGAATTAGAACAGAGCCGGGATCTGAACAATACCATAGTGCACATTGACATGGATGCTTTCTATGCAGCTGTAGAAATGAGGGACAATCCAGAATTGAAGGATAAACCCATTGCTGTAGGATCAATGAGTATGTTGGTAAGTACGTGAAGATCAATGACAAACAGGAAATCTCATAATGTATTCAAGTAAGCCTTACTGGTTGATGAAGGGGGAAGCCTTTATTCAGTTCTGCCAGTTTGCTAAGTATTTTTTTGGGTACTTCGTATGTGTTCAATTACTGAATCCTTGCAGCATCACTTGAGGTACAAATTATTTCCATTTACAGATAAGAAAACAAAGTCAGAGAGGTGTTTAATAACTTCCCCAAAGTTACAAACCTGGTAAATGGTAGAGTGGCATTGTATCTTTCTGTTGCAAATTATATTTTTCTTCAGTAACTGTTCTAGTTAAAGAGAACAGAAGAAAGGAAAGGAAATGTTCTTCTAAAGCAGAGGTTTGCAAACAATGGCCTGCAGGCCAAATCCAGCCTGCCGCCATTTTTTTTGTAAATAAAAATTTATTGGAACACAGTCACACGCATTCATTTACTATTTTTGTTGCACTGAAAGAGCAGAGTTCAATAGTTGGAACAGATCCTCAAAGCCTAAAGTAATTACTATTTTGACCTTTATAGAAAAGGTTTGCCAACCCCAGTTCTAGAGTAACGTATTTCATTAATACAGTACTGTAATTCAGTAGTTTTTCCCATGACCCAGAGCCTTTGCTTTTCTCATTACTATGTTGCTTTTCCTTACTGCCACCCTAACCATAGAAAGTAAAGATGACCAGGATAGCTGTAGGTAGCTAAAAATGTGTCGTGACTTAAAAATAGCAACTGGAATAGATGGATTTGGGTATTAAAAAAACATACAAGAGAAACAAGGAGAGTTCTTCCCTGTTCCTAACTCCTTCCAATGCTTAGATAGCTATAAACCTAATTCCTATTAAGTTTTTATTTTATTATTAAACTATAATCTGCTTTTTCAGTATCTCTGTTCCCATGAGTTTGCAGGCAGCTAATAATCCTAATTCCAAAACAGTGTTTATTAAAAGGTTACTCTCCTTTCCTACAAATCATCAACTAATATTTGAAAGAATATATTTAATTTTATTAAGAATATATGTCATACAGGGCCAGCCCAGTGGCCTAGTGGTTAAGTATGTGTGCTCCGCTTTGGTGGCCTGGGGTTTGCCAGTTTGGATCCCGGGTGTGGACCTACGCACTCTTATCAAGCCATGCTGTGATGGTGTCACACATATAAAATAGAGGAAGATGGGCATAGATGTTAGCTCAGGGCCAATCTTCCTCACCAAAAAGAGGAGGATTGGCAGTGAATGTTAGCTCAGGGCTAATCTTCCTCAAAAAAACCCCCAAAAAACAAAAAAAGAATATATGTCATCATATATTTATGTGAAATTATGTATATGTGCATATGTATACATACACACACATACACGCTATAGCCATGTTAAAGCTAAATCCACAAAATATCTTCTTTCTTATAATTTCTGTCCTCCTCAAAATTGGTTATGGTTTCCAAATTCAAAATGATTATTTGCTATATTTAGAAATGATTACTCTGTTTGTATGCTGAACTAATAGATTTCCCTTCTAATGAGATTTGAAGCATAATTGCTTTTGTCCTGTTAAACTCATAAAAGTGTATCTACAAATTAATGGTAGTGATGATACGTGTTTGATTATTCCAGTCTGTTACAGTTAGAACTCTTTTTTGAATAATTTGATGGATCCTTGAAATGTTCTAAGTTAGCACTCAAAGGTGGACCTTAGACTCCGCAGCAGTTATTTGTTGCTACATAATAAACCCATTTAGTACTTAGTGGACACCATTTCTTTGCTCATGATTCTGTAATCTGAGCAGAGTACAGTGGGGATGGCTCGTCTCTACCCTTCCTATTGGCTAGGGCTATTTAGCTGCGGCTGGAAGATCCAAAATGGCTTCAGGAACATGCCTGGCATTTCCACTGAGGTGGCTGGAGTGGCTTCCAGCTGGTGAGCTTTCCCCTGTCTACATGGTGCATCATCATTTAGTAATCTAACCCAAGAGCTTTGCATAGTTGCTGGGTCCCAAAAAAGCAAAGGCAGAAGCTGCAGACTTCTTAATGTCTAGGCTTCAGGACTCACATGTCACTCCCTCACGTTCTTTTGGTCAAAGCAAGTCACAACAATGCAAGTCACTTGGCATGAGGAACTGGAACCCACCTTTTGATAGGAGGAAGTGTAAAATATTGTGGCTGTGTTTTACAACCTACCACAAACCTAAAAGTTAAAGGAAGTCATATCTAAAATTTTGTTTCTGCTCTGCTATAGATTTAGCTTTTATATCAATTCCATTAGACCTATTTATATTTAAAGCATTGGTTTATCTTTCTAGTGCTGTTCCAGAATACTAATCAAGGATGATTATAGTTTTGAGTACTCTCAAGACTTTTTAAATGTCATTTGAAAGCTATTAATGGTAAATTGATATTATCATTCTGAAATAATCCCTTCATGTGATAGGTTCTGTTTTTCTATTTCTTTAAATTTTCACTTGAGATTCCAAAATTCCATTTGTGATAAAAATTTTTTAGAAGTGTTTCTGTGGTCTACCACAGTACCATAGACTGTTGTCAGTATCGTCATCAACAGGATTTAGTAAGTAATGTTCTGCTTTTCACTTTTGTAATTTTTTAGTTCCATCTCCTAGTCAAAATGTTTTCACCGAAAAAGATATTCAAACCTTAGGAAATAAAACTTAATTTTTAAAGTCCTTTTAAGCTTTACTCATTTCATTTTGGAGACTTAATTTAACTAACCATATATTAGACCTTTGATTTTTGTTCTAGATGAAAGATTTCCAAAATCCCAAATACAGCAAATTCCAAATCTGCACTATTACTTTCTAAACTACTACTTTCATGTAACATCTATACTATTTGCCCTGTACTATTGCTTTATAGCTACACTTTACTATTACTATACTAATGCTTTTGTGTAACATCACGCACTGTCATCCAAACTCTGATAAATACTGTATTACAGGTATGCCTTAAAACTAATGAAGTTTAGTTACTGGAAGTGTAAGAGAAACTTTTTATTAGCACAGTCTTGCTTATTGCCTGGTATCATGTTATAAATAGGGGGACAGCAGTGGGAGAAGTTCATGGTATCATAATACCATGATAGCATAAAGGCAAAGCTTGATTTGAGACAGCAGCCTATAAAAGAAATGCCCTTGAATTGAAAGTGCTCATCAGTAATGTGTTTCCTATGAATGCATCAATCAATATGTCCATTTAGGTTTGTGTATTTTTTCCAATGTGGTCCATTTTCTTTCAGTCTACTTCAAATTACCACGCGAGGAGGTTTGGTGTTCGTGCAGCCATGCCAGGATTTATTGCTAAAAGACTCTGCCCACAACTTCTCATTGTGCCGCCAAACTTTGACAAGTACCGAGCTGTGAGTCGAGAGGTGAGTCTGTCGTCTCCCCCTGCTTTAGCCTTTCACTCACTCCTGTCACCTGCAGAATCAAGTCCGAATGTCTTAGCACGTCAGCCTCTGGCCTTAGCTTATCCCTTCAGTTCACCTCCTACCATTTCTTCAGCTTGTATATTGAATACTGAGCTGCGCACAGTCCCCGGAATACGCCCTTCTATTTCCTAGTTCTTTGCTTTTTCTCAGTTCTCAGTTTTTTCCAACCGCTTAGAAAACTTTGAATTGCTTAATTTATAACCTAAATTAACTTTAGCTATTTTTTCTTAATATGCAATATACATTTTCTTCTAGAATCACCTTATGTTTCTAATTTACAGAATCTACTCAAGTCATTATTTTCAACTCTTTTCTGAATAAATTTTTTATTAATGTTTTTAAACAGTAGCAAAATTCATTTATTTTGATTAGCTGCCTTCCTTGCCTCACAATCTAGTGAGGATGCTTGTGAGCATTTAATGTTAGGAGCCTGATAATCAAAGAAAAAAAGGAATAATCTATTAATTTGAAAGGGATCTCTGAAGTATGAAGATCTGATTATTCACTAAAATTCCCTAAACTGTCATATATGAAAATCTGCCGTTTTCTCTATTTTTGATAACAACTGGACTATCATGCCAGTGCTAAAACTTCAGTTGTAAATTAAAATTTTAGAGTGCTGCATCAAACACTTTTAGACTACTGTGGTAAAATGCAGTATGTTAAAGACTGTTGTTTGAACTGAAATACTTAAAAATTGATGGGCTTACACCTATTACCATGTAATCATGCAAATAGTCTTAGATTCACTACTCTTGTTTGCATTCCACCTCATTTCCCCTAGAAATGAACCCCCCCAATTTAAAATGATACCCCACCCCAAATTAAAAGAAACTTTCTTCTTTCTTTCAAAAACAGTTTGTGAAAAGGTGGGGTGCCAGAAGAGAAGCACATGCAAGTTTAGTTAATGCTTATCTCTTTTACTGTATTCGTAATTAGAAAAGATAAAATGCTAACCACAAATGTTACAGGCTTTTAATAAGTTTGAAAATCCTTCAAAGACTTTGTAAGAAAGATTTTTTTTTTTTTGGGTGAGGAAGATTCACCCTGAGCTAACACCTATTGCCAATCTTCCTCTTTTTTTTTCTTCTTTTTTGCTTGAGGAAGATTAACCTTGAGCTAACATCTGCGCCAGTCTTTCTCCACTTTGGATGTGGGACACCTCCACAGCATGTCTGATGAGTGGAGGAGGTCCGTACCCGGGATCTGAACCCACGAACCCGGGCTGCTGAAGCAGAGCATGCAGAACTTTAAGCACTAAGCCATGGGGCCCGGCCCCAGAAAGAATTTTTTTAAGTCCTACTTTAACTCATTGAAACTTTTGACAGTATGACAATGAGAACCAAGTTGGTTTTAGTTATCTTTAGTCTAGTTATTCATGTACGTTGGAGAAATCTTTCATCAAATTTGAGCAGAATTGAACTAATTTATTTGCAGATAACAAATGAGTTCTTCTGTATAAATGAACTAAGCACACATTCACTGACTATAAAAACATGAATCTTTACGGCTTAGTTTAAAAGTTTAAGGAAAAGCAATTTTCGTTTCATCCAAGAGAATGGAGTAGCTTTAACTGTTCTCGAAGCCCAAGTGCTTGACTTTCACTGGAACGTGTCAGTGTTTGTTCTCAAAGCAGTGTCCTGGGTGAAGGAGGTTAGTGAGTGCTCAGTGTCTTGGGAACACTTTTCATTCAGAATCATCTTATTGGCTGCTAACCAGAGTTTCATTTTCACTAGAAAGAGTCCATTATAAAAATGGTTTCTTCTATAAGAACAAAGCTAATTAAGGTACACTCGGAGTAGAGCTTAGCCAAGTTTTATGTCACCGTTCTCTAAAATTACCTTTGACTCAGCTGTTCATAATTATATTAAGCTAAAAAGCTTTCTTTTTATAAAACATAAAAAAAGGCTTTCTCCTGATACACCGGACAGCTTTTAAATACTAGAAACGTAACATAATTCAGCAAATATGTTTTTCTAATATGCGTATTATTTTGGCAATCATTTCCTATGATTTCAGCTAATACTTCAGTGGTGAAAAAAATTCATAGTTTCCTATGGTAAAACTATCTTATATAAAAGGCATTTCTGGAATTATATAGAGATTCTGATCTCTGTGGAATTATATAGAGATTCTGATCTCTTTGTATTTCTTTTATCCCAAGATGCAACTCCAGACTTTTCTCCATCATTTAATATAGTCACAGACATATGCTACAGATTTTGTCATTTTTTCCATTCTAAGTCCTGATAATTGAGCTTTGTTTTCCTGAATGGATACATAGACTAATGTGTGTATTAAGTGGAGTTTTATGTGTATATAATAATTAATTGAAATAGAACTACTTTCTAATGCAACATAGTACCTTTATGTAAGATTATTCCTTTTTTAAATGAAGAAAAACTGTCATAAAAGGTGAGAGGGAGCAGGATCCTGTTGTTTCCACTTCTACTTTTCTTTTGCTGAGGAAGATTGTCCCTGAGCTAACATCTGTTGCCAATCTTCCTCTTTTTTCCCTGAGCTAACATCTGTGTCAGTCTTCCTCTATTTTGTATGTGGTTCACCACCATAGCATGGCCACCAATGAGTGGTGTAGGTCTGCACCCCAGATCCAAACTCAGGCCGTCAAAGTGGAGCACACCAAACTTAACCACTAGGCCATGGGGCCGGCCTTCTACTTCTGCTTTTGACCAGCTACCTAAAATTACATTGCATAACCTTTTTTTCTGTTCCTACCAGAATAATGTTGTCTGAGATTTATTTGACTCAGTTACTATATCTAGATAATAGGAGGCTAAGTAGAGATGATATCAAATGAAGCTATTTCATGGTCTTCTGCCTTCGTGATCTGTTTTAATACAAAACAGAATTTGGACAGCTTGCCCTGGTGGTAAATTATTTATTCCCTAAATCTATGAGCTATTGATTGCAGGATCATTACTATAGTTGCAAAGTAAGAATATTAATGTTTCTTATCAGCTGTATATGACAGGTTTTGCTGTGTAGCAAAATTTGAACCATTTTTTTCCTTTTAAAGGTCAAGGAAATACTTGCTGATTATGATCCCAATTTTCTGGCCATGAGTCTTGATGAAGCCTACTTGAATATAACAAAGCACTTACAAGAAAGACAGAATTGGCCTGAGGACAAAAGGAAGTATTTCATCAAAACAGGGAGCTCTCTAGACAACGGTAAGCAATTATTAGAACAATCAAACTAAAAAACAGAAAACCCTTTAAATTAACTCGGTCAACTCACCAGCATGCATAGCTGGTGGGACTAGATAGATCTTTATTATGAAAAATTATTAAAGATGGAAAGTCAGAAACTTAAAATAGACCAGTGGGTTTTCTGAGTTAAGTGTGTGGAACGTGACTTTTAAACCAAGTGAGATGGTTAAATGTCTAGACTTTCAGAGAGTGCAGAGTCCCTGAAGAAAGTAACTTCATAAAGTTCTTTTCCTACGCTCTAGCTAGGAAGGATGGGATTGCATTGAATCTGAGGAGGTTATCCTTTTAAGGTGGCCTTTTGTTGTAGATGTTAATAGAAAATCGGTTTTTAAAAAATAAGCCTCAAACACAGTCAAAACATTGGGTGGGGTTTTTTTCATTTCCCAAATTTTCTATAATCTGGTTATACAGTGATTATGACTGTTTACAACCTTGCCAAAATTAATGACTGCCCAACTCCCTTCTTTGCCTTACACCTTATTTTGATTCTTTTATATAAAATGAAACAGCAGTTTCATGTCCCCAAGGTTCTTTCAAATGGCCCCTTTATTACCTATCCAAAACGATGCCAAGAAACATGCAGATATTACACACACTGCTTTCAACCCTGTGTCAAAGGTATGGTCACTGCAAAGGTCTGAGCTGTCCTGGCTCCTGAGCAAAGTTCACCTGGGTGAAAAGGTAGACATAAGGGGTTTACTCACAACCCACAACCACATTTCATGCCCACAGCTCATTGACTGCTTCAGAGGGGACAGGCGGTGGTGGGGAAGCCTGTTTGTAACTCTCCCTGAAGCAAGAACGGTGGATCCTCAATGGCATAAAATTCTAACTCTAACATTGTTTGTGGCTCACGTCTTTGGAACAAGTTTAATGTGGACATCAAATCACAACTTCTTTGCCTTATTTAGATCTCTAGGGGGTAGATCTCACTTTATTTAATAGAAACATTCAACAATAAGCGTAATTTTTGAACACAGGCTTGGAGCAAAAGGTTTTCTTTCCTTAGTATACCTTTATGTTTGGGAAGTGGCACACAAAGCCTGATGTCACTTTGTTTAAAATCTCATTTTGTTAGTTCCTTACTTTTGACAAAAGAAGGGGTGGGGGATCATTAAATGATTATGTCAAAGCATCCCCTGAGGGCCTCCTGTAATAATTACTTTCACAATATGTTTTTTAAAAATTACATTGGGACTGAGGTAAATGTTGTCATTCCCTACATTTGTTAGAATATGTCCAAACTCACTATGAGGATGTAAATATTTTTTAATATCTATTGCTTTTAACATTTATTTATGTACCTTCCTCTTCATGTATTTCACATTCTTACGCAATTTAAGTAGTTTAACTTTTTTTCTCATATATAAATCCTTGTGGGTTAGACTTTCAGCATTTCTGATTCCACATTGTGCCGTGGGGAGCTGCCAGCAGTGAGCTGGAGCCATGGCAGATGATTGAGGTAGCTTCCTCTAAAGTCCAAGACTTTTTTTCTTCTGTTTGCCCCTTTTCTAAAAGGTGCAGTCTTTGGAAAATTATTGCTAACTACTGTGTCTATATACAAATAAAATGATAATTATTATTTTATGGCTCTTCTGCCATATGACTGGATGGTGAGTGCAGGCAGGGTGAGAGACTGGAGTACCTTACACATTTTAGCACTTGCAGGCATCCAGATGGGATGTTCTAGTTCTGGTGTTTCAGATTATAAGAAATCTTCGTTTTGTACTCCAATCACCTCAGTTGTGGGATTATAAAGATATTCCTTTCAGAAAGCAAGTAAGGAACCCCTTCAGCAGCTAGTTACATAGCTGGACCTCACAGAGAACTAGACAGATTGAAAAAGTAACTACACCGTTCGGCGGCATCTCTAACAGTGGACCTGAAGGCAGCAAACTTTGCTTCCTGGTACAGTGTTCTGCTCTCAGTGGCTCCCCTGAGGGTGGGGCGATAGGGGCCTGAGATCCATAAACCTGACACAAGGCACTCTGCAGGAGGAGCTTCTGAACGTGACAGGTACCTTACTTGCTCTGCAGTTTTCTGCACCTCTCTTTACCTTGACTTCCACCCATCCAGATGGGGAAAAGGGGTCCAGGTAGATATCATTTCAACTGTGCCATTGTCTTAATCACTCCTGAATTGCTTTGCATTTTAAAACCAGAATATGGAAAATGAAAGGAAGTGAAGAACATAAACAACAGCAAATGTAAGTTTGAAAATAAGGGTTATTTCATATGTGACTTGGGAATTCAGATTTGGAAAACATCTGTCTGTAACTTAATTCATATTATATACTTTAAAATTTCAAACTAATGAGGTGTTTGTCATATGTATATTATCTTTATTTTTATTTTTATTTATTTATTATTTTTTTAAAGATTGGCACCTGAGCTAACATCTGTTGCCAATCTTTTTCTTTCTTCTTCTTCTCCCCAAAGCCCCCCAGTACATAGTTGTTTATTGTAGTTGTGGGTCCTTCTGGTTGTGCTATATGGGATGCCGCCTCAGCATAGCCTGATGGGCAGTGCCATGTCCACGCCCAGGATTCAAACCGGCAAAACCCTGGACCACTGAAGCCGAATGTGCGAACTTAACAATTCAACCACAGGGCCGGCCCCATATTTTTTTATTATTATTATTTTTAAAAATTTTAATTTAATTTACTTTTTTTTTTGGTGAAGAAGATTTGTCCTGGACTAACATCTGTGGCCCATCTTCCTCTTTTTGCTTGAGGAAGATTGTCACTGAGCTAACATCTGTGTCAGTCTTCCTCTATTTTTCTTGTATGTGGGAGGCCGCCACAGCATGGCTGGCGGGTGGTGTAAGTCTGCCCCCAGGATCCAAACCTGCGAACCCTGGGCCACTGAAGTGGAATGCGAGAACCCAGCCACTATGCCCCCAGGCCAGCCCCCTGTATAGTATCTTCAGAAAACCTGCCTAAAAGGCCAAGTTCATTTTTTAAGTAATATGCATTCATATGTGTCTTGAAACTAGAAATTTAATTTTTACTTCTGCATTTACCTTAATTTGGAAAACATTTACATGTAATAAAATTATGAAATGGGATCAGAAAGCTCTGTTGTTAATCTTAGTTGTTATAAATACATTTAAGCTGCATTTCTCCTCCATTAAGCCCAGAAAAAAAAATCTTTAATGGATTTGTTTATGAGGACATTTTTAGTATCAGTATAGATTTAAGCGTATTTTACAGTCCGTTTATGCAAATAAAATGAGGTAATAACCAGAGTGGTATTTTTACTTTACTTCTTAATAATAATATTAGTTTACATCCTATTGATAATAATAAAGGCTTCTTTCCCTTGAACTTGGGTCATGGTTAATCTGATGAGACTTTAACCGTTTGTATGTTTAAAGAAGTGTAACTTCCAGAAGTAATTTACATTTATTTCAAATATGCCCTTAGTGAAGTGATACTTTATAAACAAGTAAGTCAAAATTTAAATCAGCACCTGAAAGAAGAAAATTTGGAGTATTTTAATATCTGAAAAGTTCCTTCCATGAATGAAGAAAATTTTTTTTCCCCTCTAAAAACAAAACTTATTTTTCAGTCATAATTATTCTAGATTGCTTAATGCCTTTTCCTCATTCCTAAATTCTAATATAAGAAGGTTCTTTTTTCCCCCCAGAGATGACTAAAGGGGAAAAAAAGCTTTTATTTCTTTTTTTGAAGAAAAATGTAATGTGAATCTAAACCCAGTTCTGGGTTTCAATTAATTTAGATACAAAAATTAGTGTGGTTTACATAAGATATTTCCTTTTAAAATGTATACTATGGAAATGGATAATATTCCTTTTAAGAAAAACGTAGTCTTCTTTGTTAAACAATGACAAAATATAAATAACATTCTTTTAAAGTCTTCCTTTTTTCTTTCTTTTTTTCTCTTTTTTTTTCATGAAGAAGGTTGTTACTGAGCTGACATCTGTTGCCAGTCTTCCTCCTTTTTCTTGAGGAAGATTGTTGCTGAGCTAACATCTGTGGCAGTCTTCCTCTATTTTGTATGTGGGAGGCCACCACAGCATGGCTTGATGAGCAGTGCACCTGGGATCTGAACCTGTGAACCCTGAGCCTCTGAAACAGAGTGCACATACGTAACCAGTATGCCACCAGACTGGCCCTAAATAGCATTTCTTATCTTGCTGCTTAGAAACAAAACTAAACTAGATTTGTTTTGTCTTGAGAAAGAATGTAGGGAAACTTAATTTATGAATTATGTACTTCTTGAAATGGAGATGAATTACTGTTCCTGTTTATAATTTAGATAAACCAGGAAAGGAAGTTAAACTGGGTGAGTGTGAACGATCCATCTCTCCACTACTTTTTGAAGATACTCCTCCTGATTTGCAGCCCCCAGGAAATCCTTCCCAAGTGAACATTGAAGAACAAAATAATCCTCAAGAATTCCAGAACTCAGTTGTTTTTGGAACATCAGCCGAGGAAGTGGTAAAGGAAATTCGTTTCAGAATCGAGCAGAAAACAACACTGACAGCCAGTGCAGGTACTTACAAGGATATTGTTGGCTACAATCATTATAATTTCAGAGTGGCTAATTCAAGTGTAATATTAGTAGGTTCTCATTATAAAGTATACAGTAACATTTTACTTACCAGTTTTTGATTCAACTTCTAATGGCTCTTCAGAATGCCTAGAACCTAAAGGTAAGTTGGAATTAAGCAGAAAAGCCTATGAACCCAAGGAAAAAACTATCATAAATCTCCTGTAGCTATCCTTTTTTTAAGCACAAAATGTCTGAATTGGTTTTGGGCATAATACTTCAGTAGTTTTCCTGTGGAAAAGTTCAGCCCCGTCCAGGATTGCAGTGCAAGAGAGACCCCAGATGGCCACAAGGTAGGAGACAGAAGAAACACCAGCCAATAACATGGCAATCTAGGACCATGTGCTGCAGGGAAAATCTCTACATACCGTGAGCGTATCACTGTATCTCAGCGTGGAGACTGATGTTCATCGTGAGGGCCCTAAATTATCTGATAAAAGCCATGTTATGATTAGCTGGGTCTTTTCTTTCTACGCCAAAGCATGAGAATCAGTAATAACTTTTAGGAAGATGTGTATAAAAATTGAACTGAACGATTCAGTGATCATATTTGAATATAGCTATTTCAAGTTATTTTAATCATTCAGACTCTTGTTGTAAAACACTTTTCTGAAAAGTAGTAATCTGCTTTGTGGGTAACATATGAAGGATGTACACAGTTCATTATCATTGTTTTAAAAAACACTACAACCCAGAACCTTTGGGGGTTTTTTTTAATGTGGATAATCTGTGCAAAAGACCTTTTCAAAGAGTAAGTATCCATCCTAAGTTATATTCTGGATCTTTTCTATAGGACAGCTGTGTGTTCATGCTAAAGATAGTAAGTAAACAAATAATATCACTTAAACTCAGAAATTACTCCTAGACTTTAAAATACTATGGAGATTTAAATATTCCTCATTTCTGCTACCACAATAACTAATACAATTCCTTCTCCTAAAACCATAGCAAGCCCTGGGGAGACAGATAGTAATCAAGTGTTATTTTTAAAGTAGCATTCCACGTTACTTCAGATTCTTTTGCACTGAACGTTATTTTTTTTTCTGTATTGACATCACACACTTAAAAATCATCATATCAACTTCTTGGAGTCATCAGAGTGTTCTTCTTTTAAGGCATTGCTCCAAATACAATGTTAGCAAAAGTATGCAGTGATAAGAATAAACCAAATGGACAGTACCAAATTCTGCCCGACAGACAGGCTGTGATGGACTTCATCAAGGACCTACCCATCAGAAAGGTGAGATCTTATATGTCATTTCTCATCTGTTTATATAGACCCTGAGTTCTGAAGAGATGGTGTTGGGACGATAGTAATCATTCTTTGCTGAAAAGTTGTGAAACGGTGGTTAATAAGCAAAAACTGTAATGGGTGATTGAATTGGACTTGGAAGAAATCTTTCTATGAAACCCTAAAAGTGAGGCTTAGGAAGCTTGTTTGTTGAAAAGTTTTAAGAAAGTCATAGATAACAGACTTTTAAGTGTACTCCTGCCAAGAAGAGAAATAAAAAGAATTCTTGTAAGAGTCCTTTCCTCTGTAACTTAATATGCTATCTTAGTTCTGAAGTCCAGATTGCTACCAGATTAATAGGTACAATACTTAAAAAAGATTTAGAATTTTAATTGTTTTTGACAAAAATAAACCAAAATACTATATCTTTCAAATGGTAAAATGATTCCTCAGCAGTTATAGAAAGGGTATATTTTATTATTTTTTAAAGCTTCTAGATTTTTCTACATATATACGCTTTTTTTTTTTTTACAATAATTGCACTGTATTATACTATTTGATGTTCTAGGGCTTGCTTTTCTCACTCAACGTAATGTATATGAGTGAATTTAAAGAAAGCATTTTCCTATGCTCAGAAGAAAGGCTATGTCAAAGCATATAATATATAATGATTACTGAATTGTTTAGTATATGTAAGGTGTAGCCATAAAGCAGTGTTTTCCAGTATGTTTTTCAAGGTATGAATGGCTGTTCCATCAAAAGTTTCTGTAGTCAAATAACTTTGGAATTTACCATCCTTGGGTGACAACAATGTTAATATCTTAAAAATTCAGAAGTCTTGCAATAAAAAGTGCATTTTAAGATTGGTACCTGAACCAACAACTGTTGCTAATCTTTTTTTTTTTTTCTGCTTTTTTCTCCCCAAATACCCCCAGTACATAGTTGTATATTTTAGCTGTGGGTCCTTCTAGTTGTGGCATGAGGGATGCCGCCTCAGCATGGCTGGATGAGCGGTGCCATGTCCGCGCCCAGGATCCAAACCAGTGAAACCCTGGGCCACAGAAGTGGAGTGCGCAAACTTAACCACTCGGTCATGGGGCTGGCCCCAAAAAGTTCATTTTAAATTTGTTTTTCCCACCATTCCCCAAGTTTATATGACCACAGAACTCTTTTTTAATGCTTTTTAAAATTCCACGGAATTTTAAATTTTATTTTATTTTATTTTTCTTGAGGAAGATTAGCCCTCAGCTAACTACTGCCAGTCCTCCTCTTGTTGCTGAGGAAGCCTGGCCCTGAGCTAACATCCGTGCCCATCTTCCTCTACTTTATATGTGGGATGCCTACCACAGCATGGCGTGCCATGTGGTGCCATGTCCACACCCGGGATCCGAACCAGCGAACCCCAGGCCACCGAGAAGCGGAACGTGCGAACTTAACTGCTGCGCCACTGGGCCGGCCCCGGAATTTTAAATTTTAAATGTCCATGGAATACTAGTTTAGGAAATGTAGCCAAAAAGTAATTAAAGAGGTTTTTTGCATGGCTTATGAAGCTAGTCACATTATTCATGCCTCTTATTAGTTATAAAAGGTATAATGAGATTATAATCTCAGTTCTTACCTTAATTTAAAAATGTGTTAATGATAAATATTGATTCTTTTCTAGGTTTCTGGAATAGGCAAAGTTACAGAGAAAATGTTAAAGGCCCTTGGAATTATTACATGTACAGAACTCTACCAACAGAGGGCATTACTTTCTCTCCTTTTCTCTGAAACATCTTGGCATCAGTTCCTTCACGTTTCCATGGGTCTCGGTTCAACACACCTGGCAAGGTATCTATATGTGTGGTCCTGCTTTCTCTTACAATTTTAAGCATTGGGATGGAGGCTATAAGGATAACATGTTTTAAAATTCTTATAAGCTAGTGCAAGTCAGAGTATAATTTTTGAATTAGAATCAAAAGATTGGATGTGGGAGGAGAGGGAAAGAGGAATAAAGAATCACTCCTGGGTTGCTGGCTACAGCAGTTGGATAGATGGACAAGAGGAATGGCAGGTTCTTTCTTTTCTATACCTGCCTTGTGTTTTGTTCAGGGTGTAAAAGTACTGGTGGTCAGATTGTTGAGCAAAGAAAGATGGCTCATATTCCAGAATTCACCCTTTAAGATGTATGGTTCTTTGAAAGCCTTCATGAACTAACTATATTTCTTTTCCAGTTTTGTAAATGATTCATTCATTCAATGCTGAGTACTTTCTTGGTGTTAGGCAGTGTTCTAGGCACTGGGGATTACAGCAGTAAACAGGAGAAAGTCCTGCCCTGGTGGCATTTACAGAGTACTGTGGGAGATAGAAAGTAAGGCAGAGCGAGGGCACAGAAAATGACCTGGGGGCAAGGGTAGGGGTTAGCAGCAGTCACCCGAGGCAGAGGCCTCAGGGCAGCCCTGCAGAGGCCGAGGAGAAGAGGAAAAGCTGGCGGAGAGGCCCTGGCTCTCTTGCATCTAGGTCTTAGAAGAGGTATCCTAGAGCTAGGAGGGTACGCTCTTGGGGGTGGACAACAAGAAGAGAGTAAAAAAAATGGGAATCGTGGAAATTGATGCTGGGCACTATTTTTATAATTTTGTCATCATCCTGTCAGCCTGCCCTCAAAATAACTCCTTTATAATCTTATACTTACACTAAAGGAAAACTGAGGAAGCATAAAAATAAGTTTGATTAACCAGTCAAACCTGCTAAATCTTATAAAGATTGCAAGGTCTGTGGATTGCTTTTCTCATCTCTCCATGCTCCTCATTCTTTTGAGTCCACTGTTAGCTGACTTTGTTCTTGAGTGGATATAGTGAAAGATAAGAGAAAGACATCACAGTACTATAAATAATCTAGTATTTGAAGATAATGGGAAATAAAACCTTCTTCTTTAATCCAAGAATTACCCTCTCTTTATTTCCATAGTGCTTGAAAACAATACAGTTCTTGGTATAACATGGCACATATTAACCTTTGGTATTTAGGGATGCAGGTAATGCTGTTCAGTGAAATTCGTAGGTAATTTATAATAATGTAAAATAGCGAACCTGCCTTCCCTTCTATCGACATTCTCTATTCCCCTACTCTGCTTTATTTTTTAATCTGTAGTACTTCTAACATATTCCTTATTTACTTCCATATTTGTTGTTTGTCTCCCTCCACTTAGATATAAGTTTCTTAAGGGCAGACACTTGGTCTGTTTTGTTCATTACAATATCCCCAACGCCTAGAACAGTGCTTGATTCATAGTAGGTTCAGTAAATATTTGGAAAATGAATAATCTACATGTTGTTTCAGCTTTCTGGTTTGAGCTACTCCTATCACAGCAACTAGAATCCAACCAAACTAGATGATTCTTTAGGTTGGTATATATGAATAATGAATAGGCTATGGGAGAGCAAAGTTAATGTGCTAGGCCAAAAACTAGATAATTAATATTAAGTTATTCAAAATTAACTTATATCCTAAAACTGCAAGCCAATATGCTACCACCTTCTACTGGTTTTTATAAGTTGTGGTTTTTGATATTCAGGCTTTTAACAGAAGCAATTTATAATATCAGCCTGTTTTCACAATTGTTCTTTTCAATAGATATAGGCTTGATTCATCACGTGTGTAATCATATTAGCATCTTATCTATCTACATTCTTTGGTGATAGTTTTAGTTTTAGATTTTTAAAAAAATCACTGTTTTTTAGGATGTATGAATTTTAATCAAAAACATGATTGAGCTCTCTATAAGGTAATTGATATGTTAAGTCCTCTTGGTTGACTAAAAGGAACTCAGTCTGCATTGAGAAAGCACATAAACTTTTTTTTTTTCACTTTAAGAGATGGAGAGAGGAAAAGCAGGAGCGTTGAAAGGTAATGTTTGTTATTATTAATTGTTCATAATTCATGTTATTTTTAACTAATTTTAACTTTTAGTAAAAGATCACTGAAATAAAAAAATCTGTTTGCAAACCAAGTAACAATTTTCAGCACTTGACGCTCCCAAAGTAAATATCCCAGTACAATGCTTTATTGTCTTTGCTTGCTGTGCTCTCAAGGGGAAAAAATTTAACTGCAGTTATTTTTTTAAATGTTGGTTTTGTTCCTATTCAGTGAAAACCAAGCATTTTAGGATTCCAAATCCTAATTTCTAGCCTTGTTTATAAGAAAAATTATATTGAATAGTTATTTGGGAAATTTAAGAAGCGACAATGGAAATTCCTCCTGAAACTCTTCAAATGTTGGTGAATGAGCGAGCATAGGCATCAAATAGTAAGATATTGATGAAAGGGAGCTTCGAGGGGACCTAGTGGTTTACAGTCTTGTTGGGAAGTCAGATGAACTCTCTATGGAAGCTTATTGTTGGGAACTATGTCGTTGTTTGGAGGGTCCCTCAATTATCTCCTCAAAGCACCGGAGTTCCACGAGACATTTAAGGACCACTCACATAGGATGAGGTTGTGTTTACTTTTCGCATAGATTATTTGTGATTGGAGAAGCGGAATGACTTTTACAAGGCAACACACTCAGTAAATGACTGATAAATTTGCTATTTTAGACTGTGATTAAAAAGCAATCAAAGGAAAAGAAGGGGAAAAAGCATCCCAAAGTGAGACAATATTGTCCTATTTGATGGATTTTTCTTCCGTTTTGTCTTTTGTTATTGAGAACATACTTACTGTACAAGAATATTAATATTAACTAATATTAATACTTCTTTAGAAAAGGCCAGCAAACCAATAGAAAAATGAACAAAGGTTTAATTAGTTAACAGAAAAGGAAGTACAAATAGCTCTTAAAACATGGAAAATATTCCCGATCTTCTTTATAATTTAAGAAATACAGATTAAAAGTTCTCTGAGATAGCCTTTTTCACCAGTCAGGCTGGCAAAGATGCTACATGCTCTATTGGCAAGACTGTGGGAATGAAAAAGCTCTAGGGGGTATACTAGTTTCTCATTGGTGCTATAACAAAATTTATTCTCTTCTAGTTCTGAAGGTCAGAAGTCCTCAGATTAAGGTGTTGGCAGCTTGCATTCCTTCTAGAGGCTCCAGGGGAGAATCCATTTCCCAACCAACAGCTTCTGGAGGCTGTTTGCTTTCTTTGGCTCATGGCCCCATCTTCAAACCCAGCATCTTATTTTTCTCTGACTCTGACACTCGTGCCTTCTTTATAAGGACCCTTGAGATTACGTTGAATCCACCTGGATAATTCAGGATGCTCTCCCCATCGTAAACATATTTGCAAAGTTCCTTTTACTGTGTAATGTACTAGGTTCTTGGGGACCATTATTTTGCCTACCCCAGGGAGCAAGCAATTTGGCAATAACTGTCAAAATCACAGATACACAGGTACTTTGAGCCCACAGTTCTTTTTCTAGGAATTCATTCGACAGAGGTAATCACCTCATTTTACATGTATACAAGATTATTCATTGCATTTTTTTATGATAGCAAAGGATTGAAAATAAATATCCACAAATAGAGTATTGGTTAAATGATCTTACATCTTTAAGTTAGAATATTATGCTGCCATATAAAAATGAGGAAATTATTTACTCATAGGGAACTCTTATAAGAATGAATTAAAGAGGTTGCAGGCCCGGTGGCACAGTGGTTAAGTGCACACATTCCGCTTCTCAGCGGCCCGGGGTTCGCTGGTTCAGATCCCAGGTGTGGACATGGCACCCCTTAGCATACCAGGCTGTGGTAGGTGTCCCACATATAAAGTAGAGGAAGATGGGCATGGATGTTAGCTCAGGGCCAGGCTTCCTCAGCAAAAAGAGGAGAACTGACAGTAGTTAGCTCAGGGCTAATCTTCCTCAAAAAAAAAGAATTAAGAAAAGCAAGGTGCTAAACAATGTGTCTTATATTCTGTTTGTATAAAAAATGAGGGTAAGTGTTTGCTTGTTTCATTATATATACATAGAGTATTCTGGAGGAACTCAAATGAATAGGAAGCTGGCAGCACTGGATGCCGCTAGGGAGGCGAACTGGGTATCTGGGCCAGAGTTAGAAGGGGGATTCTTCACTGAATAGTCATTTGCTCAGGGTTTCTTACTCATTACCCTGATCTCTCTTTCGTATCTTCCTCTTTTGTGTTACTATGACCTCTCAACTTCTTTCAACACTCTTGTGCAAGTGAATTCAAAATTTCTACATTTAATCTTACCAGCCCTCCATTTCCAGTTGTCTATTTGACAAGTCTACCTAGGTGCCATGAACCAACCCCTTAAGTCTACTTGAAGGTATTCCTCTTCTGGCAAATACCTGTACAGTAATTGGAATGATGTTCTCATCTGTACTTTCTTAAAATAATCCTCCGCAGCAGAGTCTGTATACACATATACCCTAATGTGTTGTAAGTTCTGGGGGCATAATCATTATGTGTTGGTGACTTTAATCATCTTTTTAAAAAATACTGTAGAGAGAGTATATGCATTTGCTAATCAGTTTAACTATAAATGATCTTCCATTATTTAGGTAGATCTTAGATGTTTTTACTTAATTATATCGTAGTTCATCTGAAAACATTTAAACACCTTATATCATTCTTAGATTATCCTGAATTATAGTTTCATTTGTGCACCAAAATCATTCTTCTCTTTCTAGGACATTCAGTGAGATGAGTAAAGCAGAAGAACAGTACAGTTTGTGCCAAGAACTTTGCGGTGAACTCGCTCAAGATCTGCAGAAAGAAGGACTTAAGGTACTTTATTTTGATGTGATGCTCTTAGCTTTTAAAATTCTTAATAATAAAATGCTATCTTAAAGCAAGAGTTAGATTTTGCATTTGAATACAAATTGGCAAGTGTCAGGAAAGAGTATCCCCATCCCCAATAGAGGTAAATTCAATTTTGACCCATATCTGAGGCCTATGATGAGGTCATTGTGTGAAGAAGCAACTGTGTGGGTGGAATGGCTCCAGTATAATTCCAGAGGAGTTTATGCTACCTCAGGAGTACATTTGAATAAGTTCAAAATCAGTTATATTCAAGTTCAAAATCAGTTATAATGCTTTATTCTCTAATGAGAATAAAGCAAAGAGAAGATTTCCCTAGAACTGTATTTACTTATTATAAATGCCTTTCCAATCATCCTTTAATGTTTTTCTCAGGCAGACAATGACCTTCTAGAACAGGCCTTTTGTTTCAAGGCTCTAGTCCAGGTTGCTTAATACACTGAGAACAAAACCTGGAAGGCTTTGAACTTTGTATTTTATAATCTGCACTCACAATAATCCATATCTGGTATTTTTCCAACACACTCAGAGGTGGAGTTATTACAAAGTGTACTACAAAAGTATTAAAAAGTTGGGGCTGGCCCCGTGGCCAAGTGGTTAAGTTTGCGCGCTCCACTGCAGGCGGCCCAGTGTTTCATTGGTTCGAATCCTGGGCGTGGACATGGCACTGCTCATCAAACCACGCTGGGGCAGCGTCCCACATGCCACAACTAGAAGGACCCACAACGAATAATATACAACTATGTACCGGGGGGCTTTGGGGAGAAAAAGGAAAAATAAAATCTTTAAAAAAAAAAATGGGGATAATGATAAAAAAAAAAACAAAGAATGAGACATCTGATGAGTATTTTTCTATAATCCTTCTCCATTATACCTCGAGTGCAAGAGAGTTCTTTAAAAAAATTTTTTTTTCTAGTGAGGAAGATTGGCCCTGAGCTAACACCTGTTGTCAATCTTCGTCTTTTTGTTTGAGGAAGAGTGGCCCTGGGCTAACATCTGTGCCCATCTTCTTCTGCTTTGTATGTGGGACGCCACCACAGCATGGCTTGATGAGCAGTGTAGGTCTGTGCCCAGGATCCAAACCTATGAATCCCAGGCTGCCAAAGCAGAGCGCACTGAACTTAACCACTGCACCACCCGGCTGGCCCCTTTTTAAAACTTTTTTCAACTTTTTTTAGACTTACAGAAAAATTATAAAGGTAATCTAGAGAGTTCCAGTATACCCAGTTTCCCTCATTATTGACGTGTTATCATAGTACATTTGTCAAAACTAAGAAATTGACGTTAGCATATTGCTGTTGACTAAACTCCAGTCACTGTTTGGATTTTACCTGTTTTCCATTAGTGTCCTCTTCCTGTTCCAGCATTCAGTCCCAGCAACCACATTGCATTTGGTGTCATGTCTCCCTAGTCTCCTCCCGTCAGTGATAGTTTCTCAGTATTTCCTTCTTTTTTATGACCTTTAAAGTCTTGAGGAGTGCTGGCCAGGTATCCTGCAGAATGTCTCCCAATCTGGGTTGTCTGATGGTTTTCTTATGATTAGACCAGGGTCGTGGGTTTTTAGAAGGAATACCACAGAGGTGAAGTGTCCCCCTCACCACATCCTGTCAAGGTGTGTGACAGCCAGATGATGGCACAGGTGGTGTTGACCTTCGTCACTGTGCTAAGGTCATGTTCGCCGGCTTCTCCACTGTGAAGTTACTGGTTTTTCTTTTCCATACTCTGCTCTTTAGAAGTGGTTCAATAAGTCTAACCCACTGTCACGATCTCCAGGAGGTAGTGAAATATACATAGCATAAAATTTACCGTTTTAACCATTCTTAAGTTTACATTTCAGTGGCATTAAGTGCATTCATATTGTGCAACCATGACCACTATAGATCTCCAGAACTTTTCCATTATCCCAAATTGAAACTCTGTACCCATTAAACACTTACTGTAAAGGGAGTTCTTGCATGTAAATTGTTTAGCATAGTGTCTGGCATATAGTAGGCACACAGGAAGTGTGAGCTATCCACAAGAACTTTTCAGTGAAGCCCCTTTACAAACACTTTTTTCCTTCCTTTTTAGGTACCAAATTAACCTCTAAAAAAAATTTGGTAAAATGAAAAATGGTCAGTTAACTTCGCCCTTTATATAAAGGTCTTTTATAAGAATTCACTTGGGGAGGGCGTAATAATTATTGGCTAGAATGGGATTTTTAGATTACTTCCAGATTTCAATTACTTTTATGACCATTTTCATTACCATGTTTTATAAATAATTGATTTCAGTTCCATATTATATGTATATATAAGAGAACTTTCTGAATTTTTCTAACCTGTAAAATAACTTCTTTCTAGAAGTTGGAAAGCCATATATAATAATGTATCCTGTTTGTCATAGGGTAGGACTGTCACCATTAAGCTGAAGAATGTGAATTTTGAAGTGAAAACTCGTGCATCTACAGTTTCATCAGTTATTTCTACTGCAGAAGAAATATTTGCTATTGCTAAAGAACTACTCAGAACAGAAATTGATGCTGATTTTCCACATCCCTTGAGATTAAGACTTATGGGTATGACTTTTCTTTTCTTGTTTTTCCTTAAATCTGCTAGACTTTCCCAAAGAATCAACTTTGGAAATATTCTCACCTCCATTTTACTTCTTAAACCTGTTTAGGAAGTTGTACTTATGCTGCTGCCATTTTTCTTAATTCTTAGAACCCGATGCCTGTGAAGCCATGATCATTAGTTTAATTCCAGTAAGAACCAACTAAAGTTGTTCTTTTCCTTACTGCTTACTGAAATCCTTGGGGCTAGGTGTTTCAAAATTTAAAACTTCTCAGATTTTAGAAAGCAAGTTCAGTGCATATTATTGAGTATATTATATAACATTCCTTTGAGATCTGAGGCAGCACTTCATGATCAAACACATTAATATTTCTGTAGCGAAACAAAAAAATATTCACACTGAGTTGTAAAGACTGTAAATAGCCTCACATCAATTCAGTCATCAATAACCATTTATCACTTACAATTTTGAGAGCTTTTTGGATTTCAGAATTACAAAAAAATGGATTGTGGTGCTATAAAACCACGTCTCTAGCCACTACAAGGTAAAAAAAAGCAAACAAACCATATTTCCAAAGTGAACTGGGTGAGAATGTTTGTGATCAGCACTCCAAGTGTCAGCTTTACTACTAAAGGTAGATCATTAGCCCTACTTTCATATGTGAAAGATAGCACACACTGAAATCAATTAAATAAAATATCTTAACTAAAAGAGCTAAAGAGCAGATGTTAATAGCAGCTTTATCCATAATTGCCAAAACTTGGAAGCAACCAAGATGTCCTTCAGTGGAAGGTGAATGGAAGCTGCGGTACATCCAGACAATGGAATGTTATTCAGCAGGTCAAAGAAGTGAACTATCAAGCCATGAGAAGACATGGAGGAACCTTAAATGCATATTACTAAGTGAAAGAAGTCAATCTGAGAAGGCTACATACTGTATGATTCCCACATTTTTGACATTCTGGAAAAGCTAGAACTATGGGGACACTGAAAAGATGAGTGGTTATCAAGAGTTGAGGGGAAGGAGGGATGAATAGGCAGAGCAAGGAGGATTTTTAGGGCCGTTAACTATTCTCTATAGTGCTATAATGGTGGATACATGTCATTATACATTTGTCAAAACCCGTAAAACGTACAACACCAAGAGTGAACCTTAATGTAAACTATGGGCTTTGAGTGATGATGTTGTGTCAGCAGAGGCTCTTTGGTTGTAGCCAGTGTACCACCCTGGTTCAGGATGTCCACAGTGGAGGAGGCTGCACGGGTCAGGACAGGGGTATATGGGAACTCTCTTTACTTTCTGCCCAATTTTGCTGTGAACCTAAAATTGCTCTAAAAAAATAAAGCCTGTTGAAAAAATAAGGAGCTAAAGAGTCTGTGTAATTGACTCCAATCACTTACTTAATTGGTATCATTTGTAGCATGTATCAGATGATGTCATGTGTCAGATATTAATTGAAAGACCTATATAATCATGCTAACTCCAGTAGATAGTGTTTAATGGTACCTGGTTTTATAAAGGAAAGTAAATTTCCACTCAAAATACCAGCTTTGAAAAAGCATCCTTTAATTCAGAAAATATACTGTGTTGCTTGTTATTTTTCCCTAAACAGCTTTTTTATATGTCACAATAGTATAATGCAAAATGTTTTTATGCTTTATAAGTGAATTGGCTTTGTTGAATTTGAAGCTGATTAATTGGTTTGGTTGGTTTAATTTAGGTGTGCGAGTGTCTGGTTTTCCCAATGAAGAAGAGAAGAAACACCAACAGAGGAGCATTATTGGCTTCTTACAGGCTGGAAACCAAACCCCATCAGCCACTGGGTGTAGACTAGAGAAAACTGAGAAAGATCAGTTTCTAAAACCTCTAGAAATGTCTCATAAGAAGAGTTTCTTTGATAAAAAACGATCAGAAAGGAAATGGAGTCACCAAGACACATTTAAATGTGAAACTGTGGATCAAAAAAGTTTACAGACATCACAATCATTCCAAGTTTTAAAGCAGAAGATGAGTGAGAATTTAGAAACATCAGAGAATTCAGATAACTGTCAGATATTTACTTGTCCTGTTTGCTTTAGGGAGCAGGGAAGCGTCAGTCTGGAAGCCTTTAATAAACATGTAGATGCGTGTCTTGATGCACCTTCAATCAGTGAGAACTCTGAAATGTCCTCATGTTCACATGCGTCCTCTACAGAAGTTAACAAGAAAGAGAATGTACATCCTTCTTTTTCACTCTGTGAGAAGCAGGATTACAAAGCCCGTCAGAAGAATATAGAAACCACTTCAGGAGATTGTGTAGAGTTGGTAGAGACCATAGATAACCCAGCTAAAGCAGAAGGTGTAGATGCCTTAAGTAATAAACACAGCAAAGAGGAATGTTCCAGTCTTCCAAGCAAACCATTTAATGTTGAACACTGTCATCAGAAGTCTTGTACTGTTTCATTGGAAGATGAAGATGTTGAGTCCTTAAGAAGGCAAGAGCCCGTCCAAGCTTTAGTTTGTCCTGTTTGTAACCTGGAACAAAAGACTTCAGATCTTACCCTGTTCAATGTGCATGTGGATATTTGTTTAAATAAAGGCATTATCCAGGAACTGAGAAATGATGAAGTTAATCCAGTTAACCAACCCAAAGAAAGTACCAAAAGTACCGGTGAGTTTGCAGTCATTCTGAAGTACCTGATTTTCTAGAAATGTTTTATTAAAATTGAGATTGTTGTTAAATCTGAAACACATCTATTAAAGGGACAGTTTGTATACGCTGCCATTTAGCAAAATGTTACTTTCCAAAGTCAGAACTAACTGAAGCCGTTAGATTTTCAATTTGGGAGAACTTTGGTTTGGGCTTGATTTAGCACAGAATGAACTCAGACATTTAGGATGCTCGGCAATCTAATCAAAAAAGAAATTCCTTCAGAGAATATTTGCCAAGGCACGGTGGTAAATTATAATTACATAACCAGAGAGGCTCTTTAACTTGTTTTCTTTAGTCGTCCTGACTCTAGCCCAACTTCAAAAATAAAATTAAGTGTAATACTAATAAAACAAGTAGATTACAAAGAAATTATGTATAAAGTTAGTTTCTGCTATGTATAAATATGAACTGTGTGGCACTAAGGAAGTTTTTTTGTGTTTAATTAGTCAGCTTTAACTTTTTAAATCTTTTTACAGCTTTTTAATTATTTCAATGTTGTTCATTTTAGAATTTCTTGACTTTTCTTCTCTCTAAAGGTAACTCAGGAAGAGTACAGAAAACTATAACAAAAACAAAAAGGTATGGCTAATGTGAGTTTTCATAGAACTGGCTATAGAACCTCATATTTTCAGGTCTGATTTTCATAAAACCTCAAATTTTGAGGTCTAATTTTTAGGAGATGTTAAAATTTGCTTTTATAAATCATAAAATAAAAATTTTAAATCAATTATTTGCAAAAAGAATTTTTTAATCTCTTCCTGCATTTTAATTGTGTGTTCTTTTTTATTCCAGGCCAGGGTTGGTGACAAAGCACTCAGCATCAAAGAAAGTAAAACCCAGCAATCCAAGACACACCCTTGATGTATTTTTTAAATGAATGTTGAACATTTTATCATTAATCCTTAATTGAAACTTATGTCATAATCAGTGAATCTATTCTTCCTCATTTTAAGTTTTCAGATTCATTTAGTGAAAGGCAAGTGCAATAATCCCTCCCCAAATGACATTTCCTTTATATGAATATGGAGTATATACTAATTTACTTCCATATATCTGTTTGATAAGCATGAGAATTTTATTTCCATTGTACATCAATTGGATGTCAGTCCTGTTAGACATAATTTTTAAACAAGAAATTAGGAATGGGATCAGAAAGTGATTTCCTTCTCTATTATGTTTTATAGCGAATATAAAAACATATTTATAAGGGCTCAGAGGTTTACGCAGACCTGTTTTAGCCTAAGAATTTTTCAGTGCTTAACCACTGCGTCGGCACTGGATTGCTATATTTGATCTTAGTACCTTCTACAACTTTGTATATTTATATTTTAGCTCCTAGTATCTTCAGATACCTCATGAGCATTCATAATTAATATTTATCATAAGTTCTATGAAGAATATTAGCGTAGCAGAGCTAGCAGTGGTTTTGTTGTTTTAAGTTCAGGAAAATAATATTGTAGTATTATTTTTTGTGTTAAAAGAATTTTGCCTAAAATATGATTATTCATTTACCTTTTTTAATTTAAAGTTTCTTTATCTTATGAATAAGCACTTGGTTCACTAAAAAATATTTAGTCTAAGATTCAAGGTACTTATCTAGGACTTTTAAATGGCAGTGTTTCATTTCTTGGCAGTTTTGTTTGCACTTTACACAAATCTATAAAAAAGGATAAATTGGGACCAGCCTGGTGGCATAGTGGTTAAGTTCGTGCCCGTCACTTTGGTGGTCCAGGGTTCATGGGTTTGCATCCCCGGCATGGACCTGCACATTACTCATCAAGCCATGCTGTGGTGGCATCCCGCATACAAAGTAGAGGAAGATGGGCACAGATGTTAGCTCAGGGCCAATCTTCCTCAAGCAAAAAGAGGAGGATTGGCAACAGATGTTAGCTCAGGGCCAATCTTCCTCACAAAAAAATAAAAAACAATAAATTGTACACTCAGTTTATTTTTATTATAATCTTCTAGAGAAAATGTGCAATTCAAAAGAGTAACGTATATTAAACATCTCATTTATCTTAGTTATATTTCTATCATATTTTTATTAATATTCATGAAAGAAGACAGCTTAGCAGTATAACGTTAGCTTAAGTAGTTGCTCCAAATACTTTTGTGCTATCAATAAGAGTTTTTATCAAAAAACACTTATTTAATTGAAACATGAAGATGGAAGCCATTTTCTGTTACTCCTTTAAGGAACTGCATCTTTTATTCTTTTATATTTTTGTTTTCTCTTTTCCTACGTTTGAGATTTTAGAGCTCAGTATCTGAATTTATAAGAAAATGATATTTTAGGAACAGCCTAAATTAGGGTCGCACACAGTCTTTGGCCAAATGGTAATTTGACTTTAAATTATCTGATTGTTTAAAATTAGGCTTACTGTTTATTAGCATGCCAAATTCATGCCTAATGTTATGTGTGATGGCAAATACAGAGGTATAGCTGTGGTTCTTCATTGTGTGATTTACTTCTGTAAATTCTGTACACGATTAAATTCAATGGAACACTGATTTAATGTATTGAAAATTAGAAAGCATCATGTTATTTGTTTTCTATCTTGCCTCAAGTTTATTTTTATTGTGTTTGAGACATTAGAATAAATACTAAATTATTTTCATTTAGATGATTCATTTAATTGAATGTTATTTAGTAATATTTAATAATAATTTAAAATAAAATTGAAAATGTTTAATTGACATTTTTGCCAATAGAAATGGTTTCCTTACTTTGCTACTCTTTTCCTACGTCTGGTGCTTTCACTCTTACTGTGTTTGCCCAGAATTCTCTCCACATACTTTCCTATTTGTTTTATCTAATACATTCAACTCATTTTCTTTTTTATTATAATTTCGTTTGGGCATTTTTAGAAAATATAGCAAAACTACAAAGAATAAGAACCTATAATCTTACCTACTTAGAAGGTCAGAATATTCTGAACCACCTTGGAAAACATATTTGCAACACATATAACTGGCAAAAATCTAGTGTCCAGAATATATAAATGACTCCTATGAATCAGTAAGAAAAATACAGACAGCCAATAGAAATTTGGACAAAAGACTTTATACGTCACTTCACTTAAAAAGAAATCCAAGTGGCCAAGCATCTGAAAACATTCTCAGCCACTTAGTAACAATGAAATGAACAGTAAAACACAAAGAGGTTTTATTACATCCCTACCAGACTCACAAACACGAAAGGGGCCAGTGATAGTAAGTTTTTGTGTTGGTGTGGAGCAATGTGAATGAACTCTTACTTTGAAAACAATCACTTTGGAAAACAGTTTGCCCTTCTCTCCCAAGTTTGAAGTTGCCTACACTCAGCAACCCAAACACTGCACCCCTGAGTCTACGCCTCTGCTGGGTATCTTCCATTTGCCTTCCAGATCCACTCCTCACCCTTCCGCACCCTGCTTTATGTCTGGCAAGGCGTCACAGCTATGGGGGAGCCAGTGCAGGAGATTTGAGGAAGGAAAGAAGATGAAGTTGGGTATTTATTCCCTCATGTACCCTTTCGTAGGATCATCACAAGCTGGTTAGGTCCCTTGACCAAAGCTCACAGCTTCTTGTGGGTGGCCATGTTCATACTGCACTCTGCTGTCTCCAGGTTCTGATGATCCATTCCTTCCCTTGCTCCTCCAGCCTAGGGGTGGCCACAGAGCCTTGCTCTTATTAGCCCTGGGTGCTGCACTATCCTGGGTTTCCCCACACCTGACCCGACCTTTGTAAATAGCCCCTTTCTTAAACTCATCTCAAATTACAAATTTTTTTTTGCTAGAATCCTAACTAATGCAATGCCTTGGGAAAACTATTGAACATGTTCCCTAGGAAGCATGTATAAGAATGCTCATAGCAGCACTATAATAGGCAAAGATTGGAAATAAACCAAATATTTGGCAATAGTTGAATGGTTAAATTCTGCCATTGTATATTCATGTATATTCAAACAATAGAATTCTACACAGTGGTGAAAATGATGGAAATAGCTAATCAGAAAGTGGATGAATGTCACAAACATAGTGTGGAGCAAAAGAAGCAAGTCATATAAGGATGCCATCAGCATGATTCCATTTATATAAAGTTCAAAACAATTTAAACTATATTGTTTCAAGGATACATCCATATGAGGTCAAATTATAAAGAAAAGCAAGTATGTTACTGTCCCCAAAGTTAGAATAATGATTTCCTCTGTGGGGAAGTAGGGGAATGTGATTGTGGGATGGCACATGGAGCGGCTGGGATGCTGGCAATGTTCCATTACTTGTCACGGGTGGTGAACGCATGGATGTTCACTTTAAAAATATTCTTTAAGCCATACATATATATTTTCTACACTCTTGTTCGTATGTAACCTGTATCACAATAAAAGTAAAAAGAAAAAATGGCAGAAACTGCTTTCCTTAGCAAGACGATATTTTCTTCCATCTCTGAAGGCTACTTGCTTCAACAGAGAAAAAGTACATTTCTCCCTGCTGGGACTTGGCCGAACACAACAAGAAAGCCGTCCTATGCCAACATTTTGAGTTTTTCTCCTAACATTTCCCCTAACGCCACAGCCTCAGTTAGCATTTGGTCTGCTTTCCCAAGGGCAGCAGTTGACAATTTGACCAAATATTTTGTCACTGCTAAACAAGTCACCAGCGTTCCAGCCTGTGACATCTGTGTCCCCACTCCCTCCTAGACTAAGCCAATTCTGTATATTAAGTTTTGTTACTTGCAGCACCCTGCTTTTTGTATCAGTTCAGAATTCAGAAGCTCTGAGTTACAAAGACCCCAATCAGAGTCTTTTAGAAAAAGAAATCAGTTGTAGCGTTCTCTTGAAACATGAATTTCATTGGTTAGCTTTGGCTCAGTGGTTCAAGAAGGGGTTCCAAGTCTGATATCTTGGCCTCACATGGTCACCTTATGGTCACAGATGGGCTCCTCCACATCTAGCTTTACCCTTGAGTTCCAGCAGGAAGATGAGAAAGTGGAAAGGACAACAGGGCAACAGGTCTGTCCCACTTGAAGGAGCTTTCCCAGAAGCCCCATGTAACAATTTCCACTTACGTCTTATTGGCCAGAAATGTGTCACATGACTTCCTATTAAAGCGAACCTGGAAATGTAGTTTTTAGCTGGGCACAGTGCTACTCCCAAACAAACTCAGGTTTTGTTAGTAATTCTGACTAACCCATAAAAAATGCCTGTCAAAAATTACAAAATTACCACATTTAATGGTGCAATGTTAGAGGCATTCCTTAGGAATGACACAAAGGTACCCTCTATTATTTTGCTGGAGATGCTAGCAATTCAATAAAAGAAATAAGATGAATAAAAACTGGAAACAAAGAAAAATAAAATTTTATTGTCAGAGGGTATACTTGTCTACATTTTTAAAAATCTCCATTTAGTCAAAGAGTTCAATAAGGTTATGCCTACAAGATGCATATAAAAAATCCATAGCGTTCCTATACCACAGTAATAACCCATTAGAAAATGTAATCAAAATAATCTCTTAGGACAACTATCTACAAGGTACCTAAAGCAGAGTAGGGGATACCTAAATCTACCAAAAAAATGTGCAAGAACTTGGGAACTAAAAATATTATTGAAAGACAAACAGGACATCTGAGTAAATGAAAAGAGTAACCCTATTCATGAACAGGAAAAACAGTTAACAAAACTATTCTTCCTACATTATTCTCAGTAAAATTCAAAACAAAACCCCTCATGGTTTTTCTTGAAAGTTATTAAGTAGATTCTGAATTTTATATGGAAGAGCAGAGGCCCCAGAATAAGAAGGTAGAAGGTCAAGTCCTATTACATATCAAATGTAATATAAAGCTATAGTAATTAGTACAGCATATTAAGAGTGGTATTGTCATGGGCATGGACACTTTAGACAACTCAGTACAAAATTATTGACTTTAAATGGTGCTTGCACGATTGGTTATCCATAGAGACAAAATAAAACTTGCTGTCTACCTCTCTGTGTCAGGAGTCCCCAAGAACTACCCTCAGGCCAGATAAGTCACTAGAAGGTCTTGTAGAACTTAGAAAAGCTGTTTTGCTCATGGTTACGGTTTGTTACAGTGAAAGGATATAAATTAAAATCAGCAAAGGGAAAAGGCAGATAGGCAAAGCCCAGGAGAGACCAGGCACAACACAGGCGAAGTGTTGCCAACTGGGGGTGCTCACCCAGCTTTTGGGGCCCAGGGTTTTTCCTGCGTGTAGGCATGCAGTGCCCAGGCGACCTCAGCTACTCCGTCTCCAGCTCTCCAGAGATCTAAATGATACCTCAAGACCCTGGGCCTCAGGCATATGGAAACAGCGTAAGGCACATTGTCAGCATAAACTCTGTCAGTCTAATGCAGTGTGGCCCCAGGCCTCGGCACACTAAATCACTCTTGGCAGGACCTTCCGAGAGCTCAGAGGCTGTCTCCTCGGAGCCAGTCAAGGGCCATTCCTCGTGAAGACAGGCCTTTCTCGGGAATGCACAGGGCTTGAGCAACCTGAGCCTGCTGAGTTAACCTTCTACTGCACATTTAAAAAATAAATGTCACGCATATTGGAATAAAGTATAAAAAAGATAAAGATTACTCAGGGAACTTCCTTATGCCTCATTCGTAAAATGCTTTGCAGAAAAATTTCATATCTATAAAATGTTTAGGGAATTTCAGGTGAGGGTGGCCCGTCCTTTTGAAATATATTATTATTAGTGTATAATAACCACAAATATCATGTTATAAGTAGGCCTAATAATTGTTTGCATGTGTGAATCCTCTCTTCAGTGGAGTTCAAAGATTCTTTTGTAATATCAGTCTTTACATCGTCCCTGTAATATAGGACTGTACATCTTACCGCAATCTTAGAATTGAGGAAAATAGGAAAAGCAGCATTATAAGAAGTATTTAGAAATGCAAGCCATTCCATCATAATGCTTTAATTGTAAAGTTAGTGTGGAAATGGCGATATTTACATACTCAATTGCACACTGAAGAAGTGACTCGAAGACTAAGAGAGAAGTTTCAGCATTAACATGGGTAATGGAAGCCATGTCTCAGAGCTGAAGAAGGAACTCTGGTGAGAAAACTTAGGCAATGGGCAGAGACTAAGAAGGTCAGAAAGGAAAGGCACGAGAGAATTAGCAATTAATAGGAAGTAACTTGCACTGCCTTCATCTAAAAATGTCTTTAAATGCTATTACCTTTTAACTGATCCTTCCCCCTCCTTTCCACCTCTGCCTCTGCCAGCCTCATATCTGGTAACGAATTCTGTCTGCCCTTGAAAACACTGATTTCTTTCCATTCCTATTGTCAAGCCCTTATCAGTTGCCTAAACTCTGACCTTCCAACTGATTTCTCAGCTTTCCCTGCTCTCAACCGTTTTGCCCATTTTCTGCAGATTAGTCATAAACAGTGTCTTCACAATGTCACTCTTATGTTAGAAATAAAACAAAAAAAGATTTCAGAAGCTCTCAACTCTCTCCAGGATCAGCTGGGGGGCGGGGGGTGAGAAGAGGAGCTGATTTTCAACATATGATGATTTCTGTGGTGTAAATACCATGACAGATTTTAAGCTGCACACCTGCTATCGACCAGTTCTCAAAATTCCTGAAAATTTAACAATCGGCTCTTGCGAGCCCCTACCAGCTAGCTCTGCACGTCGCTGTTCATGACGCAGGCCGAACACTGGCTTGGCATTCAAGGCCAATCAAGTCACATTGCCCAGCTTGTAGTCTCCTGAATAGACCAAGCTGTTTCTCCCATCTGGTGTTGTGCTCAGTTGTTCCATTTGCCCAGAATGTGCTTCCTGAAGTCCTCTTGCCCTCTCTCACCATATACAACACTCATCTTTAACTCAGCCCAAGGCCCACCTCTATGAAAGGGTCTCTGCCCTCTGGAAAAGCTCATCGCTCACTCCTTGGTGCTCCCATTTCTCTGTGAAGACCCTGAAACATCCTTGCTGTGGTCTCGCTTTCACTGATCTCTGAATTCCAAGTATGGAGTACATGGCCTGGCTCTGAGTAGGTGTTAACAACCATTTCTTGATGCACAAATGAATAAATACCATGTACCCACAGAGTGGTATCTGTTACTTACTATTTTTCCCTGGGAAGATGGGGTGGTGGCTGATGTAGGTAGCTGCCCTCAAGCTGGGCCCTAGGCGATGGGCCTTCCAGAAAAAGGGAATTGCATTTCTTTCCCTTAGAGGATAATGGCTTGCTTTATAAATGTTTTATTACTATGTCCTTTGGGGGTGGCTTGGAAGCATTTGGAAGAAGGTTCAAAATACAACTCTTAACCAAGGGCTAAAAAAATACTTTTTGGAGGAAATATTCCATTTTGAAAACCATACCTGGTGCTGATTTTTTTTTAGTAATGTTCCATTCTGGAAAGCAGTCACTTACGTGGTGCTGGTAGGACTTTAGTGAACTTCCCAGAGAGGCAGTGTTTAGTTCCCTGGAGCAAAAACTGTTCTTACATTGTATAATTAAGAGATAATCACTTTTGCTTTGTAACACAAACAAATTGTTTAGTTTCCAGCTCAGGATTAACAGTTGTGCAAGAAAATCTCAGATGATATTACGGTGAGTATTGGAAACATGATTCCATTTATTAAGGAAACTATAATATTGACCTGTTCCCCTTACAAGTGTGAGGTAATTTATGAGTGCCTTATTTTCTAACTGTCGCTCTGTCTACAGAAGGCTCAGGAGACAGAAGAGAATTCAGAGGCAAACTGTTAACCGTTTCCTTCTAACCTCAGTCTTCTAAGTTTGCTGTGATTTCAAACTCAGACATACATATACATCTACCTCGATATACATACTTTATATTTGTACACATACACCCCCTCTGCCAAACTCATACCGTAGGGCCTCGGAAACATCCACTTCTTCCCATTCCATCTGTCAAGTCCTCATCAGTTGTGTAATCTCTGGCCTTCCAGTTCAGTTCTCAGCTTTCACCAGTTTCTTTGCCTTCTCTAAACCGTCTTGTGCATTTTTATGGGCAAGGCTTTCCTAATATTACTCATGTCCTTGTGTATACACACACACAAATGCGCACACACATACACACATGGTGGGTCAGTCCTCGGGTCTAGTCTAGCTCTGTTTTATGAGGGCTCAATTTTTTTTTTCACTCCTAGAATATGCTAAGTTTCCAATTTCACCTCTGAAACCATCCACAGTTGTGAGATATGCCATGGTTTTATTTATTTATTTTTTTGAGGAAGACTAGCCCTCAGCTAACTCCTGCCAATCCTCCTCTTTTTGCTGAGGAAGACTGGCCCTGAGCTAACATCCGTGCCCGTCTTCCTCCACTTTATATGTGGGACGCCTACCACAGTATGGCGTGCCAAGCGGTGCCATGTGTGCACCCGGGATCCGAACGGGTGAACGCCACGCCGTGGAAGCAGAACATGCACGCTTAACCGCTGCCCCACCAGGCCGGCACCCTGTTTTCTGTAATCCATTCACCAAACACCAAGTGCTTAGGTGTCAGGGATTCAGGGCAGGGATCCTGGTTGTCCTTCAACATTCTACTTTTCTTCCATACTACTAGAATTTTAGCCAGGCACACGATCACCCAGAAGATCACTGCATTTAATCAATTCTTCATTTTATAAACCACTAAGAAAGAAATGATACCCAAGATGGGGAGTCCAATAGGTTAGCACTGCATAAACATGGATTACCATGGATTACACCTTCCTAGCAAGACACTGAGAGTCTGACTTATTCCAAAGAAAATCCTGGAAGCTCATTTGGAAATGATTTAATATTGAAGCTCCAATAGTGTTGGTTATAAATCCATCTCGACATTTCTCAAAATGGTACGAGGACTCACTGAAGTAGGAGCTGGGCGTTTTCTCAGAAGGTTTCATTACAGGTCAAACCACACCGCATCCCCGCGCCCGCCGTACCCGCCGGGCAGGGCTCGGCACACAGGGGCGAGCCGCACAGACGACAGCCGGAGCGGACCGAGGAGACACTCTGCGCCTGCGCCCGGCCCACCTGCCCGCCGGCCAGCCCGGGGCTGCGTCCCCCATCCCCGGCGCGCTGCGGGCCGCGGGCGCGCGTGGACACCGACCTCGCCGGGCGCGACCCGGGCGCAGGGCGCGCGTGGACACCGACCTCGCCGGGCGCGACCCGGGCGCAGGGCGCGCGTGGACACTGACCCCGCCGGGCGCGCCCCGGGCGCAGGGAGGCGGCGATGGGGCTGGTGTTCCGGGCGGCCGCGGCCGCGCAGGGCCTTGGGGAGGACCTGAGGGGCGCGGCGGTCCGGCACTGGAGGGGCCTGTCCCGGACCCCAAAGCACGAGGCGCCCTGGGAGGAGGAGGCGGAGGCGGCCGGACCCGAGTTCCGTGAGTCCGGGGACGAGGTCTGGAAACGGGGCGGGGCGGGGCGGCGCCGGGCCTGGGGGCCGGAGGACCTAGTTCCGATGGGACGCAGCGGGGAGCAAGTCGGGGTGGGGGACTCGGCCGGGGCAGCCGAGGCCATCCTCCACGTCTGCACCCGCTGTGGGCCGGGTCTCAGCTGTGGAGCCACCCCGCCCGAATTTGGGTTCACATTTCTCAGGATGTTTTATCTCAGGTGGAACCTGCACTGTGGATGGAAGGAAAGGGTTACCCTTTCAGTTTAAGGAAGAATATTTTTAAAGAAATGATTAAGCCCTTGTGCAAATAAGGAAAGAGTTTTATGTGCTCATATCTCCTATATCCTGACCCATGCGCTGCTTCATTGTGTGACTTTAAATAAGTCCCTTAATCTTTCTGTACATAAGTGTTTAAAGCATGGAATGGATCATCTGTGTCTTGGGAATAAATTTATAGCGTAAACCGAGGCTCACTGTTGAAGTCTTCAAAAGCTGAGAATGATAGTAAGTCCGTTAACAGGGCGCCCTATCGGGCTGACTGGGGTAGCCTGGTTTCTAAAATCCAGCCTTGAGGGCAGAGCACCAGGTCCTCAATATGATGTGCGAATGCTTCATTCATTCATTCATTCACTAGAATATTCATTCTAGAAATATTTTCAAGGGCTTACTCTTTGCCAGACAAGTTCTAGAAGTGGGGATGCAGAGGCGTGACAGCCTCTGCTCCCCTGGAGCTCTCAGTCTGGTTGTGGTGGGGTGTTGATAGACGATACAGCAAGTAAGCAAATGAAGAAGGTAAGTCCGGGCAGTGGTAAGTGCTGCGGGGGCTGTGACTGGGACAAGAGCACAGAAGGACTTTGCATTTGGTGATCGAGGCACGGAGGACACAGGAGCAAATGCCTGGATGAACCGGTCATGGGAAGTTCAGGGGGGAGCATGACAGGCAGAGCAGCAGCAAATGCAAGTTAGGAATGGAACAGACACATCCTCGAAAGAGGAGGACGACCAGCCTGGCTGGAGGTTAGGGACGGAGGGGGAGAGCAGTGAGGTTGGGGCCTGGATGCCCAAGAAAGAAGCTTACATTTGGTATCGTCGGTATTTTTAATTTTAGCCATTCTCATAGGTGGGTATTGGCATCTCGGTGTGGTCTTAATTTACGTTTCCCTAGTGGCTAATGATGTGGAACATCTTTCCATGTGTTTATTTGCCATCTGTATATCCTCTTTGGTTCCTCTTTGTTCCATTGACGTCTTTCCCCTATTTTTTAATTGGGTTGTTTGTTTTCTTACTGTTGAGTTTTGAGAGTTCTTGATATATTCTGAATACAGTTCATTTGTCAGGTATGTGATTTGCAAATATATTCCCCCAGTCCGTAATTGGTCTTTTTATTCTCATAGTAGTGCTCTTCACAGAGCCAAGTTTTAAATTTTGATGAGTTCCGATTTATTGATTTTTTTCTTTTATGGTCGTGCTGTTGGTATGATGTCTAATAACTCTTTTTCTTAACCCCAGGTTATGAAGTTTTTGTCCTGTGTTTGCTTCTAAAAGTTTTATGGTTTACATTTTTATCTGTGATCCATTTGGGGTTAACTTTTGTATAAGGTATGAAATTTACATCAAAGTTCATATTTTTTTCATCTGAACCTCCAATTTTCAAATACATTTGTTGAAATGATTATCCTTTCTCCATTGTCAAGGGCTTCAAGCCTTTGTCAAAAGTCAATTGGCTATGGGGGCTGGCCCCGTGGCTGAATGGTTAGGTTCGCGTGCTCCACTGCAGGCCGCGCAGTGTTTCGTTGGTTCGAATCCTGGGCGCGGACATGGCACTGCTCATCAAACCACGCTGAGGCGGCGTCCCACATGCCACAACTGGAGGGGCCCACAGCGAGGAATGTACAAGTATGTACCGGGGGGCTTTGGGGAGAAAAAGGAAAAACTAAAATCTTTAAAAAATAATAATAATAAAATATTAAAAAAAAAAAAAAGTCAATTGGCCATGCTTGTGAGGGTTTATTTCCAGACTCTGGAACAAAATGTATTTTGTTCCATTGATATTTGAGTCTCTCTCTTTGCCAATACCATGCTGTATCGATTATTGTAGATTTATAATAAAATTAAATATTGTGACTCCTCCAACTTTATTCTTCGTTTTCAAAGTTGTTTTGGCTATTCTAATCCCTCTGCCTCTTCATATAAATTGTAGAACTAGCTTCTTTATAGCTACAAAATATCTTTTTGCCGTTTGATTGGATTGCATTAAATCTCTACATCAATTTGGGGAGAATTGACATCTTTCCTATGTTGAGTCTTCCAATCCATAGACATGATACAGCTTTTCACCTGTTTAGGTATTCTGTGATTTCTTTCATCAGCACTTGTGTTTTTTTGGTATGGAGAAATTGTACAAGTTTTGTTGGATTTATACTTAAGTATTTTGATTTTTTTGATCTATTGTAAATGGTATGATTTTTTTAAATTTTCATTTCCATTTGTTGATTACCAATATATAGACACATGATTGATTTTTATGTGTTGACCTTGTTTCCTGCAACCTTGCTAAACTCACTTATTAATTCTAGAGCTGTTTTGTACATTTCTTTGGATTTTATATGGAGACAATCAAGTTGTCTGAACTTAGAGTGTTGCAGTAGCCAGAGTGTCAGCATTCATGTCAGTTCTCCAAGCCCCTGTCCCCGCAGGGAGATGCAAAGAGTGCCAAGTGATTTCTGCCCATACAATAGGTTGTGTTGCAGAAGAACCCTGCACTCAGGGAACCCGTATCTTTTGTAATGGGCACTAAGCATGCCTTACTATCACTGTCTTCAAGGCTGCCAGCAACTGCCCTTTTCTCCAGAGGAAGACATTCTTTCTCTCTTCCAGTGCAGCTCACCATACAAACATCCATGAAAAGATAGTTCAGAACAAAGGCAGTCAGTGCTTCTGCTTGTAAGACGTGCAGAAACTGGAGCGACCTGTGGAGAATTGTCTCCCAGTGCCATGGTGATGGGGATGCCATCATCTTGTCACCCCTTGCGTTAGTTTGCTAGGGCTGCTGTAATGAAGTGCACAGATTGGGTGGCTTAAACAACAAAAATTTACGTCCCAGTTCTTGAGGCTAGAAGTCCGGGATCGAAGAGTCTGCAGGGTTGGTTTCTTCCGAGGCTTCTCTCCTTGGCTTCTAGACAGCTGTCTTCACGTGGTCTTCCCTCTGTTGTGTTTACATCCTGATTTCTTCTAAGGACCAGTCATACTGGATTAGCACCGCCCCCCGACCGATGATCCCATTTGAACTTAATCACCTCTTTAAAGACCCTGTCCCCAAATACAGTTATGTTTTGAGGTACTGGGGTAGGACTTTAGCGTATGAATTTGAGGGGATACAGTTGAGCTGCTACATCCTTACATTTCAATACATGGCTTTCAGGGTTGACAAGACAGGGGAAGAGAGACCTGGAGGGTGACACAGGGCTTTTCACTGACCCAGCCCCAAAGTGACACACCATCTCTTCTGCTTTCAGTCCCCTGGACAGACCTCACCTAATCGCATCCAAGCTGGGCTATGTACTTATCCATGGGTTCAGATTGTACGGAGAACCGAATGTTGATGAACACTAGCAATGTCTACTTCAGCATAGTTGTAGGCTTTTCTCGAGTACTGTTTAGCCCTTCAGGTGCAAAAATGGAGCAGATAGCAATTGGGCTTAATCTCAGAGTGAGGATTCTGACTAACTAGTCTGAGTGGTGAGGGAGACAGAGGTGTTTGCGTGGAAGTGATTTCAAAGATGGACCATGGACTGTAAACTGGGTGGGGAGGAAGTAAGGACGTAAGGGATGAATAATGTGAAAGCATGGTGAGAACAGTGGCTTGGAGGACTGGAGCTTGCAGAAGTTCTGGACTGAGAGCTAAAGCAGGTGAGCTGAGTGGATGAGAGGTGGTGTCAGAGAATGGGATTCTTGAAGTTGTCAGAGGTAGTGTAGTTTTTGATGATCAGGTCAAGAGGGTGCCCTGAAATTGGGTGATGAGGTCAGGGGGAAGAAGATTATTAGAGGTGAGGGAGTCAGGGAACTGAGAGACCAAGGTGTTTGGTTAATCATCTTCGTGGATGTTGAAGTCACAGAGCGGAACCAAGAGTAGGGGTAGAAGGGAAGCGCGGGATGCAGGTGGTGGAGGAATGAATGTGTCTGCCTCCCGTGAACCGACGCTCTGGTCTTGGGCTGGACTTGGTGGCATTTGAGAGTCTTTGGCAGATGCTGGGAACCTACTTGGCAACGCGTCTGCAAAATCTCTCGTAGGGTCCTTTGTTTTTGGAGAAAGTATCTTGCTGATTTCACATCGTTCCAGTTCTGGCTTCATCCCCAGTGTTGGGGTTGTCTGCTGAGAGCCCCCCAGCTCCCCTACTTGACAAAAAACTCAATACATTTTGTAATCTTCTCTATGCTACTTGATAAAACCTGCCATCTCAATGTGTGTCTGCGTGTGATGTGTCATGTTTGTAGTAGGTGTGAATCGACTTGAGCACCTTTCATATAAGTGGGAATAAAACGTGTTCATCCCTTTTAGCCTTGGGGCAGCTTTCTATGGGGGCTGCGTTTTAAAGGTTTGTTTCTGCAGGTCTGGCGTCTGCCCAGGGTTCTGCAGACAAGAGTTTTGTCTCGGTAAGCTTGTGTGGAGCGTTTGAGCTCTTCCCTGTCTAATCTTGCACAAACATTCTACAGACAACCTCCCCTGGGAAGTCCGTGGCCACCATCCAAGCTCTTAAAGCCAGATCCTAAATTGCTGACTTCAGGGTGGTCCTTGGGAATCATGTTTTGTTTGGGACCAGGAATATTTTAAGGGGGTGAAAACACTTGCAGTGGGAGGAGAAAGTGGAATCTTGATAATACAATTTTATAAAATATTGAAGCAAATTCCCGTGTCCAAGTGTGACAAGCTCAAGGCTGTTGTTTCAAGTTTTGAGAGTTATGAGGTTTGCCACATGAGGTTTGCTTTCTCTTCATCTCCCTTCAGTTATTTCCCTCAGTCATGCTTGCTTGCTTTCTTTCAGTACTGCCAAATGAGAGAAGCTTCCAGAATGCTGCTAAAAGCAATAACTTGGATCTTATGGAGAAGCTGTTTGACAAGAAGGTTAACATTAATGCAGTGAACAATGTGAGTAGAAGTCGCAAATGTGACAAGTAACTGCTTTAAGGGTGGCTTGGGTTTATAAATAATAATAAAATGATTGTGTTGAGTGAAATGAGGGAGATATCCTCTGTTGGCAATCCCAGAATGTTTAAGCTAAATGTGGCACCAAGCAGTGGAATAGCATCTGGGGAGTTTACTTTATCAGGGGGGAGGTGTCCAGGGTCTTTATGCATCTGTGCAAAGTCTGTGGGTGGGCAGGCAAGCCAGCTGTCAAGGTTGCAGGCCTAGACTTGGTCCTGGATTGCAGCCTATGGATCACTTTGGCTTCACACATTCTGGAAGGGCAGAACATCTTGCTACACAAGTTACCATTGTTTTCTCTCCAATGGTGTCCTTTGTGGTTAGGGCCTTCCGAATTTAAAATCCAAAGGGGAGCGTGGGTTTGCATTTTATTGCTTTTGAAATACAGCGCATCTGCATGTTGGGCAGTGGCCCTTTTCTGAAACCTGGCTCTTACCTACTTGTTCTTCAAGTGCCTGGGTTTAGGGGAGAAGTCCACTGCTAGAAATCTGGATTTCCTACTGCTTGGTTTTGTGGGCATTTCCTGACAGTCCTTCAGGACAGGGTTTATCACAGTGAACAGGCTGGGAGCTGTGTCAACTGCTTAGGACGCTTTGTGGAGTGGTTCAAGGTGGGGGTGGCAGAAGTGGATTTAATGCTAAATGAAGCATAAGCTGTAGGGCGCCTACTGGACAGGCGCCTCCCAGGGCTCTGGGAGGGCTCCAGCAATATGTCCCCATGCTTATATCATTTTGTAAAATATGAAAAAGTAAGCAATTTTAACTACAGTCAGTTAAGCTTTCTGACTCTGGCTTTTTATTTATTTATTTTTTTTGAAGATTTTATCTTTCCTTTTTCTCTCCAAAGCCCCCCTGGTACATAGTTGCATATTTTTAGTTGTGGGTCCTTCCAATTGTGGCATGTGGGATGCCACCCCAGCATGGCTTGATGAGCAGTGCCCTGTCAACGCCCAGGATCCAAACCACCAAAACCCTGGGCCACTTAACCAGAGCGCACGAACTTACCCACTCAGCCACGGGGCCAGCCCCTGACTCTGGCTTTTAAAGAGAGCTCCCTAGGGCTGGCCCGGTGGTGGAGTGGTTGAGTTTGTGTGTTCTGCTTTGGCGGCCTGGGATTCGCAGGTTCGAATCCTGGGCATGGACCTACACACCACTCATCCGGCCATGCTGTGGCAGCATCCCACATACAAAATAGAGGAAGATTGGCACACGTGTTAGCTCAGGGACAATCTTCCTCAAGCAAAAAGAGGAAGATTGGCAACAGATGGTAGCTCAGGGCCAATCTTCCTCACCAAAATAAATAAGTAAATAAATAAAAATAAAAATTAAAAAAATAAAGAGGGCTCCCTAAAGAGTATAAACTTCAGGTTTCGCAGAACCTGGATTGGTGCCAGGCAGTGAGGTCATAGAAACTGAAGTCACACATCGTGTGCAGTGGAAGGCTGCTTAGCAGTTGTGCATGTGTGTACGTGAGGGGGTGTGTGTTTATGTGGATGTGAGAATTTATGTGTCTATGTGTAAATTGTGTGCTTGTGTGTGTCTGATGTGTTATGGGCATATGGAGGATTCATTGTCCATAGACGTCCTAGAAAGAGTAGAAAAAAATAGCAACATTTTGCAGCATAACAATTTTAAGAACCAAAAAAAAAGGGAGGTGGGGAGAGGAATCAAGGAAAGAAGGGGGTGAAAAGGAGAGAATAAGCTAGGATCTTTGCAGGTGGTATCTAGACTAATTGTTGAAAAAGCAAAGCAACAGTCATTTTTCCAAGTAGTAGGAAATAGATTCTCCAATGTACTTTGATAACTGTTTAAAAATTTTCACATACATACAATTTTCTGACATTTTAAACCATATGTTTATATTAAATACCTGGTGAGCGAGTATAATCTAGGTCACTAACCTACAGTGTGGCGAGTGCTTATAAATGTGAGGAATCGTGCTGTACTTTCTAATGACAGCTCCTTTAGTCCTGTTCACAGCAAAGTGTTGATGTGGTTATTTGTAGAGTTCCTTAAAATGTGTGATGATAGAGAAAAATGTAAGAGGTTTTATTGAATGATCGTGGATGCTGTTTTGGCTTGCATCCTTTTTCACAAATAAAGTTAATAGAGGAGTTTATAGCCCAAATGTAACATACCAGAACATAGCTCTAGATTGCAGACAATGTCAAGATAGCTCATGTTTTGTCAAACTTACTTTATTACCAGTTTAGCTACCGGGAAATCAGATGTTTAAACATTTCTCATATTTTTGTGATAAAGTGTTTATGTGAAGCAAAGGATAATAAATCCGTGCCCAAGCACCTTCTTTGGAAGCAAAAACAGTGTCTAGAATATGGGGAATATGACACGTGTTTTACTTACAAGCAAAACATCCATCGTCTGAAACATAGGAGTCTGTCTCTGGACATCCCAGGAGCACCATGCTGGCTTTCCTTTGAAGCAAAAAATACTCATTGCTTTCTTTCTCTGTCTCTTTCTTTCCTTCCTTCCTTCCTTACCTTCTTCCTTCCTTCTCTCTTTCTTTCTTTCTTTCTTTGTTTCCTTCATTCCTTCCTTTGCAATTTATTTGTTTGCTTAAAATTTACAGTTTAAAAAATTACAGAAGAAAGACCATTTATGGATTGACCATCCATCTATGTGGATTGAAGTTTTTGTTATGCAGTATCAGTGTATGCTAAGCAGAAAAAATTTACCATTATTAGTGATTACAGATGGCGGAAAATACAACTTTTACTCTAATTGAAATGTGTTATATTGCTACAATCAGCGATAGGTTAGCACCGGATTTCAGCTTGAGGCATGTCCTCCACTGGATTGCCGAATTCTCTGGTATTATCTGATAACAGATGAAGGCAAGATTACACTGGACACGATTCTCAGTGCTTTCAAAGACAAAGGCCAAGAATACATAAATAATCAAAATGCAAACACCTAATAGAAAATTATGGCCGTTCAGGAAACAGGAAACTTAAAAAGGCCAAATAACAATGAGATGACTGAAAACACAAATTATGTTTTCCCAGATGAACAGCACAGCCCTGCATTTTGCAGTGGGGGCAAATCATTTATCTGCAGTGGATTTCTTGCTTAATCACAAGGCCAGGGTGGATGTTGCTGATAAGGTAAGCCCATCTTCGTTTGGCAGAGAGGATTGGAGCATAACCAATGATGGGGAAAATCTGGTCACTCTGGTTATCTTTTCTTCGTGTACACACAAAGTATTTCCATTAGCAGTGTTCATTTTGGAAAGATCTCTTAGAGAATATACATATTATGTGCTCTTTGCGTTTGGTGACTGAATTACCTATAGGACTTCGACTTTCGCTCATTTTCCTGTATTGACCTTGTGACCAGTAGCGTGCATTTGCCCGGAGTGTAATTTGGGACATGGAAGATGGAAGCTGTCTGGCCTCAGGGACATTAGATCTTGACTTTGTCCTGTGAACCCTGATAAATAAATGAGGCTTATTTAACAGATACTATGTACTGGGCACCAGCCTTAGGACTCTGATGTTTAGCCACCCCCACTCCCCACCTTGTGAGAAAAACATTACTCTAACACCCCATTTTCAGATGAGGCGCCTGAGACACAGAGGGGTTAAATATCTTGCCCAAAAAATTACGTCTAAGAAGGGGTGGAGTTAGGATTTGAACCTGGCTTATGTGATCCAGAGACCATGCTGTTAGCCACAAATCAACTCAACTATTTCTCTGCCTACATATCAACCCCCTCCTGCCCTTGAAGGATCTTCCACCTGCTTTCCCCAGCTTCATTTAGTACTTTACCGTGGCACAGGGACACCACTGGGGCTGGAGAGACACAACATCGTGTTTGTTGTCTCCAGGCGCAGAGAAAGTTTTTAGTCAATCCGATGGACCGTGGTTCTTGGTTCTTCGTTCATCCAGTGGACTGTGGTTCTTAAAGTGTTCTGGAGAGTCCCACAGAGCTCTTCTGTTTTCTTCCTGGACTGACTCAGCTGTGCTTTACCTTCATGTCTCACAGGGTCTGGGTGTAGAATGTGCTTGGTGAATCTTTGGAAGGTGAATGAGTAAAGTCAGTTCAAACCAATCGGTCACCTTGTTGGTTTGGTCAACAATCATAGACATGCCTAGACTTGATAAGATGAGAGTTTCTCTTTTGTTTCACCAGTAGGACACGTCCCTCTCTGTTTTATTCCTCTAGAATTGGCAGGCAAGGAAATTGGTACGTAACAGAATCAGAATGAATACGTGCCCCTTTTTAAAAATTGGCACCAAAAGCACTCCAACCTTGTGAATGTAGCAAGTTGTATGATGGTGGTGGTACTTAAGGAGCAGATCGTTCACGCCTGGAAATTGTTATTTCGTTATTTTGCAACAGTAATTAGCCTTCAAAGGATGCTTTGGTAATAGACTTGATTGCCAAGAGTCTATTCTTATTTTGACATTGAAACTCTGATATAATAACTTTCTATTTTACTATAATTTTTAAATTAACTTACTGTGCAGTTAACTTTCTTTTTGGCATATAGTTCTATGAATGTTAACACATATAGATTCGTGTAACCACCACCACCATCAGAATACAAGACAGCTGCATCACCCAGAAAATTCTCTCACGCTGCTTCTTTGTAGTCACACTCTCGCCCACCCTGGCAACTGTTGATCTCTTCTCTGTAATTTTTCCTTTTGGAGAATGCCTTATAAATGGTATCATATAATTTATAACCTTTTGACACTGACTTCTGTCACTCAGCAAAATGCCTCTGAGGTTCATCCATGTTGTTGTATGTATCCATAATTCCTCTTTTTTTATTGCTGAATAGTATTCCAGGGTATGAATGTACCACAGTTTGTTTATCCATTCACAAGTTGAAGGACATTAGAGTTGTTTCCAGTTTTTGACTGTTACAAACAAAGCTGCTATAAACATTTGTGTAAGTATTTGTGTAACCGTAAGTTTTCATTTCTCTAGTGTAAACACCTAGGAGTAAGATTACTGGGTCATATAGTAAGCTATGTACGGGAAGCTGCCAGACAGTCTTTGAGAGTGGCTGTGCCGTATTCGCTCTCCCAGCAATGCAGCAGAGTTCCATTTGTTCCACATCCTCATCAGCACTTGGTATTGTCATTTTTTTCCCCTTAATTTTAGCCATCCTAATTGGTTTGTATTCGCATCTCATTGTGGTTTTAATTTGCATTTCTTTGATGTCTAATGATATCCAGCATCTTTTCTTGTGTTATTGAGCGTTTGTATATCCACTTTGATGAAGGGTCTATTCAAATCTTTTGAAATTTTTTAAAAATAAGTTGGGTTGTTTGTTCTCTTACTGTTGAATTTGGAGACGTCTTTATATATTCTAGACACAAGTTCTTTGTTAGACATGTGATTTGCAAATATTTTCTCATACTCTGTAGCTTATCTTTTTAGTGTTTTTCACAGAACGAAAGTTTTTAATTTTGATGAAGTACAATTTACCTATTTTTAAAAATGAATCTGGCGATTGGTGTTATATCTGTGAGTGCTTTGCCTAACTTAAGATCATGAAGCTTTTCTCATATTTTTCTTCTAAAACTTTTATAGCCTTGTGTTTTACATTAACATTTGTTGTACATTTTGATTTAATGTTTTTTTTTTTTTTTGAGGAAGATTAGCCCTGAGCTAACATCTGCTGCCAGTCCTCCTCTTTTTGCTGAGGAAGACTGGCCCTGAGCTAACATCTGTGCCCATCTTCCTCTACTTTATATGTGGGATGCCTACCACAGCATGGCTTGACAGGCGGTGCCATGTCCACACCCAGGATCCAAACCGGCAAACCCCAGGCCGCCAAAATGGAATGTGTGAACCTAACCGCTGCACCATTGGGGTGGCCCCCATTTTGATTTAATTTAAGTATAAGGTATGAGGAGTAGGGCGAGCTTCTTTTTTAGCTTGAGTATGGATAACCAGTTTCTTCAACACCATTTGAGGGGCTGGCCCTGTGGTGGAGTGGTTAAGTTTGCGCCCTCTGCTTTGGCAGCCTGGAGTTCGCTGGTTTGGATCCTGGGCCCAGACCTAGCACTTCTCATTAAGCCATGCTGTGGTGGCATCCCACATATAAAGTAGAGGAAGATGGGCACAGATGTTAGCTTAGGGCCAATCTTCCTCAACAAAAGAAGAGGAGTATTGGTGGCGGAGGTTAGCTCAGGGCTAATTTTCCTCAAAAAACAAAACAAAACCCCATTTGACACCAGGGTCACCTCAGTTCTCAGCACTTTTGCAGTGCTGTTTGGACATGTCCCACATGTGCACCATCCAGGGGCCAGTCTGAGACCTGGCATCATGCTGTTCAGGGTCAGGTCCATGTGCAGGTCAGGACTGAGGCCAGGTGTGCATACTTGACTTTGTGGGATGGCTCTCCTGAGCTCCCACCTCTCCAAGATCATTCCCCCTGCTCCCACCCCATCCTCCAGCTCCAGGGCCCTTCCCCGTGTTCCTGATCCTCTGACTAGAAAGACAGTGGTATAGACTCCCAGCTCTGCTGTGTCCATCCCGCACCTGGGTTTGCCTCCAGGACTGAGAGAGGAAAGAAAGCAGTATGAGTCCCCCCACCCCCTCTTCTGATGACTTCCTCTGGTCAGAGAGGAGTCCCTCTGTCAGAGTTTCAGGTGCTGCCCAGCTGCTGCTGCTACCCCTTCCACTGCGGGGCTGCAGCTTTGGGAGTGAGGCTTGCCTGGGGCCGGGCCAGAAGGGAAGACAGACACAGCATCTTCCCTACTGTCTCCATTCTATAGGGTCCGCCTCCGCTCCTTAGACCAGAGATAGAGGGCTGCTCCTGGAGCTCTTTCTGCCCAGGGCACAGATCTGTGATTTGCACTGCCTTGAGTCCCGACTGGAAGGTGTGGAAGAAAAACCAAAAAGCAAAAGTGAGGAAACCCCAATTGTTTATATTTTGAGTTCTGGTTTTCCTCCCTAGCCTGCCTGGTACCGTTTACTTCTCAGAGTACTTAACTAGCTGTTCCATGCATTCCGTCCAGAGATTTTAGTCGCATTTGGTGAGAGAGTCAGAGTAGGGTGTACTTATTCCATCTTACCCAGACCATAACCCCGAATCTTTAATGTACTGTAAAAGTGGGGAGAATTGTACAATAAACACCTGTGTATCCTTTGTCCAGGCTGAATGGCATCTTGTCTTTTTTTTTTTTTTTGGAAGATTAGCCCTGAGCTAACATCTGCCGCCAATCCTCCTCTTTTTGCTGAGGAAGACTGGCGCTGAGCTCACATGCATGCCCATCTTCCTCCACTTTATATGTGGGACGCCTGCCATAGCATGGCTTCCCAGGTGGTGCCATGTCCGCACCCGGGATCCGAACCAGCGAACCCCGGGCCGCTGAAGCAGAACATGCAAACTTAACTGCTGTGCCACTGGGCTGGCCCACATCTTTTCTTTTAAACAGCATGTCTGAGGATTGCCATGTTTCTAAGGTATTAACTACACTACTGGTTTATGTCAGAGTGTAAGTCAGTTCTTGCAGAAATGATGAAGAGATGTTTTACCAACTTGTTCTCTTTGAGGCTTTCCAAACATACATTTGGGGGCTCACGTCAGCTTCTTGTAACTTCGCCTTGTGAGACTCAGATGCTGGCAGGTGGGAAATACAGTAATTCCTGATGTATCTCTGTACTTTGCTGTGAAAGTTTCACTAAGTTAAATATCTCCATAACTAATTTAATTATTCACAGTGCATTAGTACATAGCTAATAAAATGCCTTTTATAATTCAAGCAATGCCATGTTTGATTGGTCAGACCTGGCAGCTTGTTGATCTAAGCGGTGAGCCCTGAGTTTCACATGGCAGATGTGTCTTCTGAGGTCCAACACCTGTTTGCGAAGAGCCAACAATTGAACCCCTTCACCCTCAGTATTTATTCAGTGCCTGATGTGGGTAAGTCTCAATGCCAACTACTGGGGATTCAGCTAGATATAGGTTCTTGCTACTCAAAGTGTGGTCCTGGGACCAGAGTGCTGGCATTACCTGGGAGCTTGTTAGAAATGCAGACTCTTGGGCCCCACTCCAGACCTCCTGAGTCACAATCTGCAATTTAACAAGATCCCCAGGTGATGTGTCAGGAAGCACTGGCGTGCTTTGAGGGGCCTACAGTCTATCGGGGGAGCAAGGACTGAGACTGTAACAGATGGGTACCATCCAAGGCATTACGTGGTAAGGAACAAATGCATGGCCTGGACGCTGAGGACTCCAGGTTTAGAGTGGGGGCATCCCCGAATCTTGGGAAGAGGCAGACTGGATAAATGGAGGGAGGCTCCTACTCCAGAAGTGAACAGAGGATCCAGATGGAGAGGTGGTGCTCAGAGGATCGTGACGAGCATCTGCTCTCGGAGCTCCTTATCTCTGGGAAGCGCCTCAAGTTCAGCTGTTCCCCAGGGGAAGTTACTGACTTTCTCACCTATGACCAGGCTCGTGATGAGGACAGATTGTCACTGACTGTGGGCATTTTACACTTACAGAGCGTCGTGTACTGACTGTGAGTGTAATCCATGACAGGCTCATGGACTGCCCCAGGCATGTCAGTTTCATGTCAGGAAAACTTAGTTTTATGAAGGTTCTTGTGGGGGGTTTACAGCTTTGAGCAGTGACTCTTTGCCTCTGAGGAATGATGGCTCACTCAGAATTTATGGTTTCAGAGACTCAAGTTGTTTGCAGCTTGAATTCCTGGCTTTTGGATTTTGTGATCAGTGTTTGAAATCTTTAAGTATCGGCTGCTTTGAAATTAGAAATGACCTCTTAGGGAAAAATAGAGCTCCTATCAAAATTTGATTTATCGTCTATCCCAAATGTTTCTGGCCTCTTTTTGGACCATATGTGAAACTGGATTTAGTATTGTTGACTAGGGGCATTGATTTGTAGAGAAGGCTAAATTAAGGGGTGGGATTGTGTTTAGGGCACTTTTCTTGAAGAACCTCAACTAGTCATTGTACATCGTTGTTTGTTTGGAAATTGAGTGCAGAAATTGGTGGGTATTTTCATCATACTGGAATTATAAGCATATAGGTAGACTTCAATAGACTAACTCCCTGTGTAGTGTGACAGCTGGAATGTAAATTTTATAGGATATGTCGTCTGCAGCAGGCTTTCTCAGCAGTGGCTCTATGACATTCTGGTGGGGTGATTTTTTGTTGTGGGGGCTGTTTGGGATGATTGGATGTTTTGCAGTGTCTCTGGCCTCTACCCACTGAATATCAATATCTCCCTTCAGTCATGACCATCAAAAGTGTCTCCAGATAGCTCGCAAAGGGCCCTGGAGGCAAAGTCGCCCTCAGCTGAGAACCACTGATCTAGAGCTACCCCTCAATAATCTGGGGCTTGCTTTTTCTCTTCTCCATGCCTGAACTTGACTGAGAATAAGAGAATACGTTAATGCGTTTCTGGGGCAGCCAAAATCAATGCCCAAAGGCTTACTACGCACTTTACAAATGCAAGGGCCCCACAGATCTCATTCCTTGTTTATTTATTCATACTCTGTCTATCTAACAAACTGGTTTCCTGGATTACAAACAACGGTCGATAGCAGATGCAAATAGGATGTGCTGGGAAGGCTTACTTTCTGGAAGGCACTTTTACAGAAGTAATGGATATTTTTTGGCAGGAATAAAAGGAAACAGAAAAGCAGATGCATGAACGTACAGATAAGGAACCTGAGGCTGACAGTTAGCCAAGGTGACTGAGATAATAGCGCTTGAAAGGGGTCGAGCCAGAATTTGAGGTCAATTTCGTTCAGTTCTCCAGACCGTGCTCACAGTGTCCGCTCTATATTGCTTCTCTAACTTGGGGCCTGGAACACAGGTCCCAATTTTCCCTAGCTTACCTCCCTCCGGTCCCACCTTCCTGAGATGGCCAGTGCTAACTGCCCCCTGTCTCCTTTCACACCTTTCTCCCCGCTCATTGAGTCCACAGTCTGACTGCCCACGGCATCGCTGCAGGTCGGCAGGGCCTGCTCAGAATCTCTCTCTCTCAGTTTATTTTGTGCATGTGTGCGTGCACACACACACACACGTATATGACTTTATATAGAGAGAATATTTTAAATAATTTATATATAAATAAGATTCTTTTGATAACTTCAGTCTTTTCTGTTTTTTCTTTTTTGTGTACCTTTCCCTTCTCCAGTAATTACATTTAACAATGTGGGATGAATTTATTTCTGTATTTTCCTCATGCTTATATAATCACATCCATATTGGTCTCTAACAATCTATCTACCTACTTACCCAGCTATAGGTAGACAGAGATATAGATGTACATGAGTTTTTTGGTCGTTGCTTGTTTTATAAAAAAAATGAGATTATCAGATAAAAACCAGACTATTGGTGGTGAACACGATGCAACCTATACAGAAACTGAAATATAATAATGTACATCTGAAATTCACACAATGTTAAAAGCCAGTATGACCTCAGTAAAATTTTAGAAATGGATTATATTTTCTCTGCATTTTATTTTCCACACTTAACAGCTGGCTCACGGAAGTCTCTCCCAGTCACTTGTCAGAGCTCTCATTCGTTGTTTTGAATGGCTGCATGATGTGGCACGACTGTTTCCCACTTTGTTCAGTGTTCCTGTTTTGACGGAGATTGACCTTGCTCCCAGGTTTAAGGGTAACAGTTAACGTCCTTGTTTGTATAGCACTAGGTCCTAAACCTTATTTTCATGGGATAGATTCCCAGGAGTGGGATAGCTGGTTGGGTTTAAAGTTTTAATGGATATTGCCAGATTGCTTAAACTATAATGCTTTCATTTCCATTAGTACCTTAAGAGGACACCTTTTTGTCAGTTGGTTTAATTGCCTTTTTCTTGTTGATTTGTAAGAATGTTTCATATATTAGAGAAAGTAACCATTTATCTTTATTAAGCTACATTTAAAGCAATGTATCATTTGTTTATCATCAATCTTTCCATTTATAAGTTCTGATTAACACATGTACTATAGTCTATATTTTCTTCTAATGTATTTGTTGTTTGGGTACTTTGTCTGTATATGAATAGGGTTTCATTTTATTTTCTTCCAGATGGAGAACCCCTTGTGCCTGCACCACTTATTAAATATATTCATTTTCCCCATGAAATTGAAATATCACCTTTGCTGTATATTAAATTCTCTTCCTATTTCTTAATTTTCAACAGCTGAGTGTTAACTTGGCTTTTGTTGACTGAGATAGTGTGTTGTGGCTCATCCATGTGATGGATTCTTTTCTTCTCTCTTTTGGGGAAGCACGGCTTGACAGTAATTCATCTTGCAGCCTGGTCTGGAGGCCTTGAGATCATGCTCTTGCTGGTTAGAGCTGGAGCAGACCAGAGAGCCAAGAATCAGGTAGGTATGTGGGTCACTCCTGGACCCACATGAGCTGTCAGCTCACCAGTGCAGGAGAGGGAGGTCCTGAGATCACTGTGTAATCATCTCCCCACCTGGCTCTCTTCAGGATGGAATGAATGCCCTCCACTTTGCAGCTCAGAGCAATAATGTGCGCATCGTGGAGTACCTCATTCAAGATCTTCACCTGAAGGAGCTGGACCAGCCCGATGAGGTGTGTTTCCTGCGATACACTCCCACCCAATTCTGCTTTCTTTCTGCCTCTGCCAGAGCTGCCAAAGCCACTAGCACAGACAGACCTGACCGTGTGGCCAGCTCCTCCCTCACCCTGGCAGACAGACCACAGAGCAGAAGGACAGCGTTGGTGCCAGCGGTTGCCCTGACACCTGCATGTGGTATTGAAGAAGCCAGATTCCTTCTTCCTTCTCTGCTCCCTCCTCCTGGCTGGGGTGCAGACAGGATCCACACCCCTGTGGTGTTCAGAATGGGTGCCTGCATTTTACTCTCTTAGGCCTGGCCTTTTTGGAATGTATTTGACCCAAGGCTCTGCAGTAATGAGTCAAGGAATATGCTGCAGTTTCACTGTATTTGTCTATATTCCTTTTCTTTTCTTAAAGAGATAAATAATTATAAAAGCTGCTGCTTAGTGAGGACTGCTAGGTATTCCCGGAACTATACGCAGCTTTGCCATAAACATCTTTGCTGCATAATTAATTGGGCGTGAGGCGACTTTGCCTAAAAAGTCTTTTGCCATAAAAAAGAAAATAACGAAAAATAAAAATGAAATTAATAACAATAGAAAGAGTTTTTTGCGAAAAAAAGAAAATACAAAACTACTTCAGTGTGTGTAAAACATGTGTGGATTCATGGCAGACACTGCACAGATCACTGATTTTATTTTGTGGATTGTGCCCAAGCACTTGTCTTCCAAGTCTTTCGTTCATAGTATTTTACTTTTGTTGCCTGTTGATTCGTTCTCCTCATTTGGCATCACACCTTCTTTTTTCGCTCAGATTTCTTCCTCATTAAGAGAGAGATCAGTTTCCAAAATGCTAGGATGCACGTGTGTAACTGAGCTTTGTATTGTGTTGTGACTGTGCTCACTGAAGGGTTTGTAAACTGATATGTTCTCGTTCTCTAGGACGGTATGCAATCTTGGTTTACAGTGAAATGAAACCAAACTGTCAACCAATTATTTTATCTTTTTTTTTAATGGCAAAATCGCCTTATGCCCAGTTAGTTATGTGGTGAAAATGCTTGCGGTGAAGACGTTTGTTTATGGCAAAGCTGCTTATAGTGAAAATACTGGACACATTATTGAGTATTTATTAGTGTTCTAGGAACAGAGGAAAGCTATTTACATACATTACTTCAGTCAGAGGTCTAGGGCCTGGCACATACGGATGCTTAACAAACCAAAGCTGAATGAATGAATTATCTTGTAGACCCCCGGGGGCCGGCCTGGTGGCGCAGCAGTTAAGTTTTATATGTGGGATGCTGCCACAGCAAGGATTGATGAGCAGTGTGTAGGTCTGTGCCCAGGATCCAAACTGGCGAACCCCAGGCCGCTGAAGCAGAGCACACGAACTTAACTGCTACGCCACCGGGCCAGCCCCTAAGACATTCTTATGTGGCAGTGTTGGCCTAGCCACTGTTGGGATGCTTAAATGGATTAATGACTATAAAGCACTTAGGAAAGAGCCTGGCACATGGTAAGTGCTCACTAAATGGTAGCTGTTATAATAATTATTATGGGATAAAATGCACTGTCTGATTTCCTCTAACTGATAATCGTAGTCAAATAGCTTCTAGTGTCAGGGTGAGGAAGTCCGATTGTTCCCGTTTGACTGATGCTAAGGAGGGATGTGACATATAAATGAATTCTATTGGGGAGGGAAAATTTTCCTCTACCCTTCAAAGGTTCTTTCAGCTGGTCAAATAATTTAATTGACGTGAGACAGATTAACAGGAGAAAAACAAATTTTGTACACATGAGAACCCCACATACATGAGACATTCTAAGACAGAGAGGTAAAATGAGGCATATATGCCGTCTTGAGCCAAGGAGTGGACTAGGGGCCTGGGGCTTCAGAGGGGAGGAGAGCGATTCACAGGACGGTAAGGAACAGATGGTCACTAAGTAAATGTTTGCTCTGCCAGCCAGATAGGTCATACAAGTTTATGTGTGGTAAGAACTCTTGTTTTGGGCAAGACCCTCACTTCTTTAAGGGAGAAGCAAAGATTTCTCTTGAGCCCGCAGGGTCTCAATTGCTTTTAGCTCAAAACATGCCACACACCAGAAAAGTAGCACATCTTGGGGAGGCCTGTCTGGACCCCTTCAGTTCCACTCAGTTCAGTTCAGCAGATACTTGTTCAGGGCCTGTTATGTGTGAGACACATGACTGTCTCCTCTTTTGGGGGTTCTGGCTGCTTTCTCTGGAGACAGCGGGGTGGGGGCAGGATCAGGCAGGCTGAAGGGGCTCAGAGACCGAAGCGGATTTGCGGGGAGCCTTCCTGGCCTCTGGAGCATCTGTTCCCAGCAGGCTTCCTGTGCATCGTCTCTTTTCACCGTCTTCCTCTTCCTCTGACTGTCCGTTGGGGAAAGCTGAGGAGCCTGGCAGCAGACTGCAGAGCCACATGTCCAGCTGAGAGGTCTTAAAATTCCGATGGCTTGAGAGGCATATGAGGAATGAGCAGATAACGAGTCCCCTGGGTCGTCGAGGGAGAGAAGAATCTCTGAGTCCTGTTTTAGTTCTGTAAGAAGCCTGGATTGATCAATGCAAAAGGCAAACAAAGTCTACGCTTTTTCTGAGATTTGTGAGTGGTGTCAAGTATATTGGCAAAAGCTGGTAGGAACTGGGATCAGGAGCTCAGGGTGTATTAATTCATCACTGGGTTTTCCAACTGTCTTTGCTTAAAGGTCTTGTGCAGCTCATGAAATGCATTTGATGGAAAAGACAGGCTCCACCCTTGCACCTGGCCTCTCGCCTGGTTTCTTATCAACAGAAGGAGACTGCCTGCCGAGGGTTAGGAAAACCCTTGTCTCAGCCTGGAGGCAACGCCAAAAGCTGACAGGGAGAGCCTTCCTGGGAGGAGGTCTTTATTAATAAAGTGGACTTAAGTATGCCCAGAAGAACTGGGTGGGGATGGGTGAGATGGAGGACACGGAAACTACAATTTTGCGGTTTCTCCCAGCTCCGTAGCGCTAGAGCTCAGGTGGCCTCTCCAGGGGAGAGAGAGCGCAGCCAGAAGTTCCGGGTAAACTTGTCTAGATATTCTGAACCTTCGTGTGAACGCCCATCTAGTGATCGAAAATAATCACTCAGAGTAAGATGTTTGGAGAAGGAGGGACACAGAGGGGAATAGCCTCAGAAGCTGTTGCTGTGTTTGTGGAATATGTACAAGAGTCTGGTGGTAAAATGTCAGGTTGGTTTTAGCTGCGGATATAGGGGCGTTTCCATTGGTTTAAAGGAATCTATATGGAAAGTCTCTAGGGGTCAAGATGCAAAGAATCTTCTCCTTTGGAGAGCTGGGGATCATGAGCACGAGGGGATTGAGAAGACATAGATTCTTATACGGAGCTGAGGCCAATGTTGACAGCCTCAGATTCAATCAGACCTTTCCACTCCAGTGTGTAAGGGGCCCTGCCACACCAGTTCCTCACCTTCCTGTCTCACACGCTGCTCTTCTTGTGGCAGTGTTCATGTCCCCTCTCAAATCTCTAGTTATTCGGGGACCTGCTGGTTTTCCCCTTTTGCTGGGGACCTGCCGTGAATTCCTGACCCCGGGTGAGGGGAAATGTCTGGTGTAGACACGCACAGGTGGCGCTGGGGGGCTTTGCATGGCTTCCACCCGGCCCCCTCCCCTCAGAGGCCCTCCCGGGCACCAGCTCTGGGATCCCTGTGGGAAAGGATGGTCAGATTGGACTTTGGGTGCCCGTTTAATGGCTGTTTATGACATTTTTGCTGGATTTGGTAACTTGTCGAATTTGATAGCACTGGCCTTAAACTTAAGAAGGAAAAATGATTTCTAGTAAATGATTGCAACTCCTCAGACTTACTCACATGCCAAAAATGTAAACGCACTGAGTTGAAGCATATTAAGTTAAATACACGTTAAATTAACAAAGGAAAAAGGGACAGGAATTGTGGACCCTCCTTATTTTTGTTGATTAGGAAAGGGAATCGGGATCCCAAGCGGTGCCATGTCCGCACCCGGGATCCGAACTGGCAAACCCCGGGCCACCGAAGCAGAACATGCACACTTAACTGCTGCACCACCCGGCTGGCCCCAGAAACTATATTTTTTAAAAAAATGCATATTTTTGAAATTCCTGTTATTTTGCTCAATAGCACGTACTAGAGATGAGAGAAAAGATTTATATCTCATTTTACTGTCACCTCATCTTTCTTTATGCTACCTTTGATATATTTATAAGATATAGATTGCTTTAAATGTCCTTATTTTGTGCTTTCACATTTTTTTCTTCATGATAACATTTTTTAAAGGGCATCCAAAGTTTAAAATAATAGCTGTGTTCCTGATGGACAAGGCTGTTTCGTGTGTGATAACTTCCCATTCTTTACCAGACTAGGCTTTCCTGGTGGGTGGATCCTCCATCACTTTGTTTAGCCATGCAGAAATACAAGGCTTGTAGCAACCAAGGGTGAAAGAGTAAGGCCATTTTAAAGTTGAACAGACCCCCTGGTACTTCTAGCAGTGTTTGTCCCCAAGCTGCTAAATATGTATTAGTTAGAATCCTTTCTCTTATGAATGACGAAAATCCAGCTTAATCTAGATTAAGCAATAATGATAATTTATTAACTCCTAACCAAGGAGTTTGAGGGTGTATCTGGCTGGCTTCAGGCATGGCTAGATCTGGCTCTTTTTTCCTCCAACTCTTGGTTGTCTGTGTGGTGGCATTACTGATAGGCATACTCGCCACATAGTGGGAAAGATGACTGCTAGCAGCCTCAAGTTTACATTCTTCTGGATATTCTTCTGGATTTTCATTCTTAAAAAGGAAAATTCCTCTCTCATCGATGTTCTATATAAAGCTCAGGAACAAGTCTGTTTGTCCTGCCTAAATCATATGCCCAGCCCAGAGCCAGTCACTGTGACCACATGGGTGACGTGATCACTTCGTGTGGCTGATAAAGCCTGGCAGTGGACACACTACATGGACTAAATGGCGGGTGTGTGTGTGTACCAGTGAGGGGTTCTCCAAAGGAAAGCTGAACTGCTGCTAATAGAAGACAGAACCGGAGAGATGAAGGCAGCAAATGTGCACGCCGGGACCAACCCCTCGTGTTTCATTTACGTCTCTGTGGGTGAAGAGCCAGCAAACCCCTTTTCCTTCTGCATGAGAATGTGAACTTCGGTTATCTATCTGACTCTGAGTCCCTGCAAACAAGATAAAGATATAATGTTAACTGTTATTAAGCAGCATTGTTTATGGTCAAATGCCCCCTAATTGGTGTGTTGCGTCTGCACTTGGAGTGACTGCAGATGAGCTGTAAATGCCAGAGGGGAGCCGCACTTTGGGGCTCTCTGAGTACAGTGACTTTTGTAACTAACTGGCGTGTCCCTTGTAGGGACCTGGAAGCTGAGCCTAAGGAGTTGTTACAAGAGATGTTTGTTTCTGTGGGGCACCAGCGTTCTAAGCCAGGGTGGCACCCACAGCTGCCCAGTGTGGATCTTGTCACCTTGCAACTGAGATGTCACCTGGGGGCCAAAGACAGCTGCTCCTGGACAGCTGTGTGGACCATGGTACGAAGAGGAGCAGCTGACGCTGACAAGCTGTGGTTGGCGTCCTGCATCTTCTGAGTGGACTGGTGTCAAGTGTGGCCCGTGATAATTTTGTGAATCTGCAATGTTTAGTTGAACCTAAGAAGGCCCTCTGGTGAGCATTGGAGTCACTCTCGTAATTCTGTGAGACGGGCCAGTTGCTTTAAGGAAAGCCTGCGAGTGAAAGGGGACAGAAGCTCAACTCAAACTATTAAAAAAAAAAAAAGGAATTTATTAACTTAGCCAATTAAAAATCTCAGGCATGGGTAACTTCAGGGATGAGTAAATCCAGCAGCTCCCATGATGTCGGCATTACTGCTTCGTTCTTAGGCAGGGTCTCCTTAGCAGGTGGCAGAGAGAGCTACCGACAGCTTAGCTGATGACCCTAAAGTAAAAGTAGAATGCGCCAGAAAAATATCCCACAGTTGATGTCACTGGCCTGGCTTGGCATGTGACCATCCCTGAACCCAACACTGACCAAGGGGTAGATGGTGGGAGAGCAGGAGCCTGTAGTAACACCTCCACACAGTGGGGCTCAGAGCCTCAGGCTTCAAGCCCTAGATAAGTCACAATGCCTTCTGGGGCTCAGGATCCCGATTCCCTTTCCTAATCAACAAAAATAAGGAGGGTCCACAATTCCTGTCCCTTTTTCCTTTGTTAATTTAACGTGTATTTAACTTAATATGCTTCAACTCAGTGGAAAGCTGGTGGGCAGGAAACAGGTCTCCTGTTCCAGGCATTTGTAACCTTTAAATGCCTCCTCCCTCCATTTCTTGTCACCTGCCTCCCCAGCCACAAACACAGTGATGCTGAGCGACATCCCCCTGTATATCACCAGCACTCAGTTGCTGCATTTCATTATAATTACTTGCTTGTGTGCCATCTTCCCTGTTGGACTCTGAGCTTCTTGGGGATGGGGCAGTATATTTTCATCTTGGCCACTCTCTTGCTTAGCACAATATCTGGCGTATTCATAGGTGCTCAATAATTGTTGAGTAAGTGAGTGAATGATGGATAAGGATGTGTGTAAATGTCTTCGTCCGGTATATAATAGTGTCTCTCATCCTCCTTTTTGTGATTTGTTTGTATGGACCTTTATCTGTTGTCACATTTGCACATGTTTGTATAAACTAGACACACGAATTTTTGGTCTCTCATTTCCAAAGAGTGGTTCATGGCTCAAGACTAGATTTTGCTCTTCAATTAGGTGTCTAACTTGCACTCAGAAAACAGGGGCCCCAAGCAGTCTCTCCCTTCCCTTTGCCCTTCCTTAGTGGTTTAATGAGAATGACGATGAGAGTCAGGCCCTCAGACTCTGAAGCGTGGGGGAGGTAGGCCTCATTGGCAACGTGTCTAGCTCAGGAAGATGAATTAGGTGAGCTTTTTGGTGCCAGCTTGTTTCTCCAGCTTCCGTACTGATGCTTGTCACATATTCCCCCCCATTTATTATTTCAGCATTTTTCCTTCCTTTTTCTTCCAGTTATTGGGGAATCATGAGCTGTTATCTCAAGTTGACAAGGACCAAGATCTTTTCATTACCCTGCGTTAGTGGGAGATCAGATGACAGATCTCAGATTGAGGAACCTTCTTATAAGAGGCTTGTATCTTGCTTTTTACATTTCAGACATCTTATTAAGCTTTTGGTTAATAACATACCAGGCCAATTTGTGAGTGTTTTCTTTAATTGAAGAAAATACTTCTGCCTCTGTTTTGCCACCCTACCTTCCTTTTCCTCCTTGTAAATATCTTGGGTTAGAAGATTAAGTTCTCTGTGGGCCTTTCACTTTTCTTGATGACATTTTGGCTATTGCAAATACAGTCTCCACCGGCAATGTGAAAAGTTGGAGAAATGACCATAATCAGACAATTCTACAATTGACCTTTCCTTCCCAACAAATCACACCTAAACATCTCCTTTAAGCAGTGTTCTCTGGGTGATGCCCAGTTTCTCCATTCCATTTCGTATAGACCTGTTCTCAAGAGTTTTCCTGTTGAGGGGCCGGCCCCGGGGCCGAGTGGTTAAGTTCGTGCACTCCACTTCGGCAGCCCAGGGTTTCGCTGGTTCGGATCCTGGGCGCGAACATGACACCGCTCGTCAGGCCACGTTGAGGCGGCGTCCCACATGCCACAACTAGAAGGACTCACAACTAAAATATACAACTATGTGCTGGGGGGATTTGGGGAAAAAACGCAGGAAAAATAAAAAAGAAGATTTGCGAAAAAAACTTTTCCTGTTGATTCTTAGTGAACCTTGGACATAAATACATGAGCAAGCAAAGAAGGCCTAAAAAGAAGCAGTGGATGAAATAGCGTGTCTGAAGGAGCCATGTAAATATTCAGCCTGGAGAATTTCTGCTTCAGACATTTTTATCAGTAAGGCAAAGCTGAGTGTGTGATGCAAAGATGCCTGAGACGTGGTCTGGCACATAACAGCTTCTCAGTTAATGGCGTAATGAAAGAACTATTCAGTAAACACAGAAAACTGGTAAAACTGCTGCCTTTGGAAGGGAATCTCCTTGTCTGACTGTGAGGTGGCGCCTCCCCCCTTGCTTGGAAGGACCATTTCTGAATAGGACTTTTCTGCCCACGTAAAAATGAGTCTGTGCTGGTGTAGCGTTCCCACAGTTGTGGGCCACAGCTCAGAGCTGGTTCTGGGTGAGAGTCAGAGAGATGTTATTGCCTTCCCTTAAGAAGGGCCTGTAATACTATGACCAGAAGTACATCATGGCCTCCTTGTCACCAGCAAAATGCTGCCCACCTTGTCGGTTGTCATGCTTGTTCAATAAATGTGTAATAAACACCGAATGTTTGTGATTGATTTCCAGAAAGGAAGAAAACCATTTCTCTTGGCGGCTGAGAGAGGCCACGTTGAAATGATAGAGAAACTTGTCTTCCTGAATCTGCGTACTTCAGAAAAGGACAAGGTGAGTTGGACTTTTATTTCTTTGCTGAGAACAAGAGAAAGGGGAGTGACAGTTGGTGTATACATTTGGTGAAGGCATTTTGTCAGGAATAGAGAGGTTAATTGTTACTACAGTCAGAATCACGGAATAGCCAGATGCAATGGATCCACTCTGCAGTGGATTGTCCAGAATGCCAATTTTCACTCCGTAAATATTTGTGAAGTCAATATACTACGTGGATTTTTCCGCTGTCAACTCCAGGCATCTCTTTTCCTCCCCTAAGATCTGCTGGCGACTCAGCCCCACCCGACTGGGGAGGGAAACCCCAGTGGACATCCATATCTATGTGCACATCTTTGACTGTTTTTTTTTTTTAGGAGAAATTCCTAGATGAAGAGTTGTAGGTCAAAGAGTTCTGCACATTTTATTGCAAAAACTACCTCCCAGAAATCCTTCATCAGTTTATCTTCACAAGGTTATCTGGAATTACTTTTATCGTTCCACTTTTTGCTAGCAAATTGGCTGCAAAGGTAGAACCAGGAGCATGGGTGGTTAAAAAAAAATTTTTTTTTACTGGTAGAAATAGCTCTGTCTTTTCATTTAGAACTTTAAAAAACTATAAATTTTGCTTGAAACTGTGGGTCCCATGGCCCACACTCAGAACCGCAGCTTTAACCAAAATGAAACCTCCCAGAAGCCCCATGGCAGCCCTGACCGTCAGAGGGGCGTGTTGCTCTGTGCAGGGGGCTCTACCGTGAGTGTATCTGTTGCAGGAGGGGAACACTGCCCTGCACCTCGCAGCAAAGCATGGTCACAGCCCTGCGGTCCGGGTGCTGCTAACCCAGTGGCAGGAAATAAATGAGACCAATGAGGTACGTGGAGGTGCTCGTGACAGATGGGCACGGGATTCGAAGGTCCCATGCTTCCCTGGACCCGGGCATGAAGAGATGAAAAGCAGGGTCTGATCCTGGCTCCCTCACTCTCTAGCTGGATGATCTTGGGCACGTTACTTAGCTCCTTTCAGCCTCAGTTTCCTCCTCTGTAAAATAGCCTCCTTAGGCTGTAGTGAGGTTTAAATGGAAAGGCCATGTCACACGCTTAGTGTAGGGAATGGTACCTGGTGTGTGGTGAGTGTGCAACAGGTGGTACCTGTTGTTGTCCTTGGTGTTATGTGGGTGCAGTAAGTCGGATCACGGTTCCTGTCGGTGTCAGTGAAATATATTCCTATCATCCTCATTTTCTCTCCAGTTCCTGGGAGAATGTAAGCCAGGCTTTCAGCTGAGAATCAGGGACAAAAACGGAGCCTTCATTTGTTTATTTTTGTGTGTGTGTTCATTCTTTTCTGACCATCTGGCGTAATGTTGATCGTATTTAATTGATTTAACTTACTTCAAGAAGATCCCAGGAGTTTGGTCTTCTTGAATGAAGCTTATGAATGATGTGTGAGAGACTCAGAAAGAACGTGAATCTTGGGCGTGGCCGGGACTTTACAGAGCAACACAGAGATCAAGTCCTGTCGTCACGGGAGTTAACGTAAAGTCTTTGTCGTGCTTGCCCTGCTCTGTGTCACTGCTTCACCACTGGAATCTGAGCTCTTGGAAGTCATCCACCTGTTAGCTATTTTCGAGTCAGGGTGCATTGGGGAGGACACATAACATCCAACAAATGGTAATTGCAGCTTATGAGAGGTTATGTTTGCACACGGTGAAGTGTCCAGTGATAATATTAGGCTTTTGGATACAGCCCATGATGTTCCTACGGTCCTGGGCTGCCTCTGCTTCCTGATGTCAGCTGTTGCCAGACCAGCTGGAGGGACCCATGGGAACACGCTCCAGAGCCCTGGTCTCCACCGTTCTTGGAGGCAAACTCCTATCAGGAAGGGAAGTTTGAGTATGCACCTATGGCATACACATTTGTAACTAAGTTACTGTTACAAAACATATGCCAGAAATAGACATTTAAAAAATTTGAGATAAAAATAAACGTAAATAGCAGTTCTCATATTTCCCCCACACTGGAAGGATTATCTTATATACATCTGATGTATTTTCCTTCCAGTTTTCTGTCTGTTCCTATGCATATATATTTTTAGTGGCTGCTTAAAATTCATTTAGTTTATTATTTAGTTAATTTCAGTTTTTCTTTATTATATGTTATCGTGAACCTCGTATATAAATCTTAGTCTGAGTTCCTCACTATTTCCTTTGGGTTTATTCTTAGAGGTAGGATGGTTAGGGCAAAGATATGGACATTTATTATGCTCTTGATATGTCAAAGATGTGAATTCTTTCCTTCACATTTTTTGCAAATATTTTTACTCCAGGGTTTGCCCAAAAAGCACCTCTTTTCCTGGGAAAGTGAGAAGGTAGATTATGAGGAGACATCCTTTGTAGCAGATGCCTGTCCCAGGCACTCGGGTGAAGCAGCCCGGGCTGCCATGTTTATGTCTCGCTGGGAGGGGAGCATTGGTTTCATGCTCTTGCGTGCCTGTTAACACGATTGTTCGTACCTAATTAGCTGTGACTAGAACCTTCTGAATGTATCCTAATGTAGTTGTTAAGTAGAATAACGTCCAATGGGGGAAATGGTTAGGGAGTGGGGAAGGAATTCTCATGTCTTCCCAATATTTTTAGGAATGACTCTGCATGAGGAGGGGAAATATCCAAGTGGCTGTTGTGTGAGATCAGTTCCTTCTTTTCTCCCCATTTTGACCTAAATGAAACTCACTTTTTCCTACTAGTGTTCATCATAATGAGTTTCAGGAAACTTAATTACTGAGATAGGGTATTACTGTTTTTTAAAATAACATACATCATTTTCAATCAGTTTTAAAGGTGAAAGCACACTTGGTACAAATGTGCTTCTATTTTTGGGTGTTTTAGACTGTGTTATGATTCCTTTTTTCTGTGCTTACCTTTCTTTGCAGGCTGTTACCTTTTTGTGGGCAGGGTCTGTGTTCTATTTGGCTTTCCAGTCCTAATGCCTGAGTGTCTAATAGATGTTTGCTGATAAACCAGTCAAGGTTAAGCATATGAGTGGCGAGGCAGGGTCTGAGAGGAGGAGGCAGAGCAAGGCAGGGGGTCCTAGCTTTGCCACTTTCCAGCTGAGGCTTAGCTTCATTGTCTGCGTGATATTAACCCCAACCTCATAGGGTCATTGTGCAATTTAACTGTGCCAAAGCATACAGTCTTGGAAGTATATGTTGGCACGTAGGTGCTCAATGAATGCCCTCTGTCATTAAGAGTAATGCTCAGAAGATACAGGGAAAGCACACTGTTTCTCAAGTAATTTCGTTCCATGCCAAGAGGCAATTAATTTTAACTTTTTTCCATTTGTTAGAAGGGAGAAACACCATTCTTCCTGGCTGTTGAAGGAGGTCATGAAGAATGCTGCAAAGTGCTGGCGGCAGCAGGAAGTGACATCAACATTCCAAATCAAGTACATGCCATGTTCGCGCACGCGGTGGGCGGGGGACTCAGAGTGTTCTTTGGGTAATCCGGTCCTGCACTGAACCCCTCACGGGGCTTTTGTAGAATTAATACTTATAGTTTGCTTTTTTTGGGTTAGAATTAATGATTTACCTTTGATATTCCCCAATTAGTGTCTCCTCAAAAGCAATGCCATTCTTCCTGTTTGCCTGGGAAGGAGTCATTGAAAATGGGGCAGAGGAACAGACGGTTGTTGCTTCTCAAATGCCCAGACACTCTCCCTCACGTTGGTTTCCGCCCAGCAGCCAGTGCAGGCCGGGCTTACAGAGTAGATGCTGAAGGAAAGGTTGTCGTGTGAAAACCCGAGGGATCAGCCTGGAGCCTGAAGGAGACAGGAAGCTGCCTTCTTCTAAATACAGAACACTCTGCTGCTAAGATGCTCTCACACTTATCTTCATTTTTTTCGATGAGAAAACTAGAATTCCGAAAAGTTAAGGCGCTCACCCAGCGTCCTACAACTAGTCCGTGGCAGTGCAGGGTTCTTGCTGGTGCCCCAGCCTCTCCACGTGGCACTGGGTGTGGCTTTGGAGCAGTTCACTGTCATTTTTTGGTTTTCTAATTAATTTTAAATTATAGTGAAAAAACCAGAAAACTTGAATAGTACCAAAGGGTGTATGATGAAAGTGTCTTTTTCCAACTCTGCATCTCAATTTCACCTCCCCAGACCTCACATGATTAATAGTTTCTTTAATCTTGCAGGAATTTTCCAGGCAGTCACGTGGAAAATGTGACTAAACGACGCACCTGTACATACCCAGCCCACAGAAATGGTGGCTATTTATACATACCCTGCTCTGCACCTGTTGTTGCTTTAACTGCCAGTATGTCTTGGAGATCTCGCCATATCAGCACAGTGTACACAATTCCTCTTCAGAAGAGGAAACACTAGAATCAAGAATAAAATCCCAAATGGGTGATGTTTTCTCCCCTGTGCTCGACTGGCAGGAATGTCCATTTGTATGACCTTTGAAAGCAGTTTGTCACTTTCCTTGCACCCGTGTTAGGAAGTTAAGGGAGTAATCACAGAGGGGGAAAGAGCTGCCTGCAGTAAGACAGATGTTAAAGGCCCCTCCAGCAGGCGAGAATCGGGTACATCCGTAAGTGCAGCGAATGGTCAGGAGGGCTGAGGGCAAGCTCGGTGCACCTGTTGCTTTTGGAAAATTTTGTAGCCATAAAAGAATATTAATGATAAATAGTAAATATATTGCAATATAGAAGACATGCATGATAGAACACTAATTGAAAAAACATGTTTGCACATATGGTTTTGGTGTATAAAATGTATATACCTGGACAAGATTGTGAGAAAGTGGAAAATGAAGATAGTGCGAGGTGATTCCCACCGATGCTGCAGGTTACTTATGCCATAAAGGAAGGCCAAGTTAAGAGCTCCTGGGGCCCAGGAGATGATGTTCAGGCTGTGGAGAGCTGTGCTGTTTTGCAGACCTTGCTCAGGTGCCTCCTGCCCCGAGTCTGCAGCCACCCTCAGTCCCCGGAAAGGCCTCCCTCTTAGCAAGCTCCCCTGGGGCTCTGGCCTTTGGCTCCCTCTCTTGCTCTGTGCCCTCCCTCCCTCCTGTAGGCAGTTGCTGGCCCTCAGAGGGGTCGTGCTGTGTAATGGCTTGCACGTGCTCATGTCTCCCTACCAACTGAGACTGCAGGCCCCGCCTTGTCCACATCCTTACAGCCTCAGCCTCACCTAGGCAGCCTGGAAATTGTCCGAAGTCCGTTTTTCAGCTTTTATGTCATCTTGAGTCTTCCCCCTGCATTCATTAGCACGCTCCCTGGATCAACAGCCTCAGCCCCCACTGGCTGTCCACACCTGTCTCCACCCAGCCCAGCCAAGACCCCGGGGAAACGGTGAAGCATGAAGCCAGCAGTGCAGATGCACATTGCCGCAGGGATGCCTCAGACTCATTTTGCTTTCACATCTGCAGACGATTACTCTGACCTTGGCAGGCTTCACCTGTGACATTGCTTAGTCTTGGTCTCCAGGAGATTGCTTTCATGTCCTCTCCCGCAAGGGGAGGGCGTGAAGGGTCCAGTCCTTTCTGCGGAGGGCATGGGAGTGAGATGATGGATTTCGTGGGGGCGCGGCTTCCTTGTCTGTGCTGCGTGGCTGGCTGCCGAGTCTGGGTGCCCGGCTCTCCTCAGGGCCCTCCTCACTGCCGGGGCCGGGGGACACTTTTCTGGACCCTGAGAACTCATTTCTGGGGGCCCCACCCTCACGTCTAATCAGACATATTTAAATGCTCCCACATTCCACATTAAATACATTTTTTCCATGCTATAAATTATTTTTAAAGACTTTTTAATTTGTGCTTGTACAATTATTTGGATATGATAAATTCCCCTAATTTATGATTGACTCTGATTTCTTAGAACTCTGAATACTCGGGAATTTAAGGCAGGTGAAAAAATTTAACCTACCAATGGTTTACAAATGTAGTGAATATTTTCTGAATATTACGTTTAACAATCAATGAAGTATGAATACGTCCATTAAATATTTATTCACTTTCAATTTGGGATTTTCTTTTGGGGTCTTGGAACCAATTTTATTTTTAAGATTTCAAATACTTCTTTGGCTCTTAAAAAGTCTGTAGGCCCGACACACTGTGCCCATGGTTCTCATGGGTAAAATGCCACGGACTCCCAAAGCCCTTCCTACTATAGGGTTCCTGGCTTCGAGTTCTTCACGGCTTGTTTCCACTTCAGATCTTCCCCTTGGGGGCACTTCTTACCATTCTGATCTCGGTCTAAATGTCACCCTATCTGAGAAGCCTTTCTTGCTCACTTGCTAGGAAGTGGCCAGCCGGTCATGTTCTTTTACTTCTCATTGTAGCGCTTATCACTATCTGGTGTTATTCTAATAGCATCTAGAATCTAATAAATAGATTTATCCTAAGTCTACTGATTTACCAATCTGCCAGTCTACCAATCAATAGATCCCATGATTGTCCACCTCCACTGGTCTGTCATATCAGAGATCTTGTCAGCCTAGTCCTGTCCCCCATTATCTAACATAGTGCCTGGCACATGAGTGCTCAATAATTTTTGTGTGGAATGAATAAGATGACACTTACAATGACAGTACACATTTACTAACCCATTTATTCTCCCAGTATTGCTGTGGTTTGAGAGAAAGAGGTAGGATGGTGTGGTAGGCAGAGTAATGGCCCCCAAAGATGTCCACATGCTAACCCTTGGAGCCTGTGAATACGTCCTGTTACAGGGCAAAGGGGAATGGAGGTTGCTCATCATCTGACCATAAAACGAGGCTATCCCGGATTTTCCGGGAAAGCCTGATGCCATCACAAGGGGCCTTTAAAGCAGAAGAGGGAGGCAGGCGAGCAGGTCAGAGGGATGGCGTGTGAGGACTCGGTGCACCATTGCTGGCTTGGAAGATGGAGGAAGGGGCTGTGTGAGCCAGGGGATGTGGGCGGCATCTACAAGCTGGAAAAGGCAAAGAAAGGGATTCTCCTGAAGGCTCCAGACAGGCCTTTATTTTAGCCCAACAAGACCCATTTCAGACTTCTCCAGCATTGTCAGATAATATGTTTGTATTGTTTAAGCCACTAAGTTTGTGGCAGTTTGTTATTAGCAGCAATAGAAAACGAATGCAGGTGGTTGTGTCGTTTTCAGAGGAAGACAGTCAGGCCCGTGCTTGAGGGGCCCTCATCTGAGGTCACATAGGCATTTCTTACCAGCCCAAGCCAGATCCGGTCAGTCAGAGTGTGTATCCTTCCTGTTCGCATCTGTCCCACTTATCTATTGCTTCATAACACACCAACCCGAAGCACAGGGCCTTAAAACCACATGTCATTGCCTTTCGTGGCTCTGAGGGTTGACTGGACTCTGGTGGGAGCTTCTTACTTTGGGTCTGTTATGTGGCTGCAGCCAGATGTCGGCCAGGACTTCAGTCATTTGATGGCTTAGCTGAGGCGGACATCCACAATGGCCTACTCACGTGCCTGGCAGGTGAGGCCAGCTGTCAGCTCTTGACCAGAGCATCAACCTGTGGTGTTTCCGTGTGCCTTGGCCTTCACACAGCATGGCAGCTGGCTTCCATGAGGTAGGGAGCAGAAGCTGCTAGGCCAGTTAGTGGCCACACCTGGAACCGGCACACTGTCACTTTTGCCACATTCTCTTGACCAAAGCAGTTACAGGGTCCGCTCAGATTCAAGGGAGTGAAGCAATAAACCCCACTGCCTGATGGGGGAGTGGCAGGGTCATCTTACAGAAGAACATGTGGCGTGGCAGATACTTATGTAGCCATTTTAGGAAAACATAATATCCCACAGCATCCCTGTTTGGAGGATCTGAAAATACTTTGTAGCAATCTTACAATTAATCAATCTGTAACTATTCATCAACCTTGTATTATTGCAAGGCACCGTGCTGGGCCTTTTGGAGGATGGCGGGATGGTCAAGAGCAGGCCCTGATGGAAAGCAGTTTGCCATCTAGTATGGACACTAAGTGAGGACCCTTGAGCACAGGAGGCGGAGGAGGCAGCTGGTACAGACGCAAGGGGAGGTGCTAAAGGAGTTGAGGGAAGGACCGTGAGGGAGCACTGCAGGCAGGCAGCATCGCTAAGCCTTGAAGCCCAGCCTGCAAAGGGGAGAGCTGCGTCAGGAGGCATTTCTTGGGGCCCATACCAAGCCAGCTATTTTGGTGCAAGGAGGGGCTTTGCAGGGTGTATAGGGAGAAGACAGCCCTAGTCCACTCTGTCCTTCCAGAGAAGGGAAATGGGAATTTATCTCATATTTGCCTGGGGCTTGTGTTACTTAGGACTCTGCCTCTTTTATGGGAGACAGAATAAGAAAAAGCCTCCCAAAATTTTGGAAACACGTTGGATTTTCTTTTTTAAATAGTCATCTGTTTCATTGTGTTGATTGGTTACCCTGTGATGAACACCAGAAAGTATGCCGGATTCTAATGGGGATCTCCCCTGCCCTTTCCACCTGTCTCTTGCAGCTCAACATCACTGCCTTGCAGACAGCAACGCGGAAGGGCCACGCCTCCCTTGTCAGCTTTCTTCTCAGTGAGCATGTTGATCTGCACCCTAAGGTGGAAGTGAGTCTGTTCCCAACACAGGGGCTCTGATCCAGCTCTGGAGGCTGGCTGGGTGGGAGATGCTCCTGGCAGATAGGCAGACATGGGCGGGGATGAGGTGTTCACAAAGGAGGAATTTTCTCGGGGAAGGCTGACGGACTTCTGTTGGAGACTGTCTTAATCTTGAGAAATAAAATCCGAGGGATGAATTTTAGAAAGTCATTGAAGTTCCTGAACAGAATGAAATCTTTGTGTTTTAAATATTGATATTTGCTGCGTGAAAACTTTCTCAAGGGTCTAGAGATGCCATTATTCTTTCATTAAATTTATCCGTCTGGGAAAATGATGAAGCTGCTGTCAGTGGGAAGGAGATGGATAATTTTTTCCCTCTTCACTGAGCGATCTTGTTTTTCTTTTGAAAGTCAGTCCTTTATGCTGATTTAGGCTTTCTGAAGTTTGAACTGGCTTTGGTAGAATTAACAAAGGCCCTCTGTGCTGGAGTTAGATGGGAAACATTCCTGTGTTTTCCACTCTGTTTTCGTTTCTCCTGTGAGAATATTTCCTCTGGTCTTGCTTACCCATTACTATTCATTGTATTAACTCAAGAGAAGGGATGTGTTTTGAACCAGGGCTGGTAGTTTTTGGAGAAGGGCCTTGGGGAACTTGGCTCTGAACTTGCCTGGTTCGTCCAAGGGTGCTTCCTGTTTCTCAGGAGGGGCTGGGCCCCAGCACGGCCGGTGGTCCCCGCAGGAAGGACACTGCCCACTTCCCCGGAACATGGGCTGCTTTGTCTTTTTTTGTGCTTAGTGCCTCAAGAGAGAAAGTTCTTCCTGAGCAGAAGAGGCTGCACAGAAGTCCTTCCCTTCCCGCTGCCCCTCCAGCCCTGCCTGCCTCTGCCTCCCTGGCTCGGCCTCCGACCGTCCTGCTCACCCAGCCACGTGTCCTCCTTCTCCTCCTCTCTTCCTCTGTGTGCTGGGGACACCCTGGCCAACTCGCTACATCTCTTCCATCCATCTACCTCTGTCTCCTGGGAAGGAGCCTGGTGCCGACGTTGGAGCCAGGAAGATCTGGGTTCATATCCTGTCTCTGCTGCTTCCTAGCTCTGATGCCTTGTGGAAGTTAGTTAATCTCTCTGTGTCATATATAAAGTGGGGAATCGAAGACCTGACTGCTGGGGTTAGTGTGAATGAAGCACTGTTAGCCTAGTGCTTAAATCAGAGTGTACGCTATGGGGAGGGACCGAGGAGTGAATACTGCCATAAGAATACGTGGGATGTGCATCACTGCTGCTTATTAATGTCATCCATCCACTGGAGCACCCGGTACCCTGTCCTCGTCACCCACTCTGACATCATCCATCCACTGGAGCACCCGGTACCCTGTCCTTGTCACCCACTCTGACATCATCCATCCACTGGAGCACCCTGTACCCTGTCCTCATCACCCACTCTGACATCATCCATCCACTGGAGCACCCTGTACCCTGCCTCATCACCCACTCTGACATCATCCATCCCAAGGGAGCACTGCTGCAACCTATCCTCGTCACCCACTCTGACATCATCCATCCACTGGAGCACCCTGTACCCCGTCCTCATCATCCACTCTAATGTCATCCATCCCACTGGAGCACCCTGTACTCTGTCCTCGTCACCCACTCTGATATCATCCATCCCACTGGAGCACCCTGTACCCCATCCTCGTCACCCACTCTGACATCATCCATCCACTGATGCACCCCAGTACCCCATCCTCGTCACCCACTCGGATATCATCCATCCCACTGGAGCACCTTGTACCCTGTCCTTGTCACCCACTCTGATGTCATCCATCCCACTGAAGCATGGCTGTACCCTGTCCTTGTCACCCACTCTGACATCATCCATCCACTGGAGCACGGCTGCCCCCCGTCCTCGTCATCCACTCTGACGTCATCCATCCACTGGAGCATGGCTGCCCCCTGTCCTCGTCACCCACTCTGATGTCATCCATCCACTGGAGCATGGCTGTACCCTGTCCTTGTCACCCACTCTGATGTCATACATCCACTGGAGCACGGCTGCCGCCCGTCCTCGTCACCCACTCTGACATCACCATCCACTGGAGCACAGCTGCCCCCCGTCCTCATCACCTGCCCTCCCTCACATCTGCCTTCCTTCTCCCCACTCACTTTGCTCTCTGCTCCCCACTGTTCGCATGTCGCACTGGTCTCCACCCTTGCTCTTTCACACCTGTGCCTCTCCCCATCTCCTCCCCACCGGATGCCCCTTATCTCCCTCTCTCTCCTGCCTTGACTGGGTTCTCCCCTCCTTCTTTTCCCTCTCAGCTGCCTTCTCTACCCGTGGAGACATGTCTTCCCTCGTGCTCCATGGGCCAGCGGCAGCGGGTGGGAGTGGGGCAGCAGGAGGCTGTGTGTGATCGTGGGCCCTGCAGCCTGGCAGGGCTGGGCAGGAAGCCCACGCTGGAGGTGGGCGAGAGTGTGGGCTGTGGCTGGAAGACAGATGTTCTCGCCTCAGACAAGGAGGAAAGCGGGGCAGGCTGCAAGGCCTTGGTGAATGAGTACTCTGTAGCTGGGCTCTGTGGGTGGGAGGGCGAGCTCGAGCATGGTGCCCCTGGGGAGTGGGGCATCAATCCCACAATGTGCTCTACAGAGAAAGAGCTCTGGGGTATGTCAGTTCAGGACATGCTGAATGTGAATGCTTTTTCCTTCTTGTAGCTATTCCCACTGCATGTCAACTCTTTGAAGGCTCTGAGAAGTCCTGCAATTAAGAGTTTTGAATATTTTCTTATCCTTCCTATTTGAGCTCAAATGTCAATTCTTCAGGACAGCCCTTTCTGGCCTCCACGAAGGTCAACCCTCTGCCCACCCCAATGTGTGCTCTCATACCACTCTCTACTTTTCCTCCAAAGCGCTTGTCACAATTTGTAATTCTATATTTATTTTGTCATTGAAAAAAAATGATATTTGCCTACCCCTCTAAACTGGAGGATTCCTGGGGATGGGCCATGTTCACTGCTGAATCCCCAGCATCCTGAAAAGAGCCTGGCCCATCGTAGGTGCTCATGCATGGTTCTAGGATGGATGACTGCTGGGGAGCAGGTAGCTGCCCAGCCTTGGGATGGAGTGATTGCCAAGCACTGCTCTGGGCCTGCGCCTGCCAGGCAGTCTCGGTCCTTGGTAAATTATCAGGAAACATCTGCTGAAATGAGTTGCTTTTTGATCTGAATGATGAAGCCAGAATCTTCTGGATTTGAAATTGTCATTTCTCTCTGCAGCCTAAGGAGTCCCCTCTTCACTTGGCGGTTCTCAACAACCACGTCACAGTGGTGAACAGCTTACTAAGCGCGAGGCATGACACGGACGCCTTAGATCAGGTACGCCAGGCGAGTCAGAGCGCGGAGGCGCCGTTGTCTTCTGTTTCAGCTCAGTGCGGGTTTAGGGTTGTTTTGGTCCAGTTCAAGCTGCCCTAAAATTTCCTGGGAGGAATATGCACATTCTTTTTCATCCTTTTTCTTCTGTAACCCCACTCCCACTTGCACACGCATACTTTGTCGTTTTCAAGCAGGCAGCTGGAGTTCAGCCAGTGCGTTATTAAACTGTTCACATTTAACAGGCCCTGCACTTCTGATGGATAAACAGTAGCTCAGAGGTAAATTGCCAGAGGCTCTTTAAATCAAAGGCGACTTCCGCATGTGAAATCTTGTTATTGGCCAGGAGCCCTTCGCCATAAGAAGGAAGCTTTGTTTCTATATGAGAGACAGCAGATGTGTCTTCCTTTTGCACAAAGGCAAAAAGAGACCTCTTGGAATAAATATATCACCATGAATCAATCCACTGGAGCAGAATCAAATGCCCCATAAGAGGAATCCATCACTGGCTGGACACTGAAATGCTGAGGTGGAAAACTAAAGAGGATGGGGAGGGCGCTGTCTTAAGGGGCCTGCTGCCCGGGCTGGGCTGAGCCGCCCTCTTCCAGGAGCTGTCGGGAGTGGGAAGAGAAACTCTTGTGAGAGGAGCCTACTTTCAGAGTCCTGAGGATGATGAGACCCCTGGACTCCTCCCAGGAAGGAGAGTGTCTCCTTCCCAGGAGCCTCAGGTGTGCCCCCAGGTGAGAGAGTGCAGTGGGCGTGCCTGTGCTAACCCAGTGGGTAGCCCGCAGTTTCCGTGGTGAGCCCAGCACACTGACCCGGCCCCCTGCTATCTCCTCCAGCTCCAGCCCGTGAGCTCATTTGTGCCCCGGGCTGAGTGGAGACTTGTCCCACTTCTGACACGTCCTTCCCCCAGGACCCTCCTCCTCCCCGTCTTCTACTATCCCAGAAGTTTGGGGGAAGACCCCTCTCGTTATTAAATATACTTACATGTTCAACTGTTAATGCCCCAGATCTGTCCTAATGGGCAGAATCTTTGCTCCATGCGATTTTGGTTTCACCAGAATTGGCGATCCATTCCACAGAAGGAGGGTTTGTTAGGATGCCGTCTGGTTATAGGACTAGACTTTATCATTTCCACTGTTTGTTGGACCAGGAATGTACAAAAAATAAGAAAACATAAATAACCTAAACACTTCCCATTTGTTTGTGAGCTCCCCAGAGAAAGATAACTCTTATTAATATTCTGGTGCGTTGCCTGCCTTCTAGACTTATAGCGGCGTTGTCAGGACGAGATTTTGTTGGTATCTGATGAATTACACTTGTGTCTGTTCTGTGTCAGTGTAGACCTTTGATAGGTTTGTTGCGTAAGTGCGACGTCTTGGATGATGAGCCCCCAGAGGGGCACATTGTCACCCAAACCGGAGTCTTTAATAACTTTTGGATATTAATTCTGCTAATACTCCAAGCGGGTTGGCCCTATGCTCGGGCAGGAAGAGCACTGGGCCAGATGCTATTGCCCAGCTGTGTGGCCCTGGGGAAGTTGCTTGCTCTCTCTGGTTTAGGGGTTGGGCTATATCATAACCGACGTTCCTTTCTGTCCTAATATTTTAGAAATGTCTTCACATCAGCATTCCTTTAGGTGGGGGTTTAAGATGGGTGATTGTCTTGTGTTTTTATGCTGCTTTGGAAACACTCTCATCCTCTTGATACGAAAATGATTATTCCAGAAAGAAATTAGAAGTCTTCCACTCTTTTATACTTTATAATGTAGGAAATTTACAAAATAGAGAAAAGAATCAAGAGGCAATAAAAATAACCTCTAATCCCTCGCTCAAGACATTATCATTCTTTACGTCATGATGTATTTCCTTCTCTTTCTATATAAATATTTATGTATAAATTGAGCTCAGCTACATATAGTGTTGTTTCCTCAGGTTTTTAATGTTATATCATAAGCATTTTTTTGTTTTTAAAAATAATCCTTGAAATAATTTCTTATTGTGGTAAAATACATCTAACATAAAATTTACCATTTTATCCATTTTTTTTTTCTTCTTCTCCCCAAAGCCCCCGGTACACAGCTGTATATTCTAGTTGTGAGTGCCTCTGGTTGTGCTATGTGGGACACCACCTTAGCATGGCCTGATGAGCAGTGCCATGTCCATGCCTGGGATCCGAACTGGCGAAACCCCAGGCTGCCGAAGCTGAGTGCGCGAACTTAACCGCTGGGCCATGGGGCCGGCCCTATTTTATCCATTTTTAAGTGTACAGTTCAGTGGCATTAAATACCTTCAAATTGTTGAGCACCCAACACCACCATCCTCTCCAGGACTCTTGCATCTTCCCGAGCTGAGACTGCAGACTCATTAGACAATAGCTCCCTGTTCCCTCCTCCGGCCCCTGGCAGCCACCCTTCCAGTCCGGGTGAGCTTGACTAGGTACCTCAAACTGAAATCTTTTTTAAAAAATCATTTTTAATGCTTGCCTACTGATTCCATGTGTGCATATACCACAGTTTATCTGCGTCTCCTTGTTAAACATGTAGCTCCCTTTCACTTTTTCACAGTTATGAACAACACTGCAGTGAACATCCCCTGAACCTGTGCAAAAGTACGTGATCTTCTCTGTTGTCCCTTGTGCCATATTGGACACCCCAACTTTCCCTTTGCCTTTTTTCTGTGCAAGCTTTTTTCCCTCCTTCACGTTCTTGGCTTACGTTTTTGAAATTTCTCTCGACAGAGGCGGCAGACTCCTTTGCACGTGGCGGCTGACCTTGGGCATGTGGAGCTGGTGGAAGCCCTGCTGCAGGCCAGCTGCGACCTGAAGGCCATTGATAAGGTACTTCCACGGCCTCGTGCTGGCCAGCTGGCGTGGTGGCCGCGCCCTCCCTGTCGGCTGTGAGCCTTGTGGGAAATGCACGCAAACTGGAGAAACCTCCCTCCGCAGTCAGGAAACATCCCGACTTTGATTGAGAGATGTCGGTAGGAATTCTCTCTGAATAATAAAATAATGTGTTTTAAAAATTCAAACTATTCATTAAATTTTTGAAAAGATTATGGATTCCCATGGTCCAAAAATAAAAACATATAATTAGTAAAGGTTTTATAGCAATAATTTCCCATGCACCCTTGTCCCTGTTTGTCTGGTTCCCACAGTACCCTTCTATATGTATCCATTATTAGAAATTTCTTCTTTCTAGAGTTTCTTTATGCATATGCAAGCAAGCGTAAATATATGACGCTCTTATTCCATTCCTCTGTCCTTTTATACAATGGTGGCGTACCTATACACATTGTCCTATGCTTAGCGTTTTTCGCTTTCCAATAGAAAGTGGACATGGTTCCATGTTAGTCCATGGAGAGGTTCTCCATTCTTTTTATCCAGCTGCATAAAAGACTGTGGTATGGACATGTCATAATATGCTTAGCCCTCAACTGATGGGCATATAAGTTGCCCTGAGCTTTTGCTATTATAGACAGAGCTGCGGTGAAGAAACTTACACGTGTCGAAACTTGTTTTTTAAGTTTATTTAAAAATTTTTAATTGCAAAATACACATAATATAAGCTGTACCGCCTTAACCATTTTTAAGCATGCTGTTCAGCAGTGTTAAGCATTCACGTTGTTAGGCAACCAGTCTCCAGAGCTTTCTCATCTCACAAAACTGAAACTCTAAACAACAACTACTCATTTCCTCCTCCCCCAGCCCCTGGCAACCACCATTCTACTTTCTGTCTCTGTGAATCGGACGGCTCTGGGGACCTCATGTAAGTGGAGTCATACGTAGTTGTCCTTTTGTGCCTGGCTCATTTCACTGAGCATAATGTCCTCAAGGTTCATCCACGTTGTGGCATGTTGGGATTTCCTTCCTTTTCAAGGCTGAGAGGTATTCCATTGTATGTATACGCCACATTGGGGACGGACACTTGGGGTGCTTCCACCTTTTGGCTGCTGTGTAGACTTGTCTTTAAGGAAATACAGCTTTGTTTCTTTCAAGCGATGCAGTGATGCAGGCTCAGCTTTGAGGGCTGTGGGACGGCGTCGTTAGGGTCCCGCTTTCCCGAGAGGAGTGAAAGCAGGATGCGGCTGTGCGCAGCCCTCTTAGGGCTCACACACTGTCTTATTTCAGTCCTCATGTCTCCTCTCCGAAGTGGACAAAATTATCCCAGTTTTCAAGAGAAGATTTGAAAGATTTGATGACATCACGGTCACACACCAGTAAGAGGTACAGCCTGGCTTCAAAGCCAAGGCCACTGGCTGCTTGGTTGTCCAGCACTTTCCTACAGTGGTCGGCGGAGGTGACTGCTTCCAGAGCTGGCAGTTTTTCCCTTCCTCGTCTTCACCCACACCATCCATCCGCTGGGCATGTCCCCTATTCCCAGCGCAAGCCTCCTCTGTTTCAGAGTCACACGCGTTAACGTTTGTGGGATCTGAAGTGTGATACATTATTTTAGTTTTCTCTGTGTGTCAGTTTTTTAAGTAACTTTTTGAAAAATGATGATAAAGCTAATACAAGCCCACTGTGGACAATTTGGAAAACTTAGAAAAGCGTAAGGAAAGAAAACACCCCGGCTCATCATTCCATCACTCAGCTGGAATCCCACCGCTTCCAGCGGTCATGGCTCGTTAACGCCCCTGAACATTTAGCGTTAGCATTTTCCCATGGTTTCTTTTTGTACTTTACTCTACTTTTTCATTAACAACACCTCCAGGGCAGTCTTGTGGGTAGAGAATCCATATCATTGAGCAGGGATTCATACTGGGCCCCTCGATGCTAGTGGATGGATATTCCAGTAAACACTGTCAACGCTACAACTTGACTGTTTTCGAAACAAAACCCCACAGTTTACTGGGCCTCACCATTTGGTTTTCCAGGATTTCCCGTCTTCCTCTCCCTCTTTCTTCTCCGGGTCTGGCACATAGTTGGCATGCAGTACATACTTAATTAATGCATAAAAACTACCTTTTCTACCCACTCCTACAATTTTTACCAAAGGTAAGTGACTCTCTCTAAGACTGAATTAAGATCTGGATGGGGAAAAAGAGTCAAGGTTTGGTGTAAATTTGACTTTCCCAGAAACCTGCCCTCTGAGCCGGAGGCATGGCCCCCAGGTGCCCTTCCCGAGGGCCGCCCACCCGCAGGCGGGAGTATTTGGGTCTTCACGCAGCGCACGCTCTTCGCAAGGTTTTCCTATGAGCTCGAAAACTCAGGCTCTCAGAATGCTGTCTTCCCAAAATAGGCTGATTATGGTGATTCAAACGGCTTTACCAGCCGGAATTTAGAGAGCATACAATTAAAGGCTTGCTAAATGCCTGCAAAATGAAGTTCTTCCTAATTTCATTACTGTCTCTTTTGATTAGAAGTTGACTCCTTTCAGCCCTAATTTTCAGACCCACCTGGGTCTCAGCTCCTGGCCTGACAGCCAGATCATTCAGGTTGGTGCAAGTTGCACTTGTTGGAGATACTCAGCCACGGGAGAGAATTACTGGGATAATTTCTGGATCCCTAAGCATAGGAACATGGGTTCCTAAGATTGGAATTTCTGACCATTCATTTTCGTTATCTTTAAGATCCCTGAGCAAATTCTTCATGGGTCATTTTTGAAAGAAATGAGAACCATGATCTCTTGCTCAGCAAGAAATGTCTAGATTGTGCGCTGCATAAAATCTAGGGGATGCTGCTTGCAAGGCTGTGTGTCCTGGCTTTGAGCACTGTCTGTCTTGAGAAAGGCACACCTTTTTGAAATTTGTATAAGGTACCATCTGGGCTCCAGGCAGCTCATGCCCAAAATGATGTCCAGAACAACTGTTGTTGCTCATTCCATTTGGTTAAGATTTCAACCCCTCACCCTTGGGTAGAGGCAGTGTCATATAAGAGGAAAAAATCCTAGATAGGAGTCCAGTGAGCTGAATTCTGTGCTATGAATTAGTAGTGTTGTCATGATTGATATTATTCTTAGTAAGTTCTAGCCCTTTTCTGTCTTGTTACTCTACCCTCCTTGACACATGGCTTCCACTTCCTGGTTCAAGCTCCCGCCGTCATGCCCCACTCCACTCAGGAGGAGAAGGGAAGGAAGGAGGACATTCCTTCTCTCTGTAGAGATACTTCCCAGAACTTGCATGTGCCGCCTCCATTTACATACATTGGCCAGACTTAGGTCACATACCTAAGTGCGAGGGAGGCTGGGAAATGTTCGGGTGGTCAAGTGCCCAGCTGAAATCAGAAGGTCTCTTCCTAAAGGAGAGAGGAAGAAAAGGCTGTTGGTGGTGTGGGGGTGGGGGACACTGACTGAAGCCTCTGCCACAGGTGGAGTCAGCCTTTAGAGGAGGAAAATGTATGATCGTGTTGTTTATCTGCGGAGCACTCCCAGGGCAGTGAGCCCGGCAGGCCCTGGGGGTCTTGGAGGAAAGTTTGGGTTCTCATTGGTAGAGCGTGTGTGAACATCTCCTGTTGATGGTGGGTCCTTTGCCCCTGCCCAGTTGACACGGCACCTGACACTGTCGGTATCTAGCATCGTGGACAGTTACCATGGGCCCTGCAGAGTCCTAGGGCTTCATGTACCTCCTCACATTTACCCCTTTCCGCTGCACTGTGGGGTAGTCATTGAGACCCAGAGAAGCTAAGGACTGGCCCAAGGTCACCCTGCAAGGAAGCAGCAGGATCACGATTGGAGCCCAGACCCCTGTTCCAAAGCTAGAGTGCCTAACCATACCATCTGACACTTTCATTTGTAACTTTTAGCAAGGGAAGACGGCCCTGGCCGTGGCCTCCAGGAGCAACCACAGCCTTGTCGTGGACATGCTCATTAAAGCGGAGAGATATTACGCCTGGAGAGAGGTAAGCAAGGACGATTCCGGCTCGGCAGGACCTCTTCCACACCCTTGTCTTCTTAGAGGGCAGCGCGGGGCTGTGTAAGTCTTTCTAGCTGTCCCTCTGGCCTGGCTGCCCCGTTCCTGGGATGAACAGCTGCCTCTCCTCCTCCTCTTCCTTTGCCTTGTCAGCAGTAGGACTGAAGTGTGGAGAGCTCACCTGAGCCAAGCAGCCCAGGCCACGTTGGCTCTAATGGGCCTCACGTGCGTGCCCTGGATGGCTGGCTCCTGGCTGTGACCTATCATGGAGTCTTGGCCATGGTCCCTTCTGGAAGTTCCCAGACCCACATTCTAATGAGTGGTAGGGAAGTTCCTATTTCTGGGTCTGCAGTTTTCAACACACCCCTACGCGCCCTCTCCAGCACTCAGGTGTTCTGTGAGAGTCACGAAAACCTTATTTATCTTGAGAACACAAACAGCTTCTCTCCAAGACATTCTTTCTGCCTTCTTTCATTATTCCTTCATCTGACGGCTGCCACCCTGCAGCTTCTCAGGAGACCGCCCTTCGCTGAATCCCACAGATTCGGGTCTGTGCCCTTGGGCAGGGATTTCACTACCAGCCTCACTCTCCACCTCTCGTGTGTGGTGTTGCCATCCTAGGCTCAATGGCCAGAATTTGAGTCCTGATCCCTCTAGCCTATCCCTGGGGAGCCTCCAGCCTGGATTGCTGTCCAATTTGCCAATCCGTGGACGTTTCCCTTGAATCCTGAAGGCAAAAGGCTCCGATTTGCCTCCTTGCTCACAATCCTGTTCAACTGGCCCAGTGCTCCTGCTATACATGGGTCATTTTAAAAGCCACACCATCCTCCTCAAACTTCTCTTATTTGCCTGTGAAACAAAGAAGACAACATTTCTGTGACAATTAGACTTCTCTGTTTAATCTCTCTCCCTCCTCCTCTGATTTCTGCTGGTCCTTCTCCTGTTTCTCTTCCTCTTTGTCTTAGCCTCATTCTCATTTTCTTAGATCATCACTGTATTTTATTGATGATAACTTTCCCAAGTTCCACCTTTTCTTTTGTTCTTTAAATTGTTCTTTTTACATTTTCTTTAAAAATAGAAATATTCATTGGTTCTTATTTTTAATCCCTATTAGCATTTTTAGGTTCTCTTCCCTAGGTGAGAATAAATTACTTTTCCACCAAATGAGTAAGCCTCTTTCCTAACAAATCCTTAAGATGTGAGAGTTAGATGAACTTTGAAAATCATATATCATACCTAAATATAGCTGGAGTAGACCCCAGAAATGGTACGAGTTGTTAACCCTGGTGTCAACTGGGAACCTGGGGTCTGGTGTGGGAGGAATACTTGTTTTTTTAACATATATCCTTAAAAATTTGTTTTTTTACCAAATGCATTTGTTATAATTTCTTATTTAAAATTCTCTGTTATTAAGTTTATTCTAAGTTATTATCCTGACCTAATATAAAATAGTTCCTAATAAAAAGATTAAAGAGTGATTGAAATTTCCTCTCTTCTATCTATTTACCCATCTGCCTAACTACCCAGTCATCCATCATTAAATTCAATGGTTCGGAGGCAAATGAGAGCTTCCTAAAATCAGGCTTATGCTATTTTAATTTTCACCGGTTCTGGTTCCTGTTACTCCTGCAAATAGTTCAGTGCTTTGGCAGACGAGCTATTCACGCTCCACTGACTGTTGAAAAAGACCTGGGCTTTCGGAATCCCTGGCCCATTCCTCTGGAAGCCTGAAGCACCACCCAGCCCAACCCCGCAATGCACAAAGCGTGCAAATTTCTCAAAGAAATAAACATGTTGTAGAGCCCTGGTGACTGCAGGGGCTCTTCGCACTCTTCCCTTTGCCTCGTGGTATCGGGGTTTGGATCTTGTTGGATTCATCATTGTTTCGGGCGATAGAATGAGGGGGAAAGGAAAAAGTGAAATGCACATGGCTCCCAAATTTATTGGGTCCCCCACCCTCCACCTTACCCCTTTTGGGATTCCCTAGGAGCTAGGCCCTGTGGGAGGAAAGCTGAGGCTGGAGTGAAGACTCTGCATTGTACAGTCTCTGAAGGGATTATGGGTAATTCACACCTCCCCGTCCTATCCCAGTTCTGACCACAAAGTCCAGATACTAGAGAAAGGCCTGCCCTTCTCCTTGTCCCAGCTCCCCAGGAGTTTGTAGACCTGCCCAGAGGAGATTGCTGATGCTGTGAAGGGTTCAGGCTGACCCATGATGGAGGCTGAGGGGCAAGGCCCACCGTGTCCTCATAGGTTTTGAAAACCAGGTCCCCATACACTTTTTAGTCCACTTCCTGCCCCAGCATTGACTCTCGTCTTGCTGTTCAGAGTATCTTTCATTAAGATTCACTTTTATTGAAATGAAAGACAAAAACAGAAGTCACTCTGGAAGAAGGGAGAGAACTGACGGGAAGTCCCTAACCTGGTGGGCTGTGCGTCTGCATGTCCTCAGCTGGTTTGCAGCCTCCTGGAGGAGGACAGTCTGCAGCCCTGACGGCATGCGTGTGGCAGGTGCAGCTCTAGGAAATTGGGACGTCTGCTTCCACTTGGAGGTTTTCTCCAGTTTTCTTGGTTGGATTCTGCAGGACTCTGGTGGGTTCTGCAGAAGGGACAAAAGGCATCTTTGAAAAATCTAAACACAAGATATCAATCCAGGCACGGTGCTGTTGGGGTAGGCCCAGCTGCAGTGGCTTAAAACAACATGATATGGACTCCTGTCCTCCCTGGGCCCCCACAGTTAGGCTCATACTTTACACCCCTCGCACTTGCCAAAGAGCAGGATGAAGGGAGGGACCAGCTGTGGAGTCTTACTGAGAGTAACTCAGTCTGAGCCCCACTGAAAGCTCACTATGAGAACATCGCACACCCGGAAGAAGGGGATGTGGGTTGAGAGTCAGACTGTTAAAGACATTTGCTGTTGTGACGTTTCCTTAGCCAAGGCGGCCCCTGTTTCTTTTGGGGTGGGGAGCTGTCGGTCAGCAGGCTGCGATAGAAGCCTGGGGCACAGCTGGGCAAAACCCCTCCTATTGCCTGAGTCAGACCAACAGTGCTCAAGCTTTTTATCTCAGACATTTGTCTCCATCTTGAATGACAAAAAATGACCCAGTGACAGGTGACCTTAAAACATAGTCTTGGTTGCCTCCTTGCCAGTTATATCTGGAAAAAAAATATTTTTATATTTATTTTTTATAATTTATATTTATATAAATATATATAAAATATATTTATAATTTATATTTAAATATAAATATATACACTCTGAAATAAGGCAATAAGCAGAAAATGCCTGAAATCATCTGCTACACTTCCTTTCGATTTAGGAGCATGGCGAGAGCAGCCGGGACCCATCCGTCAGCTTTCCTCTGACCTTCAAGCAAGATCACAGTGTGGAGACCAGGCACATTCGCAGGCTCCTCTGGAACCTGGCTTACCGTCAGCTGAAGGCCGGCGAGTGGCAGAGGCTGGCCCGTTCGTGGAACTTTACGGATGAGCAGATCAGAGCCATCGAGGAGCAGTGGTCAGGTGAGCGCTGCCTGGGTGACGTGGGCAGGCGGCGTCAGCGTTAGGAGCAGCCGCCTTCCTGGTGGCAGGCAGGTCTTCCAAGTAAGTGCCCTGCGCTCACGATGAGCATCAGCCCTCAAGGGCCCAGGAAGGGGACACTTAGCTTAGGGTCGCAAATGTGACTGGAGACTTTGCGGATGGCGAATACTCACGAGAAGCTGCAGTAACTGAAGTTTGCAAATGATGATTGCTTTCATGGAGCCATATTGAAAAGTGGCCTTTAGCCTGGAAGGAAATTCAGGTTCCCAACTGAATGGGCACCAAGGAAGCAAGGATTTCACAGTTGGCTTGTCACTGAGAAGCCAACCTGATTTCTGGTGTTCCTCGAGACTGTCCTGGAGCGAATGGGTTTATTCCCTAACCAAAGGCGCACCATTTAGGGCTTCCACTCCACCAGGAATCCCTTAAACCAGGTCCGGGGCAAAGGGTTCTCGTAGGACGTGGCCTTGGGCAAGACCGGCTGTCCCATGAGAAGCATGTGGGCTCCAGCCTCTCTGTTAGAGGGTGCCAAGCCATGGAAACACTTGCGCCAGACCTGGCTCTGTTAGTGAGGTCGGTCAGCTGGAGTCCTTAGCTTTGCTTTTTTATGATTTGGCCAAAACCTAGAGAATATAGAAAGTTTGTTTGGCATTAATCAACTTATTAGCTTTCAAAACAAAGAAGCAAATTCTTCTTGGCAAAACTTTCTATTCTGAGCACTTTCCTTGCCTGGGTATCGTGAGATGCGAATGAGTCCTTCTCTCAGGGGTTGCTTCAAATTATTGATGCTGGGAGTCATAGCTGGCAGAAACGCAGCCCGCGAGCATGTGCTCCTTGCCACGGGCGAGTAAATCATGGAACGTTTTATTGCTAACGCAAGGATACATTTGAATGTGAAAAAATGGAAGCTAATGCTTTGAAAATGTTGCATATTGGCTACAGTTTCTGAAAAGATTTCTTCTTTATTGTTAAGATTTCTCCTTTGTTGCTAACGAGGCATATGGTGTTCTGTGATGTCTTTATGAAAACTGAGTTGCCTTCTGGAAGTCCCTCTGGACCTGAAGAAATGACTTGGAAATCTGGCACACCTTCAGAGTACTTGCCAGCAGGACAGGGGCATTTTCAAGTGGCTCAGTCCAGCGTGACGCATGTGCAGTGTGTTCAGCTGTGCCGTGAGGGGGACGTCAGCTCCGTATGATGGAGTTTATCATCTAGTTGGCATGATAACGGGAACATTCACAATCCAGTTATATTGTCACCTGGTAATGCTACCGGCACTGGGGAGTCTGTGGGCTTTTGAGCAAAGGAGTGACACACTGATGATGGCATGTAAGAAACAGTGGTTTGGCAAGGGCAAAGTCGGGAAGGCACACGGCTCACCTAGGAGTGCGGTCTGTATAGGTGCAGTTCGCTCTCCCTGAAGCTCCCGCCCCTGTGACAGTCAGCCCAGCACCTTCTTCCCTGGAGCTCAGACCCAGCTTATCCTGGCACCTGTCTGCTCCTGCACACACGCGATAGAGCCAGGGGCCTGTCCTGCGTTTGTCACTGGGAGCTCCTTCTGGGGGTGACGACGGCTTCCTGTCTCCATAGCCCCACACCACCTCTCAGAGCTTAGGTATCCAGTGAGCATTTACCCCGAGAGGGATCCTGGCCCATGGATGCGGACTTCCGCTGGAAACTGGAGTGGCAGCACGGGACGTGCTTGCTGCTCAGAGTGTGGTTGCCAGGCGGTGGCGGCAGTGGCACCGGGAGCTCCTTAGACGGCAGATCCTCAGCCCAGACGGCTGCCTCGGAGCAGATCCCTGGGGAAGTGTGCGCGGCGAGGAGTGCTGGGCTCCGGCAGTGCTACCTGAACACTGAAGCGAAGCTCCACGTTTCGTCAAGATTGTCCCACACCGCCCAGCAGGGGCGCGGCTGTTGAGTCCCTTATCCAGCCCCTTGGTTGCGTCAAACATAGTAGGTGCGCGGCAAGTGCTGGAGCGAATCCAAACTCTGGTCACGCTACAGAGGCACCTGGGAGGGGAACCGGAAGGGCTTTCGTCCCCTCGGCTTTTTAGCCAACAGCCATCAGAAGAGGAATGAACTTGTGACCGCAGTGATAGAGAACATTCAGCTAGAATCAAGGTCACAGGAAGGAGACCCCAGCATGTGGTGTTTCACCTCTGACCTTTTGTGTTTGGCACAGGAAAGGAAAGCTTCCGTGAACACGGCTACCGGGCTCTGCTCATCTGGCTGCACGGGGCCCTGCTGACCCAGGCCGCGCCGGTCAAGCACCTGTACGAAGAGCTGGTACGAGCGGGCTTCCCAGAGCTGGCTGGTGAGTTGCAGTTCCAGCAGCTAGAAACTCCTGCTCCCTTAAAATGGTGGGGAAGTCCATAGAAATGTTACTGCTGTTGACCAGCAGCAGTCCCGGCTTGGCGTTAGCTGTGGTTCATACAGAGTCTGCAGCTTCTCCGTTGGTGAGTGTCGATACTGGTCCCATTTTCATCCTCCTGCTGGGGGTTTGAAAAGTAGAGGAGTACAGTCATGTGTCGCTTAGCGATGGGGATACTGTTAGGCCGTTTCGTCATTGTGCAAACATCACAGAGTGTATTGAAGGGGAACAAAATTTGCCACCCCAAAATGTGTCTCTTTAACATGAGGATTATTTTAGGCTGATTATTATTATTATTTTTTTTTTTAAAGATTTTATTTTTTCCTTTTTCTCTCCAAAGCCCCCCAGTACATAGTTGTGTATTCTTCGTTGTGGGTTCTTCTAGTTGTGGCATGTGGGACGCTGCCTCAGCGTGGTCTGATGAGCAGTGCCATGTCCGCGCCCAGGATTTGAACCAACGAAACACTGGGCCGCCTGCAGCGGAGTGCGCGAACTTAACCACTCGGCCACGGGGCCAGCCCCTAGACTGATTATTTTTAAGAAACAGAAGACTCAGACAGTTTCTCTTGTTGCCTCCGCCTTAACTGCCTAAAAGAATTCAGATAAAAAACCCTGTCTCAGGAAGCGAGCCATCACCTTAGCATCACGGGAACTAGGTGCAGACAGGGAGGAAGCGAGAAGAGCCTGTTTGTGGGCTCCCCTCTGTGTTCTTCTGTTTCTGTGTGGCCAGACAAACACTTGTTTTCCAAATGTTTGATCCTTTTCACCTAACTGTGAACTGCCTTCCTTCCCTTTGAAGTCCCTGACTCTCCCCGCCCCCAACATCTTCTTTTGTCTTTAGCTGAGGACAGTATTTAAGGTGAGGGCTTTGGCTATTTTGGTGAGCTTGGTTTTCCTGGGTTTCTCTCAAGTATACATGTTACTAAACTTTTGTTTTTCTTCTGTTAATCTGCCTCATATCAATTTAATTCTTAGAGCAGCCAGAAGAACCCAGAAGGGTAGAGGAAAATTTCTTCCTCCCCTACGGTACAGACACAAACCTAGATGGTACAGACTACAAGACATCCAGGCTATATGGTACTAGGCTCTATGTGACTATTCTTACGGGACCACTGTCATTATTCGGTGCATGACTGTGTTTTTGTTTGTGTCTGTGTGGGCCAGCGTGGGGGTGTGGGGAAGGTGGGAGGGGGGCAGGAATGCTAAACCATCTCATAAGGTTATGGGATAGTTCTTTACAACTAAAGATTGTCTTGCTCAAAATGCCATTTTGCCCCTGTTGGGAAACTGCAAGTTAGTGTATTTGAATATGTTATCTCTAGGTTGAGAGAAAAGAACGGACAGGCTATTACTTTGCCAGCTGAGGTTATTGCTAAAAATCACTCTGCCAAAGCCCATCTTGTCAGGGAAGATGCTTTGAAAATTTATCAATAAATTAAGTGGCATTATAACTGTCATGTAATAATAACCATTCAAGCGAAATGTAGGGACATCTGCCATTATTTTCTCCGATGCAGTTTTACCTGAAGCTGAGGACATAAATGCATGAATCAGATCGCTGACCCCATATTCAGTTTCCGCAGTGGTTGGCACAAGGACTAGTGCATGGATGACGCCTGCCTTCCATGGCATTATCCTCATAGCACTGGGGTTGTTCCCTCAACTTTCAATCGGTTCATTCCTATGACAGAGTATCCATAGGGACTCTCTGGGAGGACCAGGAGGCAGTCCACTGAGAGGTGAGGGCACGTGCTCGGAGCAAGACTGCGTGGGCTTGTCTCTGACCTCCAGCGCTGAGGGCGGTGTGATCCTCAGCAGGTCCTGTGACCTCACGGTGCCAGTGTTCTCGAGTATTAGCTAGGAAGGTGTCTGTGTCAAAGGGCCGTTGTGGGACTAAGTGAGGAATGGTGCCTGGCACGTGGCAAGTGCTTGATAAATGGTAGCTATTAATGATAAATGTTAACCTGTTTTTTCCAGAAAAGATCCGTCAATTCAAAAGCGAAGCTGACTCGAGGCCCAAGAAATGTGCAGTTTCATAAATGTCCGAAGAAACCGTATTTAAATGATTTTCCACTCAGCATTCAGTCCTTTTAAATTCCATGCCATAAGTTCTTCTAGCAGTGGGACTGACTTTCCTCTCAACTCTGAAGACAGTGGTGACATGATCCTCGAACAGATGAAAAAACCATACTCTACTTTCCGACCACTGACATGAAAAGTCAGAACTGTTTCGGTTTTTGCTTAAGGCAAATTGTATATGATTTTCCCATTTCTGTCATTTGATGGAACCTATGTGGTGGCATAATCTCGGATTTAGTGTATCATGTTTTCAAATAATCTGATGGTGAGAGCAGCAGCATGGTCTACGGAGAAAGCTGGGGTTTTAGAATAGACAGGCCTGGTCTTGAATCATGGTTTTGCCCTATTAGCTGTGAGCCTTTGGGTGGGCTAATATTCACATTCCCAGATCTTCAGTTTCTTTCTCTATACATTGGGAGAAACGTCTCTCTCTTCCACAGCGTTGAGGTGGGAATGAAGGGAGCGTGCCCCTGAAATGCCTAACTTCATGCGCACAGTATTGAAATCGTTAACTGGTAGTTATTTCTTTTGTAACAGAAACTGGCTTTGGAAATTTATAGTCGCTGTTGGCTTTAAATACCACATGTGTAATGTGTTACTTAGAAAAGACCGGAAGTGTATCCACCAATGTTTCTTGTCTCTTGGTGACATAATTACAGGCGATTTTTATTTTTGGTACTTTTATTTTTTCCTTAGTGGTACTTTCCAATTTTTTCCCACAATGAACATGCATTATGTTTGTAATCTGAAAAAGTTATAACATATGAAATCAAGTATCAGTGTATAGCAGTTTATGTGTATCTATTCATTATGATTTAAGGCTCTCCATTCTCAAATTCTGACTAAGTCTCTAAGGCCAGAAATAAAATCATGAACAATTTCAGTCCAGTTATTCTATCATGAATTTATGTCTACATCTTTGTCTCATGCTGATTGTAAATGGCCCACTAAATGTTTTGAAGGTTTGAGACAGGAAATATGTTCAGATGATTCCATAAGTCTTTAGAAAGGTATTCAGTGGAAAGTCTTGTCCCCGTTTTTCTTCAGTTTGGCCAGTTTCCACTGACCTTGCTGTTCCTCCCCCCTCAAGTCTAGGTAACCTCTTTATGCAAAAATAAACAAACGTGAATACATATTCTTACTGTATGAGGTGTTTTAATTGTTGGATTTAAGTTAAGCTAATTACTTGGTGCTTTGGACAATATGTAATTTCTAGAGCTTAGATAAGGCTTAAAAAGATGCCTACAATATTCTTAATCACAATATTCATAATGGTCACTTCAGTTAGCCCGTGGTCATGGCTTGGGTATTGAAAACCATTCCTAGTTGTCATCTAGCTTCCTCAAAAAGCAGAGCCTGAGACCAAAGTTTATGAGCAACTGCTTTTTTCAGGAGTGCAACTCCAAGGAAGCAGGAGTGGGGGAGAGAGGGAGAGATGGGGAAGGAGGGAGAGCCAAGATCAGGGGGAATTACCAAATTGGCCGCCTGGTATCAAGTACACCGATCACTTGACCTGGAGGGGACTCTCTTCCAAGAGACGGGCTGACCAGTGCGTTTCAGGACAGTTCATCCAGGGGAGAAAGGAAGGACTGAGCTGTTCACCCAGTGGGGTCTTCATTCCTGGGCGTATGAGCGGGCTCCGAGTGCAGCCCGTGGTGCTCGTCATGCTCTCGGATGGATAGGGAAGCAGTGCTATTGGTGTTCCTTGTTGAAACCCATGAGGGGCTGTTTGCCACAGTGGTAGCAGGGCCAGAACTCAGAACGTGTGCTCTGTAAGAAGGTTCTAGTACTCTTTAAGACACGGCCAGACACTTCTATAATTCAGAAAAGCCTTGGTGTGCCCATTGAGAAAACGGGATACGTATTTGCCTATCTCATATTTATTCTCTGATGTCCTGTTAACAAAACAATGCGAGGCAGTAAGAAGAACTATTTCCCATAATAAAGTTCAAGCACGGAGCTAGGTCATGTGCAAATTGGAAGCGGCTTCAGACGATGAAGTCCACCACTTCTGTTAAAGATGTAGACAGATCTGGGGCCGGCCCATGGCAGAGTGGTTAGGTTCACACGCTCTGCTTCGATAGCCCAGGGTTTTGATGGTTTGGATCCCGCCACGGACACGGTACCGCTCATCAGGCCACGCTGAGGTGGCGTCCCACATAGCACAACCAGAAGGATCTACAACTAGAATATACAACTACTTACTGGAGGGCTTTGGGGAGAAGAAAAAAAATAAAGATTAAAAAAAAGAGAGAGAGACGTAGACAGATCCTTCAGAGTCTGCTTATTTTCATGTGGCCTATGAGCAGAGGGCGGGTCGATCTCACTGTTTCACAGATGAGGGTCCTGAGATTCATCTGAATTATGTGCTTGGCCCAAGTAACCCATTCAGGCAGCATACAATCATTCGAAGCCTGATCTTGTTCTCCTAAGTCAGTTTTGCCCTCATGGTTTCTTTCTACAGGCCAGCCACCGAGAAGCCTCAGCCCAGGCCTGGAAGGCTGCTGAGCCGCCCCGGGCTCCCGCCACAGGACAACCCTTGGATGCTCAGAGAACAGCACGGGCTCAGCGCTGCAGTCTCAAGAAAGCCAAGACAGAAAAGAAACAGGATCACACTTTAATAGGAAATTTCCTTTTGATGTTTCTGTAACTCTGTTTTTGTGTCACTAAACTTTTTTTCTCTTTTCACATTAAAAAATATACATAGGTGTTGCCATTTCTCCCTAATTTTTAATTCCTAGAGTCCTGGAAAAATGATAACTAATACAATAAAGTCACAAAAAACTTTGTGATAAAATATCACTATTACTCTTGGTTTTTGTCTTTTTTAATTTTAAAATAAAAATACCTTAGTTTCTATGAGTTTTGATAATTTCTAGTAAAGTTCTCTCTTAAAGTGTATTTGGTAACATCGGGAGTGACTGCTCTGGAAATAACATAGAGGAAACAGGATTTATATACTTTGATGATGTAATCAGTGGCAGGCTGAACCCATTAAAATAATAAAGTCTAGTCTCTTTTTTAATTTAAAAAATTTTACTTAATTGCTTAAATAAAAAAATAACATTAAAATAATCCTACATATAGTTACAAAGGATGGAAAAGTCTTTTGTAATTTTGAAAAGATGAACATGATGTTCTAAGAATACGGAGAATTTAAAAACAAAAGACTGTAATCCTCGGTACGAGCGGAGGAACTGGAAGAGCTCGCCGCGAGCACACTCGTTTCAGTCGACGACCTTGATGGAGGGGATGCTGCTGAGAGGCTGGCTGTGGGCGGATCTGGCTCCGAGAGGCCTGGAAGCCGAGGCGCCACCTTCAGGATGAATCGTCCGGGGATATTTTGCTGCAGTGGCTTGAGGAATGGTTTGCTGAAAAGATAAAAATCTGCCTTAATAATCCCATAAAACTACACATATTAAATATTATTCCATCATCTATAACTTCACCCAAAAAACATCTGTTAAGCATCCAGGAGATACAAATGACGAGTCGGGTGAAGTCGCTGTTAAGCAAGACACAGTCCTTTTCCCTAAGGACCCGCACCCGCTCAGACCGACCCGGTCCTTCTCCCTAAGGACCCACACCCACGTCCTCCTCTGGACGCCGTGTCTCCAGCTCAGCCTTCCACTTCACCTGAGGCTGAACTTTTCCATCCAGCGCCCCTTGATGTAATCATCTAGGAACCATCTACTGCCCAGGAAGAAAAGGACTTAAAGTCATTCCATATATCTTTTTTGCTAATACTTGGACATATGAAGTAGACAGGAATGCTGTCTAACAGTGAGACTTTACAGGGAAGGTATTCTCTTTTAAAATCAATCCTTGCTGCATGTCAACTATACTTTAATAAAAAAATAAAACCAACCCTTGTTTCTCTTTGGGGATGTGTTCTTGTAATTTTTAAAAATTAAACTTTTTGAGATCATTGTTGATTAACAGGTGGTTCTAAGAAATAACACAGAAGTATCTTGTGTACCCTTCTCTTAATTTTTATCAAGTTAAATTTGCTTATGGTTTTACAAATTTACAAAGTGCGTTTATACATCTCACTTAATTTTCACGCTACCTCACTTCATCCTGAGTCCTGACAGTGACCCTGGAGCTAAGGACCTTATCACTCCCATTTTACACAAGAGAAAACAGAGGCTCAAATATTTTACTTGATTTGTGTATGATCACAAAGCAAAAAGTAGCAAAACTGAGGTACTAACTCGGGCTTTTTAATTTTTGCTTAAATTTCATGCACTTTCCTTTATATCACATAAATTTATTGCAATCTGAATTTTTCCCAAACTAGAAATATGCTGACAATTGAATCGAAAAAAGGAGCAAAAATTAAAAACTATAAAAGTAGGGAAGTCTTTCTTGTAATCGAAAATCTGCTACATGAACATGCAGGCTAATTAATGAGCAAACAGTTTTTGTGTCTTTTTTAAATTAATGAGAAATCATTGATATATTTTACCCTTTTGACCACCAACATGGTAGAGTACTTTTCAGATTTGATAATTTTTACCCTCTTGAGAAGAAACAAAGGCTTCTGAAATTAATTTCCCACCAGAGGAAGGGCGGACTGAGAGCACGCGGGGGCCGCGTGTGAGAGAGCCGTACCGGTACGGGGGTCACCGATTTGGATCCTCTCAACACGTCGGATAAGTGTTTATTAGTCTACACACACTCGGGAAAAAGATTTTTTCACAAAAGGTCATCAAATGTGGACTCACCACTGTGACAGGATGATGTTTTTCCACAACAACTGAGCTCACAGGAGGAGAAACTCCCATTATGGCTAAGTTGCTACTAACTCGACTTTTTGCAGCGAAACCACATCTCCCCGTGATGCGGGCTGTAATGGTCCTTCCAGCTTTCTGCTGCGCGGAGGTCACCACCCTGGGCGCCGGCTGAAAAACAGAGAGACCCGTGGCAGGAAATCCTCGGCAACATTTACAGCACTTTGGTTCTGCAACTTACGAAGACAACGCACAGGCCCTTAAGAGAACTGTATAGTCAACCAACTTTAACATGGAAAAAATAAATTTAAAACAATAGCACAAAAAGCAAAACATAAAACCAAGCACCCTCAAACACCCCTTTAATCTTGGAATGTAAATTTTATAGGATTTTATGAACTTTTAAAAAACTTTTTCTTCTGAAGTACAGACTCACAGGAAGTTGCAGAGAGAGCACAGAGGGGTCCAGGCGTTCCTCACCCCGTTACATAATCACGGTGTAATTAGGACATGAAAACCAGGAGGCTGACACTGGTGTAGGGCCTGGGTGTGGACCTGTCACCAGATCACACGTGAGGATTCCTGGGACTGTCACTGCACTGTTCCAGCACCACAAAGGCCTCCCTCAGGAGACCCGTCGGTCACCCCATCTCCCTACCTCCAGCAGCCCTCACCTTAGCAACCATTAGTCTGTTTTATGAACTCTCTGGATCCTGATGCATAATTAAGACTATCATTACCTATGTTTTTGTGTTCTGCCTTTTTTCTTATCACTTTTTTTCATGAATACAGTCCTGCTATAATTTTTAATCAGAAGCTTTTATACCAACGAACTACAGTTTATCTGTCTCAGTTCTTTTCTTATTATATATAGGAAGTTTTGTAAAAAAGGATTCCCCTTTTCTTAGAGTTATTTCTATAGAATATATTGCAAAAAATGGGCTGATCCTAGCAGAAGGTAAGTTTGGCTTTTACAGCTTTTGTTGCTGACTGCTGGATGTACTCCAGAAGGATTCTATTTACATCAGAAGTAATGCATATGTGTACTCATTTTATTTCACTGTCAATTAATTACATTAGCTGGGCAAAAACCAAAAGGAAGAAGGAAAAAAAAGGGAGCCGACATTATTTAAACACCCCAGTATCTGTATCTTAACATTTGGCGTGAAGATGATGCGGACTACTGGTTAGGTGTGCAGGGCTCTGAGGCCGGAGGGCCACTTCTGTGACTAACTGGGGCCACAGGCCAGGAGCTCACTCTCTCTAAGCCTCAGTTTCCTCATTTCTAAAGGGGATCCTTCACTCGGCATTCAGATGAAGAGGGAAGTCAGAAAAGAAACTTCACTAAACAGCTTAAAAATCCAAGTGAAACCCTCAGTCATTCCAACGGGAGTTAAAAAAGGAGTAAAGTGCCATCTATTGTGTAACCTTGTGAACTGCAGTATATTTGCTTGTATAACTGCCTAATGCATTTTTTGGAAAATGTTTTCCACCATGAGATTCTGCTGTTTTGTTTAACACACTGAGGATGTCTGCAGAAAGGAAAGAATTTCACTAGAACGGTAATCCTCCTTTAGTTATTCGTTTCCCAGTTCTCTGCAGTTGACTTTCTACACACACCTCCTTTAGGTACGGGAAATACCGAGACGACTGGACAAGGTTTGAATGTTCACAGGCAGCCTCTGTGATTAAAATGAAGAGAAAGACAAGCAGGCCCGATCACAAATCTCTCTTCTTTTCTTGTTCCCAACAATGATGGTTTCACCTTAGGTAAGTTACCCAACTAAAGTCTTGGTTCCTACTTCTGCTATTACGGTTCTTTTTAAAAACAGGAAGACGTATTTGAGGTGAATGTGAGCCCTGTAATTATGTAAGGAAGGGAGAGGCCAGCATTACATGCACAGACTGATGCCCTGGTGGGCTCGGCTCTCACAGCCCTGAAGGCCGTAGCGTGTGAGTGCGGCTGAACGTGCTTCTGTTTCTGAAGAAGCAGGATGTGGCTGGAGGGGTCGGGGGAAGAAGGGTTGTCTACACAATGTTGGTATTTCAGGTTTCAAAGACTTCAAATTATCTCAGGTGATCAAATTGTTTCCAAAAGTTAGTAACAAAAGGGTGGCGAGCACACTCATTCATTTTGTTCTCCCTGTGCATTTTCAGATTTACGTATCAATGCAGACGTACAAATGGTGTAGGCATATTTTAAGAAGGGAATGTTGAAAAATCTGCCTCTGTGTGTGTTGTGTGAATACCCAACTTGAATGACAAACCAGAAATTTAAATAAACAGTGTTTGCTCATTGGTATAGGATCACGTTTCAAAATGTATAATCATGAAAAATAAACACAGCTGAACATGTCAGGGTTGAATTTTAGTGTCTTATTTCTAAGTCAAAACTCCCTCATGCACTCACATTTTTCTTAACAGCCATATTTGTTTTTAACCTCTTTGAATCAAGAGCAAACATGATAAATAGCAGATCTCAACCTATTTTTCCCCAAATTGAGTAGTTCCCAAAAGGCAGAAATTCACGTCAGCTGGACTCCCACGGATGACCCATTGTCTGGCTGACGCAGCGCCTCCCTTAGCTGGCGAGCACCTTCTGATGGCCTGCCAGGGGAATCCTAAGACGGAAAACCTGCTCTGCCATCTGCTTTCCTCTCATGCATGTGGCTGGGGTGGGCAGGAGAGGGCAACAAGCAAATCAGAATCCTCTCAGGCCCTTTCCAGAACTACACGTGCCACTGTGCCAGAGCCAAGCCAGAACAGGGAGGAAGGGTAGCGTTTAAAAAAAAAGCCCCAAGGGGCTGAGTCCGGTAATCGCCCTTCTCCCTGGAGAAACACGGGTGGAAGAACACAGGTTCCACTGCGGGCGCTGAGGACTCAGAACCGCGATGTGCCTTGTCTGTAACTCTGACCACAGGAACAGCTCGATTATGCCACCGAGCAAGTTCTCACACAAACACGCTCCACCCCGTTCAGTCCTCTCCCGCCACGCTCTTCTCTAATGGTGACTCAGGAGAAACTACTCCTACCCGGATTCCGCTTAGGAACTGAAGCCGAGAACCAACCCAGTCAAGATGCAGCCACTACAGTGTCGTGTTACTGACACATCTGCAGCCAGGCAAAGGGAAAGGCATAGTGGAATAGAAAATACACAGAGCCACTCAACTCCTAAGCCCTTGAAAACACCCACGAGCTTCCTTCAAAATTAAAACAAAAAAGGCTGTCATCAACTCTTTCTCAAATTAAATCTATTTTTCCTGAATAGTTTTTTAAAAATGTAAAATGGAAAACTTTCTTATTTTTGTTTTAATTATTACTACTGTAATAGAACTTTCAGGTATTATTTTCATTACAAATTAATGTTTTAGCTACTTGGTGTATTAAATGTTTTCTGTGGCTTGGCCTAAATACCATATGGACTTTTTTCGCCATGAGAAAATACGTTCTGAGTTCAAAATATCCAACATACAAGCAAGTTGGGACCCCTCTTCCCAACGCGGCTCCTGCTTTCACTGCACTAACCATTTCTTCCGGTGCAGCAGGAGCTGCAGATCCAGCGCCCAGAGGAGCAGAAACAGGAAGGTGAATGGAGGAGGCGGCAGCCCGGGCAGACGTCAGGGAAGAGGCAGAGGGAAAGGCTGCCGCGCTGGCCGCTGCCCCGGCCGCTGGGGGTGGCTGCTGTGGCAGGGCAACTGCTGAGGGCACGCGGGGAGCCGAAGCATCCAAATGAGCAGAAGATTCCGTTCCTTGAACACCAGGGCCATACTCCTCCTTTCTATTATTTGCGAAGTCCATCCCTAGAAATCACAAATTAATTCCATTAAAAGTCTTCCAAGTTAAGATTACTTTAATCCTCCAAATAATGAGAAGACATGATAGCAGAACTTAGTCCTAACAAAACTGTAGAAATCTGTCACATATTGGATACAATGTTCAGTTACCAGAGTTTGTCAGTATGAACTGGTTAATGTCAGCAGTAACCACTAAAGACTTCAGACCACTTCCTCCAACATGTGCAAGCTAATGAATAATTTGCTCTTAACGTAAAAGATAAATATAAATTGTGGACGCAGCTGGGACCTCAGCTGAGTCAAGCGTGTTGCCATCACAATAACATGGTCACAAGAGCCTAAGCATTTATGTCCTTTTGCAGTATTTCACATAAGTCTCCTGATAAACGGCCTGGTATCTAAAGCTTTAGAATGATTTTCTGATATCACTATATCCTTTCATTTCCATCTATTGCTCCTATCCTAACAAAAACAATGTATTTTAATTGTGATTTTTCAGCAAACAGTAATAGATCAACAAGTTAACTCTAAGATCTTTACTTCAGACATTGTAAAAGAAATGAGTTCTTGCAGGTAGATTAGATAAGTCATGACTTAAGAACATACTCACACACTTAACTGATTTTAGTGACACTCCACATAGTAACCTTTTCTTAAAACTGAACCTTAACCTTAGATCAAAGGGGAGAATAACGGCAGCTTTCAGAAGTTGGACAAAGGGTTTCTTCAAATTTTAGCTATTTTCCCCCTAGTATGAGAATTTTGTTAATATTTCCACTTAAGATTGTATCCCTGTGGTACCAAACACTGGGGGAAGGGTTTGAAATCAGTCACTGAGATGGACGCTCCCGACATCTGAAGAGGGCACGGTGCAGCCCTGTGTTCACATGGTTTTCCATGTGTCCTCTTTCTACCCAGAAATCTGGGCTTGTGGCTAAGACCTCTTCTTAGACTATCTTCATATAAAATAGAGTAAAAGTCACCTCATTAGCAAGTTTAATGAGGATTATAACGCATTGGTCTTTTGAAATCCTTTGATGAAAGGGATTTAATATTAAATACTCCTTTGAAAACTAAAATTTGCAACAAATTTGCTTTGAAAACAAAGCAACACACATACACTGAGCTTTAACATGTTCTTGATAGAAAGTGAGTCTGACTGATTCTTTTAGGTGGGTGGCAGACTTATCTGATGTGGAAGCAGCATAAAGGTCAGGTCTGGCCACAGGGTTCCCTGGCAGAGAGGCGGGACCCACTCTGACCAATGCGGGCTGAAGTATGCAGTTCCTGTTTGTCAGATAACTCTAAGTTTAATAATTATTCTAGCTTCAACTGGGATATATTTTTTCAGTTGTAAAGCATTTTCTACTGTTTCTAAAACTGCTTTAAAAATTGGCAGGTATCATTTTAGAGGCCATTTCTATCATCACATTTTGCCTTCTTCATAGAAACTTCTAATTTATAGTCTGTAAGGTTTAGGATACTGTACAATATGAGATGCACTATAAAGAATCAGGACAAATAAGAAAATCAAATATTTACTCTGCTCTAATAAGACAGGTACGTTAGGAACATTGCATTATTAAAAAATGCATAAAAAAACAATTGTTTTAAGGGAAGAAAGGTGGTCAGAAGTGACTTTTTTCTTGTGAGAATTAAAAATTTTTGTGCGTGTGTGTTTTTGAGGAAGATTAGCCCTGAGCTAACATCTGCTGCCAGTCCTCTTTTTGCTGAGGAAGACTGGCCCTGAGCTAACCTCCGTGCCCATCCTCCTCTACTTTGTGGGACGCCTACCACAGCATGGCTTGCCAAGCAGCACCATGTCTGCACCCGGGATCCGAACCAGCGAATCCTGGGCCACCGAAGCGGCACGTGTGCACTTAACCGCTAGCACCACCAGGCTGGCCCCTAAAAAATTTTTTTAAATAGCTGTTACTAAAATGCCACAAAACCTAAATATCACAGAGCAAATCCAGCATTAGTCGACACTGAACTTCTGCCTTGGGTAGCACCACCAACATCTCTGCTGGTGTGTGTCTGACTATTCCTGTCATCTTCATCCTCTGTTGTTATGATAAACAAAGCACAAGGCCACCGGACACAGCTGGGGCCCCAGAACCCGGCATTAGCTGCAGATGACAACAGACTTAAAAAGCAACAGGACAAAACAAATCATGTTATGTAATTATCAGAATCCATTTTCTCCAAATCCTGTTATGGATATTTGCCTGTAGGAGATATAGCTATATTTGAATTTAAAAGTTAAGATGGTAAATTGATGGTGGTAAAACACTCTGTCCTAAGTCAGTTCATAACCGTCTTTAGATAGATTATGAGAAAAACGTTTCTTGTAATTGAGTGCAGGAAGTTCTAATGCTAATAATTTGTCACTTTACTTGTGAAACCCAGTATCTCTTTTTTATAACTTGTTTTTTTACTTTTTTTTTTTTGAGGAAGATTAGCCCTGAGCTAACATCTGCTGCCAATCCTCCTGTCTTCTTTGCTGAGGAAGACTGGCCCTGAGCTACGATCCATGCCTGTCTTCCCCTACTTTATATGTGGGATGCCTGCCACAGCATGGCTTGACAAGGGGTGTGTAGGTCCACACGCAGGATCCAAACTGGTGAACCCTGGGTCACTGAAGCGGAACGTGCGAATTTAACTGCTGTGCCACTGGGCTGGCCCGAAACCCAGTATCTCTTATAAGTAGATAATTAAATTCTTTAATTTAATACTTACAATTTGCTAATAATAAGAACCAAAAGCAGATTACCCTATCATTGGAGGTGGTGAACTTGTTTTCAGCATTGATACTCAATTAAAAGACCACTTATTGGAGAAATCAAGTACTCCTTTGGGTATTAGCAAGATAAACTATTCCCCTTGAGATTCTGTGACTCTAAACTTCTAATTTGCATGTGGGCCACATACTATGGCTGCTTCAGAGAGAAAACCATTTGCTTTAAACTCACTATCATCCACAACACGCATAATAAATGTCTATTGATGCTTTAAAACGAAGGCACAAGCACAGAGAGGTGACTCCACTGGATTGAAATCATGTTAATTATATTACAAAATGAAATTGTCTCATCCATAAATAAACTGTGAGTCTCAAACAGGATTTGGTACAGGGGAATATGGCAAAAATGCTCATGTTGGGAGGCTGACTTGTATTAAGACTGCAATAATTCCATCAAGACTATCAATTTACGTGTTAAAGTACCTTTTGTCTTTTAAAGTGCTTTCAATTCTAAATTTTAAAATTTTAAAGTGCTTTCATGGCATTCCCACAAGAACTGCCTATGAAGCAGTAAGGAAGGTTTATATTATCTACTTTGTTCAGAGAAAGAAAACTAAAAACCCAATGAGGAAAATAGGCCTCGTTGTAAATTGGTAGCAAAGGATTCTAGTCATGTGCTCTTGTAAGCCAGGCCAACGACACTCTAGCACAAAACACTCAGACTCCCGCCAAAACTGGGGCTTTTCTTGAAATAACATTATTTTACTTGCCTCCTATAGGCCTATAGCTGTATCTGTTGAAAGTGAGTTTTAGTTGCGGCTTCTCTTAAACTGGAAGACATGCAATTTTTAAAAATGGGAAAGCATGACTAGGTAAGAAATATTTAATCAACAAAATAGCGCAAGGAATTTGGCTACTTAGGAAAAAACAAAAATAGAAATTTTGTCCTTAAAGACATTAAAATTATTAGCTAAAAGAGCCTTAAAATAATATTATGCATTCAAAGCATTATTTTAACATTGAGCCTAAATACTTCAGAGTTGACAGTTTACTTAATCAGATCTAAGATACCATAAGTAAGCATGACTGAGAGAATTTTCATGGCAGATTTAAAATTGGATAAGACACCATGAAATCAAAAATACAGTGCCTGGATAAGACATAGCCACTGCAGCAAATTAGCCCTGCAGAACATGCCAATCACTGAAATCGCAAATCCTTTCTGAAAGCAGGCAGAGAATCTTCAGCAAAAGACGAACCTGGATCACTTCTGTTTTGAAATATAGTCATGGCTTCAAGATTTAATGCACACACACCCCTCATGAAAGCTTTCTTCATGGAATCTTCAAACTGCTCTTTTTCTTGCTGCATTCTTTGGATCTCAGCTTTTGCATTTTCCAAAGCTCCAGATAACTAAAATAAGGAGAATTTTTTACAAAAGGAAAAGATTTAAGACACAAGGAAGAATATCATTTATTGTAAAAAATAGACTTATACTGTGAAGTTATTTTTATGTGAAGTACTAAAAATACTTTACCATATGTCTCTTCTGCTATGGATCTCAATTTTAAAAGGTGCATCTTACCTGCACGGTCTCCATCAACAAATCATTTTCCTAATCATAAAATCAAGGTTCAAATAAGGGGAATTTTATACAGTCCCACTGAAGGCTGCTGATGTTTTAATTATACAAAAAGATACGTCATTTCTTACCATAAAACTTTAATGTAGAGTATTAAATAAAATACATTAAGAGCCACAGATAGCCCTCACCCCTTCAGAAAAAAATAACTAATTGCCTGCAATATTAACAGATTTCTTTTTAACTAAACATTATCTATAGAATTTAAAATGCAAAGTGACATTAGGTGCAACACGCTTTCCCAGAGACCAAATCTAAAGGGACTCCTTTTTCTGCATGTCATTTTGAATTGCAGACACTTATTTGTATAATGAAACTTATCTGTAACATTAAGAACTTAGTGTTATAATGATGAAATATATCTATTTTTTACTTTTAATATTTGATTTCAAGAGGCCTACTGCCTTCTTCAATACGGTTTTCATTTCATTTGGGGTCTTCAATGTTTTCCCATGGAAACAATGTTGATTATATTATTAACAGTCAATGGGAGAATAATTTTAGTTCATATACAACTGCTTTATATCAATCTTATAAGAACATAGTTTATTCAAAGTAACATGAGGATAAACATTTTTGTTTTTGGTCTTTATTTCTGGCTAAAGATCAAAAGCAGAAGCATAAGAAGGAACGCTTTCTTGGAGGTGGAAGGATCTGTGTGTGCTTTATATTTCCAAGAGAACGCAGACACGAGAACCAACATGAGTCTGGTGTCTAGAGGTACAGCTGTTTAAAGGAACAAACAGTCTGCGAACCTGGTTTATGACCCTTATTCTTTCCCAGCAGTGTCATTCGAAGCTACATTGCAGTACATGGAATTAGAGAAGTGGGCTACTCTTTCTAACCATAAACTAATACTGAACCATGCTACCCATCTTTTTAATTTTTATTAAAACAGTGAAAATAAAAAAAAAAGCTTACCACGGCAACTTTGGTTTCATAATCATTGGAAATCTGGACACAAACTTCTTCAGCTCTCGCCTGGCAAGCTCGTTCCACCACATCCTTCCACTGCTTCTGCACTGTGGAGTGCCAGCCTCTCCAGACTTTCTTCAGCAGAGTTCTCTGGAAGTACTGGTCAGCCAGTTTACCTTCATAAACCTAATGAAGGTAATACGCAACCTCAGAAACACAGTGAACTGGTAAATATACTGGTTGTAATCATAAGAAACATATCACTGTGGTAAACAGTGTACATACATTATCATTTAATCCTATGTAATCATATTATTGTCATCTGCAGACAGGAGAAGAAGCCTAGAGAGGGAAGGAACCTGCCCAAGTGACATGAGAAGGAAGGGAAAAGCCAGCCTTGCCTCCCTCCGGAGCCTAAGCTCCTATCCATTACATCATTGCTTTATGCAACTAATCAAGTTAGGGGAAAAACAAAAAACCAAATGAAAGGAAATGAGTAACCTGCCACTTGCCATGTTAGTTATGAATTTGCATGATCTTTTAGCTGAAAGCAGGACCAGGAGAGCAGCAGAGAGCGGCTGGAAGGCGGAAACAGTGGTGGCCACGGCTTTCTCTTTGGCTAGGTGGCCACCATCACAAGTAAGATTAATTTAACTTACATACTTTGCCATCATATCTAGTGCCAAACGGATCCAAAGAGGAACATATGCTACTCTTTTATCAAGGAATTTAAATTCTTTAGAAGAAGTCATTCCAATTTTCAATTTTGAAAAGCTATTCAGAAAGTGATGGCAGCCTCAACTATTTCAGCTACCATTTAAACATAATATATTCTCATCATATCACATGGTATCAAAACATGGTAATACTCATTTTAAATAGCTCTTTTCAATATGATCAATGTAGATTTAATCTACTGGGATTAATAAAGAAATGGAAGTATTCTTAGAGGAGAAATCCTATTCCACGATACTAACAGCCTTTTCCTAAAATATTAAGCTCTTGGAACTAAACGCACAGAGATCACTCCACGGCTCACATGAGCATCGCGTGAAAAAAAAAGTGCACATCCATCCCCTGCATTCAAGTCCCTATACTCTGTCTTCGTGTGAGATGTGTACGTACTATCATACTGTTCCACTTTGCATACAGTAATTTATTATTCTCTCCCAGTTTCTATTTACTCTGATATACTGATTCAGCTCTTATTTAACCAAAATAAAAGATGTTCAAGTTTAAATTATATGCAAACTAAGGATAATTTTTAAAAAGCTATACACAGCTTTCTTTGATTTTCATTGCAAGGCAAGTCTACGCAACAAACCTTTACACAATTTTATAGTGTATAAATACAGCACTGTCTCTTTACAAAGAGGATGTTTCAGGCATTTTAGAAGTAGAAACAATATAGGAAGTACATGATATATTAAAGATTATAAATTCTTTCTCCACATAATCACGTCTGGGGTCAAATCTGTTCAAGTGGTTCCATTACCAGGACATTTGTAATTTAGGTACAATCCTTATTAACCTACTATGAAGTAGGAAATGATATACCAATAGGTCTATAAAATATAAGAGGTATTTTTTTCCCAAATTATACCAAAATCCTTTGAAATAAAAGCAACGTTAAATTGTAAATTCATTTTGACTTATTAGAAAACAAATCTTTCTTTGACTTTAACAAGGGTTCTAATCCGCGATCCTAAACCCTCTTAGTGCGGAGGTCTCATATCTTGTCAGTCTTTTCATTTTGCACTTACGTCCTGTCGAGATTTGACGTGGCCAATTCGCCAGTGGAAGAACGTTCTCATCAATTCTATCCTTTCCTTTTGCCTGCCTAAGGCATGAGACAAGCTAGAAATCACCTGTAAACAGCAATTAACCCAATTATTGTGATGTTACAAGAACAGCAATTGGTAAAGGCATTTCCTCACATATCAAAAAATGCTAGAGAGAATACCAGTGGATCGCTACTATATTCATCCAGCCTCATCTCAGTCTTATCTTTAAAAAGACCAAACTCTCCTCAACTCGGATGCACTACACATCAATGAACGAAGGGGAACAAGAGAGGAAACAATTCTCGTTGTGTCTTGGTAATCACCAAAAAAAGTTTATGTGTATGAAAATTAATATGGTCATTGACATTTAATTCAAGACAGACAACTACACATTTGAAAGTTTTCCCACATATACAGAAAGTCTTTATTTACTAGACTTGAGGGCAGGGACCAGGTTTTAAATGTCTTTCTAGTCCCTCAATACCTCTAGTACCTTGATTAGAAGTTTCTCAACAACTGTTTAATGATTTTCTGGATTCAACAAACTCGCAAAAGAAAACAATAGTTATACTTTGGTGTACTTCCTCAGTGATATTATTCTTGCTCTTTTTTAAAAAAGAATCTACGAAAGCTTTTAAATCCTAAGATAATATTCTCTCTTAGAAAGAAGTGACTAACTGAAATATCTATCTAAAACGGCCACATCAAAAAGAGACTTAGTAAATTGGGCACATTTACTGAGACATTTATTCTGGTCCTTCTTTAAATAAATTCAAAAGTGGAAAAGGGCACCCATTCTCAGAGACTGGTACATTCTATTTCTTAAGCTGCATGGTGGCACATTGCTGTACAGTTTATTCGTGTTCAAAAACTGGACAGAGGTGTACACTCTTTTTCTGTGTGACACTTTGAAATAAAAAAATTAAATTTAAAGTATTTAAAAACCTTAGGACTGTTTTGAGGGTAATAGAGAAAATGGCTGACATTAATATCTATTGTTTCAAAAAAGTAAACCATGTAAAATGTTCAATTTTATATTCTACACTGCAACACCAAAAGAAGTGTATACTTTTAAAAACATCATCTTTATCTAGTTCATGAAAGCGGTGAGCACAGTGTCTGCAGACGAGGAGCTGAGGCGTCTGCTCTGAAAGCCACCACCCTCCTGGCTGCCCATCTGCTTTGTTCAGGGTGCTGTCAGGAGGCACAAATTAGCACAGACTTGAACCTTACTCCCAAGTTCTTAAGAGGCTAACAGAAAGTGAAATAAAAGGTGCTCTCTGTGTTTATCAATAAAATGAAGAAAGACATATCACAAACAGAATGTGAGATACGTAAATAACCCCTAAAAGGATAGTTTAAAACGTGGGTAATGCTGGCTCCCTGATGTTCTCTCTCTCTCTTTCTTTTTTTGATGAGGAAGACTGGCCCTTAGGTAACATCTGTTGACAATCTTCTTCTTTTTATTTGAGGAAGATTGTCGCTGAGCTAACATCTGTGCCAATCTTCCTCTATTTTGTATGTGGAACACTGCCATATCATGGCTTGATGAGTGGTGTGCAGGTTTGTGCCCGGGATCCGAACCTGTGAACCCCAGACTGCTGAAGCAGAGCGTGTGAACTTAACCACTACGCCATGGGGCTGGTCTCCTGACTCTCTTAAGGGCAGTTAGGAAGAAAAGAAAAAATTAGGAAGAAAAAACTAGAGTTCCCATACTTAGCACGCACTCTTAAAACTTCAAGAACACCAAAGCTGATGGCAAAGATAAATTGACATGAACCTGGCATGCTTTATAGGAAGAATAAATCTTATTTCTATGTATCTGTTTTTCTACCAGTTTCTGAAGAGATTTTTTCCTTTACATCTTGTTATGACCTAAATAATCATTAGTTCCCGGCATTTATCACCTAGCAAGACATTTACTGACTCTCAGTTAAAAGGAAAGCGAATGAAGAAGACCTCGTCTTTTCTCCCAATGGAGACTTCATAAGCCTTCTGCAGCTCCCTCAAGCTGTTGATCTGGCTGCACAGTTGTTTCAAATGTGCTGCATGTTTTTCTTTCTCTTTTTTCATTTCCATTCGGTGCCAGTCAATGAAATTAAGTCTCCATTTACTTAGTTCAGATAGGATGTTTGTCTGAAAGATAAGTATACTGACAATTAAGTAGTTTGTTCCTTAATACTGCTTCCCAAAATTACACTAAATTAAGAAACATTACAGAAAAAAACAGAAGAAGCAATCAACATAAGAGCTATTCAAAAACTCAGAACACACTAATGAAAACGTCTGCAGTTGGACAGTCATGGCTCTTTGGGCACACTGACGGTACTAAGGACATGGATTGTTTCCTATTTTAAGTTACTTTGTATGTAATCTTGTTGTCATTAAAAAAAAATTCAGGTCTCATCTACCAATAAACAGGTCCTTTGTTTATTCAAGGACATAAATGGCCATCTTAAGATGGATCAAGGAAAAAAGAAATGCGGGGCTAAGGCCTCGGCTGCACCACAGGACTGGGAGCCATACAGACAGAGGGGACACTGGGACACATGGGAGCCGACGCTTTCTTCCCCCAAACCCCTCTCATAGCCGTCACCTGACAACCAACTGCCATGTCTGATCCCGCTTTACCCTACTGCCTGGTATAAATAAAAGGACCAAATAATCATGGTATAAAAAAAAATCGGACAACAATACAGTTAGAATTTAAATGGCTGGTGGGACACCACTCCAAAGAACTCATGCCATGATTAGAATATGAAGCCTGGTCATGGGGAGAAAATGACAGAAATTATACTAAAAGATTACTTCTAGAATTTAAGGTTCCAAATAACAGAGAAATATAAATGTCACAGAAATCTCATGACCATAATTTCTCCATGTATGTGAATATTGAGCTTAGTCTTCTCAAACTATGTTTGAGAAAAACTTTCATTTTCTCCATTATTTTTTTAAATAGCAAAAAACTTGCCATTTCCATAATTCTTTGTTTTACTTAGAGGCCACTAATATCACCAAACTAAAAATCAATTTTTATAAATTTATCAGGTATATATTGTGGTTGCTGTTAGAGTGCCTATAAAATGAATACACGTTATTAAAATTGGCTCTTAAGTTTCATATAAAAGGAGACATTTCCATTTGTCACAGCTGTGACATTGTAAAGGGTCAACAGGTGTCTCACTCACACACGCCGAACCTTTCAAAACACCTGAGAAATTCAGTGGAAGACGCAGAGCTGTTCCAGCAACTATTTAAAGTCTTGCTATTCAAAGTGTGTCTCTGAACCAGTAGCATCACCTGGGAGCTTGTTGCAAGTGCACCACCTCGGACCCTGGCCCAAACAACTGACTAAGGAGCCGCAAGTTAACAGGACCCCCAGGCGATTCGTACGGACATTAAAGAAGGAGAAGCACAGATTTAAGATGCTGGACTGATCTTGGGAAACCAAAGATTTTTGTGTTTTTTAACCTTTTAATTAAAAGAAAAGAAGAATAAATGGTGGAATCGAGAGCAAAACTGTTACACTACATATTAAACAAGTGTAACTGAACAACTGTAATACCTTAAGACCTGAACTCCAAAGATCAAGTACATTTTCCATCTTCTCGAGATTTTCATCTGAAATAAGAAAATCGCTCACAACTATTTCATGGACATCTGCAGGACTAGAAGTAGACCTTGGTGAGGAAGAATCGCCTAAAAGATTAGAACTGAAAAAGTCCATGACCGGGTGAGAAGGCTTCCTTGGTGATGACACTGGTGACAATCCTAGAATAAAAGAAAAGTAGTAGCGGTCAAACCAAATTGAAAAGAACCCAAATCAGTAAGGAGTCATATTAGAAGGCTAGAAGATATCAGCTACCTATGGAGGCCGACAAAAATGCAGAGAAATGACCTTTCAGTGTACTTAATCTGGCTATTTTTCATTTCAATATTGTCACTGATGTAGGACTGACCAGCATGAGATGACTCCCACACCTCTCTCCTCCCACAAATGACCTCTATCCCAAATAACAATGCTCTGTGCAGCCAGGTCCAGCCTGAGCTGAAAGTATTAACACCCACTTCATCATATTAACATTTACTAGGTGCTTTCTATGTTCCTGTAATAAAAACTTCCTACAGATTAGCTCTTATAATCCATGCTACCCTAAGAAACAGCTATTATCCTCTCCATTTTACTGTTAAGGAAACTGAGGTTCAAAAACAGTTAAGTAATTGACCAAGGTCAGATGGTTGTATATAGGTCACTATTACCTTATGTAAAACACGGGGAGGAGTTTTAACACTGCTAAAAAGCAATACTATAAGTAGGAAGAGACCAGCAATTTAGTTGCTCAGATACTCAGTTGTAAGGCACCCTGTTAGCCTTGAACACCTCGGTGAGAAATATATACCTCTCTCTCTATGTGTGTATACATATACCTAACTCCCAGCCCTGCCCCTGTGCCTGGGGGACGCGAAGATGGGTGGGAAAGGGGATCAGGGAGACCCACAGCCAGGAAGAGGACTGGGATCTATCTTTAAAAAGTACAAAATAGGAAGAGTTACTATTTTATGACATGTATGTTGGAATAGAGACTATAAATCATCATTTTTCACGTTTCTCACTTTTGTTACAAGTGTCCTGATAACCAAGATTGAAGGGCTTTCCTCTCTTCCTCACTGAATGAATCAAAGATAAACCTACCATAGGACTTGTTACTTGAAAGCAGATCTTTTAAGAATTCTTTCCAAAAGGGAAAATCATTCTCAAATATATGTATTTTGTATAACAAATCTATCAACAAACTGCTCAGGCTGCTCACACTATGAAACACTATCTCCACGTTCTGAAGGTGGTCAAGGAACCCAAAGAATAAGGCAGAATGACAAAGTACACGAATATTATTCTCTTTTATAGATTTTACCAACTAGACCTACACTCATGGAAAAGCAATAGGCTCTATATTTTTTAAAAATATACATTCACCTTAAAAAAACAGAATCATATCACTGAAAACTTGGAAGGCCCTTCAGAAACTACACTGCCCAAGATTTTCATTTACAAGGGAGGAAGCTAAAGGAGAGTGGCATGTCTTACGTGGTGGCTGAAATGGCCCGCACACTAAATGACAGAGAATCACACAGTAAGAAAGGCGTTCCACGTCAAAGAAGTTCCAGTCTGGAGCTAGCGCGCTTTCAAGAACTGTAACCCTTGCTAATCTCTCCTTTCAATAAGGAAAGCAGAACACACCACCAACAGCATTTAACCAAAATTTAATAACTTCATTTAAATTATATATAAATACACTTTATATATATATAACTTTATATTTTACATATAAAATACAAAAATAACTGCATTTATTTTTACCATTGCTTTCTATTTGTAATAAGTGTATATTAATTTTATGCTATAATCAGTAATGACAGGTATAAATTTTCCTTGATAGAACAGGTAGTATTAAAGATAGGACAAAAACCATTAAGTTGGTACACAAATGCCTGAAAGTTGGGAAATATGGCATTGTTTTATGAAAAAATCTAAATTGGCCAAATTATCTGACATCCCATTAAATCTTTTAAAATATTTGCTCTCTAACCTAGCAGTTTTAAGGATGCTACACACTACAATACATTAATTTGTATTAGTCTTAATTGTACTATTTTAAATATTCTTAATAAATTAGAAACAATAGCATTTTAAATATTGCCAATAAGTAATATGCTGAAATTATTCCTCTTACTACATAGACAATGTTCATCAGACTGCAAAATGCTAGGCTTGGGCATCTCGTTTTGAAGGTCATTTTGGCATACAACCACTGGAACAAGTACAGAGGCGCGACTCCACTAAGAGACATGCATTTGCTACAGTGTTGTTTTAACTTTATGACTTTTTATAATAGTCAAAGAAAGTTCAAATAAAACTCCAGCTGTAATATAAGAGCCAAGAATAACAAGAAGATGTGAAAAGTCCCCAGGTGACAGTGATCCACGCCACTGACTGAGAAGAACCCCTGGAGAAGATGCTCACCATCAGAAGCCAACAGCCTGAATAAGCTCAGTAACATCTTAGAGAGATTTTGAATAAAAACAAGCTAAGGTAAAGTCATACCATCTGTTTTTGAATGACTTGATATATTGAAGTCACATCCTTTTCCAACTTCCATCCTTGTTTCTCTTACTACAGAGCTATTTCCTGCTGAAAAGAAAGAAGTTTTTTATGAATTAAACCAAATTCCTCTTAAATGCCTAATCATACATTCCTAATTCAAGGAAGTAGCAGTACACAAGTAAGAGTTTAGAGCAAGCAAAAACAACATGCTGGGAACACAGGAAAACTAAGATGAAGAACGAGAAGCAAGAAAAAAATCTGAGACTAGAAAAGGGCTTATCGTCTCATTAGCAAGCTCAATTTCACTCAACAAATACGGATGAAAGAGAATTCAGTCCACTACAGCGTTCAGTTCACACTAACAGAAGAAGTGGACAAACGACATCAGAACTTAGAAAACACTACGCTATCTCACACCTTTGGATATTTCCAGGGGTCTGATGCCTTTCATTAGCTGCAATCAAACTAAAGCGACACTGGTTCCCCCAAAACAGGGACTTCCCTACTTTCACCTCAGGAACTTTAGTCAATATATGGTGGTGAAAAGGAAACTAGGAAAGACCTCACAAGAATGGTGTGTCAGAGGCTTATACTTACTTTGCCAACTTCGACACACCCTACTCATCCTAAGCAATGGCAACCCCAAGAATAAAGAGAATGTGATGATAAATTTACATGGTCCATTCTAACCAAGCCTACATGTGAATCAAGATATCTAAATTCACTGCATATTGTAGGCTTAGATCTCAAATCCTTTTTGGAAAAGGCAGAACATAAACAAATAAATACTTTACATGTTAGAAAAGAGCAGGGGTCTTAGATCCCAAGTGGTTACCTTGAAGGCTGGAAAGGTGGGGCCAGGAAGGAATTCTGGTGCGGAGTCAGTGGGAAAAACAGTACAGCAGTACTGTAGCCAAGGGAAAAGGAAGCAAGCTGTCAGGGACTACCTTCAGGGCAGGGGTGGAGGGCTAACACACTCACGGCCTGTCTACACTTGTAAGAGGGCAGGCAGCACTCTGGGTTTGCTCAGCAGGAACTGCATGTTGACGTACTGGTGTAATCAAAACATGGTCAAGATCACTGATGTAGAACAAATAAATCCAAGGGTCATATCTCTTGAAGATCAAGAAAATTTGGGTAGAAAATACTCAGTGAGGGAATATTTCAGTGGTAGAATAAATATAGATATTTTAAGGTTCTGGTCCTATTTGTCGATCCAGTGCAGCAGGCTGAACATTGAGGAGCAATGAAAACTCCATGTCTACAGAGGGAGAGGGACCACAGACACTAGGTCTATGGCTTACCAAAAACCCAGGAGCTTGCTCACTCTGAGTAGGCTTTGTCATGGGCCTTCAAGGAGGAATCCTTGGAGTTATGCCTATCATTAATAACTGCCTATTTTAGGAGGGCTTTCTGTGTCCTTTGAAAGAATACTTATTTAGAGTGAGCTGTTTGAGATCTTATACTTTACTGAATAAAGAACAAACAGGTAAAAGGAGCTTTATCCTCCTTTCTCCACTTTTCACTCATCTATCAACATACATCCCAGTTTGTATTAGTTCTCAATTCTGTCACTGAAATGGTCCAAAGATGGATTCACCTTTGTGGTGATCATCCCAATGGTCCTCCACGCCCATATAAATACCACTGCCAAAGTCCGAGCACATGGTTCATAAACTTACGGGGTTCTAAGGACTACCCATGGGCCATCTTTCATCTGGGGGCTTTGGCATTTCATTTCCAAGATAATCCTGGCAGATAACCACTGGAACAAGTACAGAGGTACAACTCCACTAAGAGACATGCTGTTGCTACAAGATGCTTAATCACTTTTCATAAAAGTAATAGTCAAACTAAGTTCAAATAAAAATTCAGCTGTCATATAAGAGCCAAGAATAACAAAATAAAATGTAAAAACTCCCCCCAGATGATAGCAATACACACCATTGACTGGAAAGAATCACTGGAGAAGATTTCCACAATCATAAGTCAACAGAATTGATAAGCTCAATAACATCTTAAATTAAGAGATATCTTGAAAAATATACATAACCTTGATTATCGAGAATATCATCAATTACAGGAGGAACTCTACCATCTGGCACCACTTCTCCCTTAGAACGAGACGGCTGTGAAACACTTGATTCAATATTTGGAGTCACTACAGCATAGCGAAGCAATTCTTCATACTCCTCCTACGAGAAGCCAATAATAAACGTGTATTACATCACTGTCACAACGAGCACTCAGGCAAAAGAACCACAGAGGCAGAGCCAAAGATGTCCTCCACTTCAGTTCTCACAGCGGTGTTCCCAGGTAGTGGGGATGCGGACTTGTGATTTATGTTTTTCATTCATCATCATTTACTTACTCTGTTGTGGTAAGTAAAATTCTTAAAAAAAAATTCAACAAATATACCAACCCCAATCTCTTCTAGGGATGGTGCCTTGGTATCCAGATTCCTTCAGCATGTGGACTTAACGAAGGTAACACAAAGATCACCAGAGTCGTTCCCTAAAGCCAATCAGCACCTGCGGCACAGAAGAGCCCTCCCTCCACGGGCAGCTGCCTGCAGGCGGGCAGAGACACCAGCCCCTGCTCTGAGCTTCTGAACTGTGGTTCAAAGACTGCACAACAGGCAGGCCTAGGGATGAAAGGTAGATAAACAGGCAGACAAAACGAGAAAATTGCAGCTCTCTATCAGGACAGGTTAACAAACAATTATAACATTAAAGATAAAGCTCAAGGCTTTGTAAACCCTTTTCTTTTTTCAGATACGAGGGCCTTCTTGGTCATTTCTTGTAGCGGGGGTTGGGGGGGGGATCTTGTGGTGATGAACTCCCTCAGCTTTTGTTTATCTGGGGAAGTTTTTATTTCTCCATAATATCTGAAGGATAGTTTCACTGGATAGAGTATTCTTGGCTGAAAGTTTTTGTCTTCCAGAATTTTGAACATATCATTCCACTCTCCTCTGGCCTGCAAGGTTTCTGCTGAGAAATCCGTTGAAAGCCTGATAGGGGTTCCTTTGTATGTTATTTTCTTCTGCCTTGCTGCCCTTAATATTTTTTCCCTGTCATTTTTTGCCAGTTTTACTAAATATGCCTTGGAGAAGGCCTTTTTACATTGATATAATTAGCAGTTCTGTTAGCTTCTTTTACTTGTAAATCTAGCTCTTTTCTAAGGTTTGGGAAGTTCTCAGCTATTATTTCTTCGAACAAGCTCTCTGTTCCTTTCTCCTTCTCTTCTCCCTCTGGAATACCTATGATCCTTATGTTGCATTTCCTATTGAGTTGGATATTTCTCAGAGAATTTCTTCATTTCTTTTTGGTCTTAGTTGTCTCTCCTCTTCCATCTGAAGCATTTCTATATTTCTGTCCTCAAAGCTGCTAATTCTGTCCTCCATAATATCAGCTCTGTTATTCAGGGACTCCAGATTTTTCTTTATCTCATTCATTGTGTTTTTCATCTCCAACATTTCTGATGGGTTTTTCTTTAGTTTCAATCTCTTTTGTAAAGAATTCCCTCCGTTCATTAATTTTGTTCCTAATTTCATTGAACTGCATTCCTGAATTTTCTTGTAACTCATTGAGTTTTTTTTATGATGGCTATTTTGAATTCTCTGTCATTTAGATTGCAAATTGCTGTGCCTTCAGGATTGATTTCTAGGTGCTTGTCATTTTTCCTTCTGGTCTGGAGTATTAAAACACATTTTCATACTATTTCCTGGGGTGGATTTATGCCTTCACATGGTGGAAGTATCTGGTCACAGATTCCACCTGCCACCATGGTGGGGGCAGGGGAGAATGAACTGTGTATTTGAGCCCACCATGATCCCTGGTGTCTGTGCCTGTCCTTTGGAATCTATGGTGACACAGCACATCTGCTATTGCCCACTCCCTGCTGCTGCTTTACAAATGTATGTGTATGAGCTCTGGTGGGGATCCCTTGCACTGGCCGAGCTGGTGTGCGGGGTGTGTGGAGGGGTGCGTTGTTTCATGTGTGCAATCCCGGGGGCGTTCCCGCTATGCCCTTGCTAGCTGATCTCCTGGGGAGCTGGCTTGACGAAGACACCCCTGCAATTCCTTGGCCTCCTCTGTGTGGGGCTTTCCCATGGCTGGGAGGCAGCTTGGAGAGTGAAGGTGTTCCTGAAGAGAGCTGCCTGTCCCCACTCATCTCACAGAGCCACATGCAGTTCTGTGCCCTAGATTGCTGTGGGGGAGGGAGATGAGATCCCCTTACCTCCTTCTACTTCCTCCCAGGGGTCCAGCTCCTGCACCTTCAGATGTATGGCTGTGTGGGTCTCTCAGATGTTTATTGTGTTATGCGAATGTCCTCTGTTGGTTTATGAATGTCCTTTCCATTGCATCTTAGTGGGGAAAGTCTAAGTGATAAGCTCACTCTGCCATGATGCTGATGTCATTCTCTTAAATTTTGTGTTGGTTGGAATAAAACTGTTCCTGCTATTGATGTACATATGTCAAATTTTTATAACCATGTCATAGATTGGAGGGATGTAGCTCTGCACAAGTTTATTTTTTGTTTTAAATTCACACCTGTACACATCTGCTCATATAAACTGTACAAGTGAGCAGACAACTATAACACATGTGGGCCACATAAACTACAAACCACTCAAACTCATGCACATCTGCTGGGGCCAGTACCTCCTTAGGACACAAGAGTGATGAGCTGAGCAATAGCAAACGACTTTGTGCTATGTCACATGCTTATCATAGTACAAAGAGTTTTAGCACTTATTCTAAGTTTGAGTCTTTTGAGAGCATCTTGTGTGAATTTTACATCTATGATAAAGAGTTTGAAAATGCGATTGATTTTGTTGGTGATTCAACAGTGAATCAAAAATTTTCTATCTATTCTTTTTTATGCTTTGGGTCACTTAAACTGAAGATAAGATATGCTATTAAAAAGCTACCATTTTCAACTACTTATGTTGAGAATCAGAATTTTCCTGATATTATGTAATCCAAGCAAAATACAGAAGCAAATTGGACATCTAGCCTTATAAATACCTGCACTGCTCTTCCATCACCCCCCAAGTGCACATGCACGTTTATCAAGGTGGCTTCATCCTTTTTGCTAACTGCCTTTGTGAGAAGTAAATGTCACAAATTTGAATTTATGAAATAAATTTACACAACATAGTACTGCTTTAATCTTTTTATACTGGAATTTGAAGTAAAATTGTTTGAAAAAAGGGTTTATGCTTGTAGATCTTTGAAAACTGCTTGTCTTTAGCATAATTAAATGTAAAAGAGTGACTTGGTTTCAGTTTCAACCTTCACATGTTTAACATAGATTACTTATATACTGTAAATGTTAGTTATAGCAAATACAGACTTTTACACATATTAAGGCTAATGACAGAAGAGAAACAGAGAGAGATATTCCACAGAGAGAACCTTTAGACAGCTCAATCATCAGACTCCCTTTCATGTTGCTACAGGCAACTCCTTTGTCAGTGATGTACCCTTCACAACAATAAACATGTCTGGGTTTTAAACTTACATTTCCTGATAGGAAATAAAAGTTAGTATTTCACATAATGGTTACCACTGAGGTAGAAGGCTCTTATTAGAAAAAAATCATTTAGAATATCAGAGATACATTTAATTTTTATGTTGACAAAAATGACTGTAATTCTTTAAAGAGATTTAAATATGTTTTAATTTTAAAAATACACTTCCTGAACCATATCAGTTTTCCAGTTTTTACAATAAAAGGAAATTCCCAAATAGTCTGATAAATTGAGGCCATACACAAGATATTTCACTGGTTCCTATAAACCTGAATGTATGAGTCAGTCCTAATAAGCTAACTAGCAAAATGTATACAATTTCAAGTACAATAACTACCTATGGTAGAGACGGCTAAGAGTCCAGCAGCATCTATTTCCTTTATTTCTTTAAGTTAATAAAACTCCAGGGTTTGACCTGGGCAAATGGCCACCCAGCGACATTTCTCAGCCTCCCTTGCAGCAGGTGCAGCCAAGAGACCTGGTCTATGGGATCTGAATGGAAATGATGTGTACAAGTCCTTAAAAAGGAAGCTGCTTGTTTCCTAGTCAGCTCCTCCCATGGGCTAGAGGTGGCAGTAAGCCAAAACCTGACAATGCAATCATGGTCAGCACCCTAGGGCATGGCAGAGCAACAGAGAAGAGACTGGGTCCTCAGATGGCCACAAGACTATGTACCAACTCAGATTTTTTTTTTTTTTAAAGATTTTATTTTTTCCTTTTTCTCTCCAAAGCCCCCCAGTACATAGTTGTGTATTCTTCGTTGTGGGTTCTTCTAGTTGTGGCATGTGGGACGCTGCCTCAGCGTGGTCTGATGAGCAGTGCCATGTCCGCGCCCAGGATTCGAACTAACGAAACACTGGGCCGCCTGCAACGGAGCGCGCGAACTTAACCACTCGGCCATGGGGCCAGCCCCCCAACTCAAATTTTTATGAGACAGAAAAAAATTTTGTCACTCACTTAAACCACTCTTATTTGGTTCCTGCCAAAGCAGTCAAAACATCACCCTCTTATACTTCCCAAAGAGCCAAAGCAAACTTGATTTTGGCACAGAACATGTAAGAGTGTGGCTGTTATGGACTGAATGTTTGTGTTCCCCCAAAATTCCTATGTTGAAGCCCTAACCCCCAGTGTAGCTGTATTTGGAGATTGGGCCTCTAAGGAAGTGATTAAATAAAAAGGTTAAATGAGGTCATAAGAGTAGGGCCATGATCCAATAGGATGAGTAATCTTATAAGAAGAGACAACAGAGAGTGCGCTCGCTCTCGCCCTGCACACGTGCACTGAGGAAAGGCCACGAGAAGGTGGCCATCTGCAAGGCAGGAAGAGAGTGATCACCAGACACCAACCCTGTCAGACCTTGATGTGGTACTTCTCACATCCAGAACTGCAAGAAAATAAATTTCTGTTGCTTAAGCCACCCTGTCTATGGTATTTTGTTATGACAGCAGAAGACTAATATAGTGGCTATCTTTTATTTGTATTTTGAGGTCAATC